CATAGGGTTAATGCTACCGGCACCGCTACCGCTACCGCCAGTGGTGGTGGTGGTCGCCAGCGGCGCCAGTGTCACCGAGCGCAACAGCGCCAGCAGCGGCGCCCGCGAGAGCGCATCGCTGTCGTCGGCGCCCACCAGCAGGCGGTGGCGCGCCAACAACTCGCGGTAGTTGCCCAGGTCGACGTGGTCCTCGATCTGCTCCCACTCGGGGACCAAGTACAGGAGCATCAGCTCGAGCAATTGGACGCGGTTCTCGACGCTGGTGAGGTGGGCTCTCGTCAACGGCAGCCGCACCGTCCGCGGCAGGTACAGACAGCACCAGTTGTGCTGGATACACTTGGTGCACCGGGGGTACTCCTTGGAGCACTTGAGCTTGCGCTTGCGACACGAGTCGCAGGCCTGTTCGATCGGGGGCAGTTGAGACATTTGGGACAGGGATAATTAGGGGGGGTGTGACCACGAGCGGTTTTGGTGGCTGGTGGCCAATTGATCACGGGGGCAAGTTGGAGGAAAGTGTCGAGGTTTTGGAATTGGGGATGACGGCACCCCTTTATAGCAAACAGCGACGTACACCTAATTGTGAAACCGACAGGGTTTTTGTTGGCGCGCAGGTCGCAAGAGCCCGGGCTGCGTAACCGGGAAAAAGCCCCGGTTGCTTCTGGTCGCAGGTTAATAATAAAATTTTAAGTTATTTTTTTTCGGAGGGTGGAAGGTGGAGCGTAACCCCTCTTCCCTCACCCCAGTGGCCGCGGGGCGTGGGCCCTCTGAGGTTCCCCTCCTCCCAGCGTCGGTAAGCAGCACCCCCGGCGCCAGCGCCCCCCAGCGGCACTACACCTCCGACGGCGTAGTCCATCTAGGTGTAGTCTGTGTGGTGGTGGCCGCCACTGCCGGTGGATCCACGGGTTACCCGCTGTGACGCCGAGCTGGGCTTTTGTCCCTGAGCAATCGAGCCGATGTCGTTCGGCCTTAGTAAAAATCGACGCATTGGTGCACCGGCGGTTGAGTGGCGGCGACCGTTGCTTCCGATGCCGGCACTCCATGAGGGGAGCGAAAAAAAAAAAAAAAATCGCTGANATCGCTGAGATTCCGGGCGAGCCGTTAAAAAACTGTGGGTTGGAAATGATGGGTCCCCCGGATCTACCACGCCGTGCTTAACCCGATAGCTGCCGATGCGCCGACGACACATTGACTCCCACATGCTAGGAGATAAGGAGACAGTAGGAACAACGGCGTTCCTGCCGTCCCGAGGCCAGATGACCCAATTATAGATGACCCTTACAGCGTCTGTAAATAGGGCAGAAGCGGGAAGCTCGAACCAATGAGGTAATGCGAATTATACGGGAGGGCCCCGTGGTTAGGAAGGGAGAGAGATAATACCGCCAGAGGTTAAATAATGATTGCGCATGTATCACTAGAGGTCAATGCCTATATCATTAGAGCAGAGGACTAGTGAGAGTTTCGGTGGGTCTGTCTCCTAGTAGACTCATTGAGAGGAGACACCCCTTAGCCAACAATCAGAGTAAGTCTAGCCTTACACATAGCCGTCAATTGCCATCAATCGTACGAGGTGGGACATTATACGGTATCGTCGTGGTAGGCCCACAGCGTCAGCTTGGGGTTGTGCGGGGCGTGGCGGCAGTAGGTGTCGTCGTCGCTGGGGCGCTCGCGGAGGTGATTCGACGCTAGCATCAGCTGGATCAGCACCGCCGTCAGCACGAGCAGACACGCGGGGGTCCAGTCGTCGCCAAGCAAGTTGAGGCAGATGTGGCCGTTCAGGTAGACGTGTGGGTGCACCGGGACCCGTGCCTCTGTCTCAGTGGTAGTGTCGTCGTCGTCGTCGTCGAGCTGTTGGTAGACGATGAAAGTCACTTGAGGCAGGTCGACGGGGTACTCCGGCGTGATCCGGAAGAGCAAGTGGTAGGCGTGGTGGCTGGGGTAGAGAGGGTTGTCGGGGACCAGCACCCGGAGCACAAACCGCTCGAGGCTGTCGTCGTGTTCGACGAGGGTGATCCCGGGGGGAGGCGCGGTGCTGAGGTCGCGGTACTCCTTGAGCAAGCGCTTGTGGAAGGGGTGCGCCATGGCGTGGTCTTTGGTGCGACCTGGCTACAAAACGCTTGGGATGAGAGGAGAGATGTGTTGAGTAAGAAGAAAAAATTGATGGCCAGCGACGACGGTAAAGGTGACGCAAAGTCGGGTGATATATGAAACCACTCTTCAATACACTACCAACATGGTATGAAACTCTCATTATAAAACCCTCTTTCGTGTTTTATTTCTTATTTGGGAATTTAACCAAAACAATGTCAAAAAGTATTTGTGTGTGTGTCGGAACTCGGAACCGTAGACCACTTCCGCCCATTCCCGCTTCAGCCGCACCATTCGCCCGACCGATCCAATTCAATATTTCGACCACGTGAAACGAATTAAAAAAAAAAAAAGACCGATCACGTGACTATGAAAAATCGTCCCGTTACCCCGAACAACGTGCGAGCATGACTGAGGGTGCCTGTTTGGGGTTTCGCCGGCAACTCTTGAAACTTGCCGGCGAAACCCTAAACCATAATTTACGCCTTGTGTCACGATGTGGAACTCCGGCGCCGTTGCAGATTCGCCGCCTAGCGTTTGCAAAGAATTATTAAAATCGCTATCTTTCCACAATGCCGGCGCTAATTCGTCCTTTTTCTTTTTTTTTTTTTTTAACTTCTTGTAAAAATTAATCCGGGCGACGGTTGCTGCCAAATCTTGCATAAACCCCGCTTACACCCGTGACGCCGACTCTCCAGATCTCCCGGTGCGGCAAAAGGCATATGTAACCTGTAACTGGCAGCCCAGGGACTCTACTGGAAGCTTTTAAAGTTTCTGGTTTTATGTCTCGTATTTGCTGGGGCCAATCACTTCGCTGGTAAAGACACAGACGAACTGAAGCAGACCTCGGTGGGAAAGTCGTATTGCTACTAATTAGTGATCGATGGATAATATCTGCGGCTTTGTGTCGGACTCGTAGGCGTTTGTTTCGAAACCGTGACATGGTATCCCTCTTTGTAACCCACACCATTTCCCATGAAGTGTCACGACGTCATCACGTCATCGGTGGTTGTGTCAGATGCCGTTTCAACCACAAACTTAACGAAAAAGTTATTGCTAAATTGTCGAAGGTAAACTGGCGATCAATTGTGCCGTCGCAGGGGCGGTCATAGCGGCATTGCCTTGGGGGCTTTTCGGGGCTTACCTTGGCTCCGTTTTTGGGAGCGGCGTCCCAGGGGCGCGCTCTTGGCGCCGGGGGCGCCGGCGGATTTAGCTTTAGCGCCACCGGCACTGCCGGCACTCTCGAGCCGCCGGCGCTCCGCGCTCATCTGCACCAACTGGGGCTTAAACCCGACGAAAAATTCCCGCTGCGCCGGCAGCACTCCCGGCACCTGGTCAAACTGAGCTTGGGTCGTGGGGAGCCGGAGCGCCATCTGGCGCATCAGCATATCGCTCACCACCAGGGTCGGCGGCAACAGCTTGGCGGCGGCGATACGGATGCGGTACTGGTTGAGGGTGGCAAAGCACTTCTCGCCGTGCCACTCGATCGCCAGCGGCGCCGTCGTCAGCGCCCGGGGTTTAAGCGGCGCCCGTGCCGTTGTCGTCAGCGCCCGCGCCGCCGGGAGTGCCGGGAGTGTCGACAGCGCCAACGCCAGCGCCATCAGCCCCGCCAGAAGCTGGCGCGCGGTAACGACGCCGCCGGCACCGCCACAGCTATACTGAGCTTGAAGATCTGCCATCAGCGGACCGGGGGCGTTGCCGGGTCCACGTACAAGCCGCGGTCCCGCCAGCGCCGTCAGTCGCTTATTGGCGCTGACCTCAATCTCAATTGGATGGGGGTTGCGAAGGAAACTGGTACCCTTCAGCGCCACCCGCACGTAGTTCAGGGCGAACCCGCGCCGCATCACCAGATACTCCTCGAGGTAGTTCTTCAGCAACAACTCGAAAAAGAGAAGCTCGATCACCAGTTTGTCGAGCAGCGCACCGGCGCCGTGGTCGGCGACGTTATCGTGTCCCGCCTGGATGATTTTCGCCAGCTTCAGCCCCCGGAACACGTCCTGACAATAGATCACCGTCACCTTAGTCGTCTGAAGATCGCGCACGAGGCGCACCGCCAGCTGCGCTTCCTTGGTGACATCGGTGGCGACGAGCGCCTGGCCCGTCAGCCCCCTCTGGCAGTTATCGCAGTGGCCACGGCAGAGCTTAGCGTCGAATTGCTCGTTAAAGTAGTGGAGCACCAACTGGCGCCGGCACGTCGTCTCGTTCTGGCAGTACTGGACCACCTGGCGGAGCTTTTCCAAGTGGTTGGCTTTAGCCTGGGCGCTCAATTGCGGATCGCGCTGGGTCACCAGCTGGAGCAGTCTGGCGTCGCGGAACGAGTAGTACAAAATACACTCCAGCGGGCGCCCATCACGCCCGGCACGTCCGGTTTCCTGGTAATACCCTTCTAACGTTCGCGGTAAAGTTAAGTGGACCACCCAGCGCACGTCGGGCTTGTCGATACCCATGCCAAAGGCAATGGTGGCGCAGATCACCCGGCACTCGTCGTGCTGCCACTGGCGCTGCACCTCCAGCCGCTGTTCCGGGTCCATCCCCGCGTGGTAGTGGGCTGCGGGAACCCCCGCCTCCCTCAATTTCGCCGCCGTCAGCTCGCAGAGCAGCTTCGTGCTGCAATAGATGATCCCCGTTTGGTTCGGCTTGCTGAGGATATAGCGGGCCAAATCAGTCATGAAACTGGCGGTTTTGGGAACGATGCGATAGAACAAGTTGGTACGGTTAAACAGCTGTTTCAACGTCACCGGCAGTTTGAGCTTCAAGTGGTGGATGATGTCCATGCGCACCCGTTCGTTGGCCGTCGCCGTGAGCGCCATCACGGGGACGTCGGGGTACTTGGTCTTGAACGCCCCCATCGCCTGGTAGTCGGTGCGGAAGTCGTGCCCCCACAGCAGCAAGCAGTGGGCCTCGTCGATCACCACCCGTGCGAGCTGGCGCCGCTGGTAGAGCTGGTCCAAGATCAGCTGGCAGTGGGCCAGCTTGTTCGCCATCTCCGGCAGCAAGTACACCACGTCGAGGAGGGCGTTGCGGAACTCGCGCATGGTGGCGCGGTTGGCGTCGGGGGCCGCTCGCAGCGACACCATCCCCGCCCGTACTTTCTTCGCCACGAGATGCGCCACTTGGTCCTGCATCAACGAGATCAACGGCGAGATCACCACGGTGACCCCGGGAACGTTCGGGTCCGCGTGGATTAAAGCCGGTAACTGGTAGCAAAGAGATTTACCACCCCCAGTAGGCATAAGCACAAACACATCTTTACCGGCAAGGGTGGCTTTAATCGCCTCCAACTGGTGCGCCCGGAACCGCTCGAGGCCAAACGTCGCCTGAAGCACGGCGTAGATGCGCGCCTCCTGGGGATCAGTGCTGGTGGGGGCGACGCGCTTAGTGGCGCCGGCGGCGGCGTCTTTGATCAGCGCAATCAACTGGTCGTCCTCGCTCCAATCAAACTCCAGGTCGTCGTCAGCACCGGCAGCATTAGTAGCAGCAGTGGTGCCGGGCTCGGGCTTCACCACGATCGGGGTGCGCACCTGAGATATCGTGTCGTTGGCGTCGTCGTCGTCGTCGCTAGTAAGCTCGATCACCTCGATGTCGTCTTCGCGCTCCTCGCCCAACTGGGTGTGCGCCCAGTCGTCAATGTCGTCGAGAGGCTCCGTACCGGCGGCGCCGTCGTGTTCGCCGTCGTGTTCGCCGTCCAGAATCACCTCTACCGCGGGGTCCAGCCCCGCCTGGGTGAGGTCGACAATGCTGCGGTCGATCATCAGCTCGTCGGCGTCGGCGCCGGCCAGCGCCACCAGCAGTTGCGTCGGTTTGAAGTCGCCGTCTTCGGCGGTGACGTCGTGGTCGATGAAACTGCCCAAATCGTCAACTTCGTAGCAAGCGCGTTCGTCTGGGGGCGTAGTGAGACCTCCATCGATTTCCAGGCCGAAATGGTCTTCGCCCTCAGAGTCGCCGCCCTGGCGCTGAACTCTGGAGTTATTGATATGAGGAGTCCGCGGCAGCGGCAGCGTCACCGGCAGCGACGGGAGCGGCGGCAGTGTCGCTTCTGCCGGCGCCTTATCTAGCGACTTAGGCACCTGAGTGAACAGAAGCGCTGGTCGCGCTGGCGGCGCCGGAAGTGACGGGAGCGACGGTAGCAGTGCCGCCGGCGCCCGCAGAGACTCAGCGGCCTCTTCAGCAGCAGCTTCGGCGGCGACTTCACGCTCAAACGCTGCCGCCTCCACCTCGTTCTCGAGCCGCAGCGCCTGCGCCTTTAGCCGGTTCATCTCCACCTCGAACTCGGTGGCAATCCACTGCTTCTTGGCGTCAAGCAGCATCAGGGTGCTGTCGTTGACCTCTAAGTGTCTGTAGAGCAAGGCGATCATCTTGTCCTTCACCTGTAGTAGATTGAGGAGGCTGGGGTCCGGCGGCGGCGGTAGCGCCGGAGCGCTCGTGGTAGTAGTCGCGGCGCCAATGGTATTGTTGTTATTGGTAATGTTAGCAGTAACGCTGGGCTGGGTTGGTGTCGCCGGCACCTGGAACGGGAGCGTCAGCTGGTGCTTCTTCGGCGGCTTCAGCGATAGTGTCGCCCGTTTGCTTGGGGGGAGGTCGGCGGCGAACGGCGCCACTCGCTTCGCGCCGATCTCCTCGATATCGTCGTCGTCGTCGTCGTCCACAAGGTCGATCGGCAGCTCGAGCGCCGCCAGCGGCAGCCGCGATGGTAGGGGTTGGCGAGGAGTGGTAGGGCGTGGCGTGGTTTTGGCAAGAGGCGTCAGGGTAGACGCGTTTGATGACAGCGGCGGTAGTGGCAATAGCAGTGATGGCGGCGTCAGCTGGGCCACCAGCGACCCGTTGGCCGCAGGACGAGGCGGTAGGGGCAGCGTGAGCCGCGCCACCACCTCGCCGCTGGGGATCATCGGCAGCGCCAGCTCCACCCACTTCCTCTGCGCCACCAAGTTGTTGCTCATTGTCCCGCGTCTATCACTTCGCGCGCCTCCCCGATGACCGCGATCGGGGACGGGACCCGAGGCGACATCGGAACAAGAGAAAAGACCCTAAAGTCAGGTATAAATAGGAAGAGAAAGCGTTGTATGTCAGTGACAGTAGTGTCAAAAGTTTGTTGTTGATTTTACCTACCTGTGTTTTGGATTCGTTCGTGGAAAGCCGTGGATCTTGCAAGCATTATCTACTGATTAGTAGTGTACCGAGACGACGTTTCGTGTCCCAGCCGCCTCTTGGGTAAACAAAAGGCTTAGACAATAGGAACTAATTCCTCCTGGCATTATTCGCCGTCAACCGGGGCATTGGCATGGTGCTCTTGGTGCGTCTCGTAACACGGTAAGACAATAGGCGACGAGCGGGGACGACGCCACCCCAATAACCCGTAGACTATATATATTCCTCCAAAAATGACAACCTGTAGAGAAATACTTGACCCTGATGCTCTACGGCGACGTGTTTCTGTACGAGTGTCTCTCCCCGCTGTCGGCACCACTCGCCGGCACTGACTTCTACCACACCGAGAGTGACTACTTCCGCGACTACTACCGCGACTACTACCGCGACTACTTCCGCGACTTTCACCACTTCAACGACAGCACCTACGCCACCGATGCTGCCGATACCACCAACAGCGATGACGACGACGTGGTGGCCAGCTTTTACCGACAACTCGACCGCACCGTTGACGCCCTCGGCGACACCGTGATCCAGCTCCACGACATCTTGCACAACCCCGTCAACAACTGCCGGTACGCTTCCGACACTACCGACATCGGTAATGCCGACGCCGACGACGACGACGACGAAGCCAGCGACGACCCCGATTACGTCTACGGAGACCCCTAGCGCCACCAAAACGCCCTAAGCAAGTTCTATTCTGAATAGCGAAGAGTATATAGTAATGAGACAACGAGTATGAATAACTCAGGTAAACGCCACCAGCCCATTTTTGTGCCACCGCCTCAAATTGCCCGTGAATGCCTTGGTACTGCACACAGTCGAGGCTAACGCGGGTGATTGCGTCTATGTACGTCTAAAAAAAGATGGGGCTTAATACGAGGCCTAGGCCCCCACATCCATCCAGCCTTCAATATAAAATGGGCACAAAGTCTGGTTTATTTTCATTGATCGCGTCCAGCTGAATTGCTCCTAGTTTTGGTGGTGGCTTGCTCAATTTTTTTTTTTAAACTAATCGTTTGCATTTGGATCTAAGCTGTAAGAATGTCTAAAAGGTCCATCTTAGAGGATACTCAAGTGTTACTCCCTCATACAAAAAACAGCCTGATCGTGCGGTGTGAGGAGGCACTGGTGTGCTCGTCTCATCATTGTGATATGTGTGATGGTAAGAAGTCGTTCAGCCAGCAGGGAGATATTCTACTCGTTCCCACAAGGAATTGAACCTTAATTTCTTCTTTTCAGAAGCGTCCATTACACTATGGTCCCGAGCAAACATCGTCTTCTAAAACAGATATACTCCTGTTTGCTTAGAGATTGGTGGTAGGGTTATACTAAACTCTTTAGGGCCATTACCAGTAGACGAGACGCTCAATTGCCACCGCACGTCGCTATACGCACCCTACGATCGATGGACGCTATTGATGCCGGAGATACAGGACATGGCACAATGGCGCGATCACACAGCAATCGAGGAAATAAGATGGGCGGGAACCCCGGCGCCAAAATGTGTATCGGGGCACAAGATTCTGGACTCTAGTAACAGGGCAGAAACAATAGCAAACCCTCGAAAAATCTCGGCCGCGCCACCGCAACTGAGGCCTAGGGGTGATGGTCGTAGCTTAACGCCTACAGAAACTCGCAAATCACATTGCTATAAGGGGGTTACGTTGGCCAGGCCTAGAAAGACTTGGCGTGTTGGCAAAATATAATCAAAATGCTGACAACTGCATCTCCAAGGGGCCGTCGTTAGTGTCGACGGCAACCTTGATCCAGTCGGTCAGAAACCCGAGCACCGACACGTTATCGGCGTCGGCCACCATCGCCTTGAGCTGGCGGACGCCCTCACAGTTCCTGTCGAACAACGAGCGGAAACTCTCTTCAAAGTCATCGATACACCGCTCGAGCTTCTCCTGGTTGGTAGGGCTAAGCCCCGCGTGGGCCTGGGTGATCTGCTTGTACCGCTCCATAAGGTGCACGATGGCATCTCGAGCCTTTAATAGAGCTTCGGCCTCGCGAAGCGTCTTATCTTCGCCAGTAATACCGTCAACCGCCTCGGCGTCCAATTGGTCGACGATGTCGCGGTTGGTGTCGTCCCACACCCCGTGGGTTTCCCTTACCAACCGCAGAATAGTCTCCTTTTCCTCTGCAGGAATCTTTTCAAATAAGTCTTCCACGGCAGCACTCAACCTGGCGTACAACTTCAACCTCTCCACTTGGCCTTGGAATTGGAGCGACGACGCCTTGGCCAAGAGCACCATCACTTTGTGCCGGGTGGGCCCCGGAGGGATCTCCTGGTGGAAATCCCAAAACGGGTTCAAGTCAAACCGCATCCGGCTGGCAGCAGCAGCAGCCGCAGTGGCAGCAGCCTCTGGCAATTCTTTGGGGAACGCCCCAGGCACGTTGGAGATAGACAGCTTTGCCTCCACGGGCAGCACGTCTCCCTCAGGCTTTGTAGTAGACGGGGACATCAAAATTTCACTAACGAACACGACGTAATTGCACGATACTTATATACTTGGCATATACCTGCCCCGGCGTCTCCCCCTTATCCCTTATTTTACCCCACATCGAGTGAAATGATCTGCATCGTCAATCTGGCGTGATAATGGTAGACGCTGCGGTAGCCTGGAAGATTAGTAATTGCGAGGTAAAGAAAAGTATTAACTATGGGTCAATGTATTACACGCCACTTGTCCTGATCTGATTAATTTGAGCGGGAACAACCCCTATTTCCTGGCAATGGACGAGGCATAGCTTTTTGCTGCGAATTTCTCGACAAGTAGTATTTCCTCGTTTTGCAATTGAGACATCTCACAGCACGAAAAAAAGCATTATCTATTTCATCACCGTTGCTCAACTCAAAGCTACTTCTTCAGGCATAAATCTAGGTGGTTGTAGTGAACTCACATCCGCTCGTTGCGGTCTCGACATTAGTCTTCTTGACGAAACTAGTAATGGAGTTGTCTTTGACGACATGAACCATGAAGTCTCGAGGCTAATAAGAAGCTTTCGAGCGCTTGGTTTCGACGTATAAGCAGCCGAAGATGGCAGCTACATTGCCCAGGCTCAGTTTGAGGAAGTGGCCTTCGAGCGTAGCTGAGAGCGTTCACGTTATTCGACCGTACGGGTTGAGAAACTGCCCAACCAAGAATCACCAAGATAATCCGTTCGACGGCAGCAATTACTGTCTTCATTTTTACAAAAAATCATCATGCAACTTATACATTGTTTTTGACAGTGTCATGCAATTCTATAGATAATTAGACACCGACCTTCCACACTTCCTTTTCATCTTCAAATTGGTCACTGAACATTTCTTCGGCGTCGCCACCGGCAGCCAATTTCTCTCTTTCAGCCGTGGCCAATCTCAGCGCCACCCGCTTGGTGTAATCGCCGACCAGACGAGGCACGATCTCGGCACCGGTGACGGTGACAATCTTGTCCTTACCCGCGAACCATTGTTCGAACATGGCGGCCTGTTCGTCTTCGACCAAGTTGAACACGGCCAAGTAGGCCTTTTCTGCGGCTAACTTGATCGGGATCACCCGGTCCCGCAAACTGGCAAACACCAGGGGCACCACCGCGTCTAAGTGGCGCGCGACGACACTGTTCTTCAACCGGGCCACCGTGCGGATCACCACGAGTGCTAACCGGCGAGTGACGGTAGACAGAGACGGGGGCGCCACGGTGACAGTGGCCAAAGCGTCGAACACTTTATCTTCGTAAGCTGCAGCTAAATCACCGCCAAGCAAGAGCTTACCGATGGCCACGGTACCATTTTCACTGATCTCAGCGTTGGCGTCGGTCAGGGCCAGGGTGACGTAGTCCACGATTTGGCTGAGTAAGCTGTCATCAGCGAAGATGTGGCTGGGAGCGTAGCGCAAAAACAGGTTCACCGTCAATACGCCAAACTTATCCTTGGTGTCGTTATCTAACACCTTCAGGCGCAAGATCAGCGCCGCCTCTTCGGCCAGCACCACCTTGGCGATGGCGCCCATCAATTCGGCAGAAGCCACCGCCAGTTCGGCGTTGGAACTGCCGCCGATCTCCTGTTGCGCCAACTGTAACACTTGCGCCTTCAGCTGTTCCAGCATGTTGCTGCCCCCGTGAGCGACAACGGCAAGCATCGCCTGGAGCATGGCGGTCTTCACCCCCTGGTCGGGGGCCAGCGTCACCCCCTGGACTAATTCCGACACGAGGGCGTCGACTCTCGGCTGGAACTTGATCAACGTCGCGAGACATTCCACCGCCCGCTTGCGGAGGTCGTCAGAGGAGGGGTCCGACAACAGCCGCACAAAAGTACGCTGCAATTGCGGCACAAACGGACGCAAGAATTGCGGGATCTTTTCCAAAAGAGCGTTGAGGGCATGGAGGATCGCCAGCTTCACCGAGGGGCCCACTTTTTCCCCAATCACTCTGATCAACGGACCGGTAATCGTCGTGGCAAACGGCTTCAAGTTGGCGGCGGGGGTCTTGCCAATGACGTCGCCGATGGCGCGGGCCGCCACTTCCTTCAACTCGGAACTGCCGTACATGAGCCCGTGGGAGAAGATCGGAAGCACACACTGAGGACCCTTGGGGAGAGCGAACCCAGCAAGGTCGCAGTCTCTGACCCCCAGCATCTCCAACGCCTGCGCCGCGGGGCGCACCAACTTCTCCAACTGCTCTTTCGGCTGGGCCTTGACGAGAGCCGAGAGCGCCTCGAACGTGCCCTGGACGACCACGGGGTCGCGGTCGCCGAGCGAAAGCACAAACTGCGACACCAACTCGCTCAAGTACATAGAGTAATCGAGCTGGGTGTGGGCGAAGAAGTTGCCCAACCGCGCGTAGATGGCGGCGCGATGGGCGGCGTCCTCGTGCTTCACCAACAGGAGAAGCTGTTGCAACAACGCGTGGGCACCGTCGTCGTCGACGGCCACAAGTACAGCATCGAGCGCCTCGGCAACGGCAGTGTCGTCGGGGTTGGCCACAAGCGCTTCGACTAACGTCAGCACAATCGTGCCTAAGCGGCGCAGCAACGCCAGCCCCGCCACCAGACACACCTGGGCCAACGCCTGCGCCTTGAACGCGTCCATTGGCGGCGCCAACAACGTCGGCAACAAGATGGGGAAGATGGTTTCCGCCTGGGCCGCCATCAAGTCGCGCAACCCGGCGAGCGCCTGGGCCCGCTGGGGCAGCGCCATCAACCGCAACAAGTCGGGGACGATCTCGTCGATGGCAGGCTTGCCCACCGCCGCCACCAACGCCTCAAAGGCAATGGCAGCCTCGGCGCGAACCGCGGGTGAGTCGTCGATCACCGCTTGCTTGATAATGTCAACAAACACGTCCTGGTATTGTGCAAGCGCCTCGTCCAGCGCCAGCGCCACCAACTCGGTGGTGGCAATACAGATACCCTGCTTGGCGTCGCTGTCGGTGGCGGCGTCGAGGTTGGCCTTTAACGTCGGCAACATCTGCGCGAGAGCGTTGGCGCCCACCCGGCGCACGGTGTCGCCTAAGCAAGTAGCGGCAATCTTGCGGTGGGTGTCGTCGGCCAGAGCAAGGCGCACCACGATGATCGAAATGAGGGTGGGCAAAATCTGCTTGACCGTCTTGGGGGTGTTGCCGACGAGAGCGTTCCAGATGTCGACGGCGGCGGCGCGGACGATACCGGCAACGTCGGAGCGGCAGAGGAACAACAGCGCCAACACGTGGTCGCGGCGCTGTTGGCCGAGGGCATCGATAAGTGCTTGGGCCACTTCGCCCAGCAGCGCCAGCTCGACGGCGTCGTCGGCGGTGGTATCGGCAGCACTGTCGGCAGCACTGTCGGCGGCGTTCTTGCCGGAAATGCCGGCAATCTGGAACAACAAGTCCCCGGTGAGTTCCACCAGCGAGAGACGAATGCGGTAGTTGTCGTCGCCCAAACCACGTTCCAATTCCGGTAAGAGAAGGTCGACGGCCTTCTTGGCGTAGTTATTGACAATGAGACGGCCAGCGCGCAACGCGGTGTCGCTGACGTCGGCGTCGCTATCGGCCAAACCGGAAAGAATAGGGGGGATGGTTTGGTTCAAATAAGGCGCAAACAGCGACCCAAAGCATACGGGCAAGTACAAGAGCAAGGGCATGAAACCGGCTCTCACCGCCAGCTTCGGCAGCAGCGCCCCTTCGAGCACGAGCGGCAACATTTCCTCCAACTTGGCGATACCCAAACCGCAAATGACTTCGGCCAACGCCTGGGCCGACCCCAAACGGTCGCCGGCGCGTTCCGGGTCGTTCAACGTCGCCACCAACAGCGGAATCAACTCGGGGAACAGCGGCTCGCCCAACTTTTCCACTAACGAACCCAAAGCACGAGCGGCCGTCAGTCTGGTAGCGGGGACAGGGTCGACCATCGCCACTTCCAACTCCAGCACCAACTGGTTGAGGTAGGGTTCCAAGTCCTTGGCGTCGACCAAGATCGCCATATTGCCAACAATCTGACACGCCTTCTTCTTGACGGCGGCGGAGCGGTCCCTCATCCCCCGGTGGATCACGTGGATGATCAACGCCAACGACGGGCCGTCGATATAGTGGACAAACTGGGTGTGGATCAATTGGTCCAATGCCGTCTCCGTGTGCTTAGTGGGGTCGCCGATCGCGTCAATCAACGCGGGGACGATCGCCTGGATCTCAGGGTTGCGGATCACTTCACCAAACTTCTTCAACGAGGCGTCGGCGGCTTTTCTCACTTCCTTGTGGGTGTCATTCAATACCCCCACAATCTCGGGGATAATCAACAGCAACGACGCCAGCAACTGCGCCGGGTCCAAGTAGGCCATGTTCCCCAAAAGCTCCACCAGCCCCTTTTTCGTTCTCCAGGCGATCTCGTCCAAGTTGCGAATCGCCACCGGGATGAGCTTCTTGACCCCAAACGAAGTAGTATTCTTCATGATTTGGCGAGCGGCGTAGTCGGTAGCTTCTCTCACCTCGGGCAGCATATCACCCAACTGTTTGAGCAACACGGGAAGCACTTCCGAAATGACGTAGGGCTCGAAGAACTTACCGAGCGCGTGAGAAAGACACTCAAATGCAAACGCCACCGACTCCCGGCGTTCGGCCAGCTTCTTATCGTCACTGGCATCGAGCAACTGGCGAACAATGTCGAACTCCGCCAATGCCTTGATGCCGTAGCCGTGGACGAGACCGGCCATCCCGTACGCCAGACCCCGGCGAACCGGCATCAGCTTGGTGGCATCGAGTAAGTCGTTCAATAACTTATCCAAATAGTCCAGATACTGGTCACCCATCTTCGGGACCAAGGGGGCAAACGCTTTACCAATCGCCACTTGGACATCCTCAGAGGGAGTGGCTAATGACGTCACTAACTGGTCAATGACCCCAAATAACGCCGCCCCGTCCAAGTGCTGAGCTAAAGCACCGTAGCAGACAATCGCCAGCTCCTTCAACGTGTCCTGTTCCTTCAGCCCCTTATCCGCCAGGTTCAAGCACGCTTCGATGATCGGCGAAAGCTCGTCGACCACTGAAACCCCTTGGGCGGTGATCAAATCCACCGCCGCATTCAAGAGCTCCGAGCGCACTTCGTCGTGGCGGTCGCCAAGCAGCGACTCCTCAATCATAAACTTGAAGGTTTCCGGCATCAGCGTCGGTTCCACTTGATCGGCCATCATCTTGAGCGCGAGGGCCACAGTGTGGCGGTGTTCCCACGGGTCTTTACTCAGTTCCAGCAGTTTGATCACAAGCCCAAACGCATCCTTTTTGGGAGGAGGAGGGTCGCGGTACTGTCTGAAATGGTCGAGAAGAAGCTTGACTGCCTTTTCCGGCTGCTTTAAACCAGCCACGGCATTGACAAACAGTCGCGCCACCACAAGTCTCATACCAGCATCAGTGGCACCAAAGAACTTCAAGAGTTGCTCGAGAGCATCTTCGGGCAATTGGAATTGCGAGTCTTGCCACACGGTGGCCGCAGTTTCGGCGACGGCGTCGTCGTTATCGTGGACGGCAATCCACACTTCAGGGGAGAACTTGAGCCCCTCGGCGTGAAGATCAAACTCAGCATCGATAGCTTCCAACACGGCGTGTTTCACGTACACTTCCGGCACGATCACCGCGGAGAGCAACAACTCCAAGTCTTCAGGTAACGGCGAGATCCCGATATAGTGACACAACGACGTCAACGTTTCCTTGGCCAGTTTCGCCCGTTGAGGGAGTTTCATCAACGCCACCACCACTTCCAAAATAGGAGTTCTCGGCATCACCTGGGCGTGCGCCGCCAGCTCAAACTGACTGGCGTGGTTTTGGATGATATCGAGCGCAAGCAACAAGTGTTCCTCCTCGGGATCCTCGTCAACAAATTCCGACGTCACCACCTTCTTCTGCTGGGCGTTGGCCACCGTTTTATTGTAGCCAATCTTCAACACTTGCACCAAGAGAGGCATACAGTAGGTTAACGTGGTCAGATCCAACGGCTGCGAGTCAGACACCATCTTGATACGGTATAAAAGACGACCCACGAGGGAAAGGAGAGGCTCGGCGGAAAAGGCAGGCGACACCGCCACCTTGGACGTGCGGAGGGTGGCGACGCCAAGCATCTGGCGAATCGCCGCGAGCTTGGGGGTACACAACTCCAGCAATTGCAAGAACGTGTCCACAACCTGAGTGCCCACTACCGCCTCGGTGTAGGGTGCTTTAGCCAATTGCAAAAGCTTCGAGACAGCATCAGGGAACCAGTAGGCAGTGGCATTATCGACATTAAGCTTAGCGGTATCGGTGAGAGCACCAAAGATCGCCACCACCAGCTTCAATTTGAACACCCATTCGTTGATTTCCAGTCTGATACCCTGTTCCACTTCTAGTTGGGCTTTAACTTGAGCTTGTTGCTCTTTGGTCAATGTGGGCTTCTTTTTCAAGTCCTTCTTCAACAGCTCTTCCCACTTGCGGGTCTCGTAGTCTTTCAGGTTCTTATCTTCAGGCTTGCCCTTGGCCAACACATCAACGTAGGGTTCGGGGCCTTGGTGTCGCCAGATGGCAATCTTGTCGTCGTCCACCGTCACCAACTGCTGGTACACTTCTCTGTAAGTATCCTTAATGCGAGTTAAGAGTTCAGGGACCACGGGTTCAGGAAGAATGAACCCAAGTAAAGCAATAGTCTTGACAAGGGCCTGATGCCACGCCGATTCCGATTCACCAAACACTTCCTCCGTTAAAGTGTTTAGCAACTCTTGATAGGTTTCAAGCACAAGCTTGGCAATATCGTTAGCGCCACGGCTTCTTTGTAAAAGACCAATCCATCCATTGTTGACGGGGACCTTAGCGTGGTTAGCAATCACCACAAGCGCCAACGCATTCTGTTTCACGGCTTCGACGCTGTCCAATTGCGTGAGCATAGCGAGCACTTGCGGTACCAGTTTCGCCATCAAGTCGGGGGTACCGGTCTGGAGAGCACGCTTTAACAGGTCGATTAATTGCAGGGAAAACCACAGGTGAGTGTTGGCCACTTCCTTAGCCAATGTCACCGCCCGTAAACGCGTTTGGAAATCAACTTGCGGCGAGGTCATCGCCCACAACCAAGCATCGGCATACTTAGTCGCTTCCAGTTCACCGTCGGTGGCTCTAAGTGCCTGAATGTAAGGGCCAAGGTCATCACCCGAAAGCTTAGTGTACACATCACCATTGACTAAAAGCCCCAAAGCCTTGGGAGGTTGGTAGTCAGTGATGGTTAATGCGACAAACGCCCCCACCATCAATTTGGAGGCGACCATGGGCATCGGGGTGTCAATGGCGGCATCGACCACCTTCTGAAGTTGAGGTTTGACTTGCTCCACCACTTCGGGGGACGCTTCTGTCACTGCCAAAAGCCACACCCGCTTGATTTGCGGCTTCTTATCGTCCAACCCTTTAGCAACCACCGCCACGTATTTGGCATCAGTGGTGGCTAACCGGCAAAACACGCGCGCCAACGGCTCCAACAGCACTTCGTTCTGTTCCTTGGCAATGATCGGAATGAGGGTATCGAGCAAATGGGCGCCAACGTCAGGAGTGTCGTCAGTTTTGACCATGGTGAACAAGTTGGCGATGCTACGCTTTGCGTCGACGTTCAGCGTCGCCTTGAGGGTCTTCGCAATCTCGTCGATAAGCTTGGGCTGTTGTTCTTTAGTCTTAAGCACCACCTGGGTGGCGGCGGCGGTGGCCCCTTCGACGACTGCCGGTTTCGGCAGCTTCATCGCCGTGAGCATCAGGGGGAAAAGCTTCAGCGACAACACCACCGACATGTCAAAGTCGCACGCGAGGAAGAGCGGCGGCAAATTGGTGCCCCACGACAACTCCAGCAGGCGCAACACTGCCTTCTCCGCCAACGGCAAAATGGAAGTCTTGAAAACGTCGGCGGTGATGTAAGCGGTGACAAACTCGCCAAACAACTCGAGCGACAGCACCGGCACTGCTGTCTTCAGCAAAAGCACCTGGTTGCCGTACCATTCGCCAGCATTAGCGATGTAGTCATCGGCGATGGTATTGGGCGGGGCACGGGCCACAAGCCCCAAGAAGCAACAGCCGACACTCGCCTCCATCTTGTCGAGGGATACCGATTGTAACAATTGAGGGTTCCTCAGCATCAGCGCCGCCACGGCCATTTGCGATGAGTGGATGGCCAGCAGCTTGATCCGGGCCAAATGCTTTTGGGTTTGGCCCTGGCAATGAGCCACGATGTTCTCCACAAGCTTAGCTTGACTGGTAAGGGCAGTATTCGCCAATTCGGCGTCAGGGGCCGCCTGGGGTAAAAAGTGGTTCACCCAACTTAAAAGCGTGAGCACCAGCGTCACCGCCAACCCCGCGGTGGACACCTGAGCCACAAACTGAAACACCTGGGACAAGTATTGCGAGTCATGGGCAACAATGGCCTCCAACGTCGCCACCAACTGGGTTCTCAGGTGGGGGTCGAGGTAGTAGTTGTAAGTGGACAAAAGCACGGGGAGCGCTGCCGCGGCGGCGGCGTCGCCGTCGCTGGCAAGCTGGGTCCTTATCATGGAAAGCCCCTCCTCCCGCTCGCTGGTGAGCGACAGCAACACCAAGCGGGCCGCGTGGGGCTCGTCGTCGTCGTGCCAACTCGACATTTGATAGAGAAATTTTCGCAGCCCGATCGATGAAGCGGTGAGGGCAAGTGGTGGGGTAATTTTTGGCGGGTTAGGGGAGGCAGGGTGGGGAGGGTTTTGGGAAGGAGGAGAAGTCAATTTTTGATCGGGGTGAGGTTAATTTGATCTCGATACGTTTCACGTGGTGTTTTAATGTTTGGAGAGTACGGTGATGAGATGAAGGAGATCAATGTAATTCTGCGAAGACTGAAGACAAAGAATAATCACCATTAAAGTGTCGCTGTTAGTATTGTACTCATGCGGTGTTTTTCTGTTTCTTGTAAAGCAATTGTCTTTCGAATATAGGGTAAAAATAGTCTTTTTCATCGATAGGGCATTTCTAGCAAATTACGCCCGAGTGCGTATGAAACTTAATTGAAAATGGCTAACAAATCTACAGAATTTAACAAATTAGAAAAGCTTAACTTCACTGGTTTGTTAACAGCTTACGATGTCAAACAGATAATATGATCATCTCTGAGATGAAGTAGTTGAGTGGAGAGCGTAGGAAGGCTTTATCTTTGTCAATAACGTAGTATGCTGCTGGTGATAATACACCGAGTGGGACGATCTGAAGACTTGCTGTCCCCCTCTTTGCGGAATTTACAGAATTAATCACGCTTTCAAACTTCTGTTCGACTGGACCCTAAACTTTACAGGAATCAAACATTGTGATTAAAGTTTAGCTTCACGACAGCCGAAATAATCTCGGTCCCCCACCAATGGAACCACATTCAGAATCGTTGATTAAAGTTTGTTCGTGACCAACCATTGCATATTCATAATCCACTATCCATGATTTGGGGAAACAACAAGAAAAATTGGACTTCAGGGGGCTGAAAAGTGGGGATTCAGATCATCGAGTGGGTTGAAGAAGTGATAACAACTGTCAGTGCTGCAATATATAATACGTCTTCCTGGCATCTCCTTCCTCACCACCCAATGTCCATCCCTGAAGAAACCATCCCGGCCGCGCCGTCTACCCCGTCGTCAATCGTCGATTCGCCAAAGTTCCAACAGATTTTGAACAAGCTCAACTCCGACAACGACCGTGAAAGTTTGACGGAGATCATCAAGGAGCAAGAAGGCACAAAGTACCCGGAGGAATATGCTTACTCAGTACAAGACTTAGTTCTGCTGAGTATTGCCAAGTGTCACCAAATTGCGCTGACGATTCCAGGCATTGACCCTCGGTACTTTCCTAAGCTTGCCCATGCGTACATCCGATTTGCCCTTCAGCCCAAGGAAAACCCATTGGTCACCACGCTTGGCCAAATTCTGCAAGGTCAAGCTTACGATTCCGATGCCGCTATGAAGAAGCACTTCGAGCAGACGGCTAACGTTGTGGCTGACGCCAGACGCATCTCCCACAACACCCGGGGCCTCACCCCTGAGCACCTCAAACGTATCGACGACGTCTTGGACACAGTGGTGCCAACCCAGATGGCAGATTATGCGGCCATGTATGAGAAAGTACAAGGACCGTACATGGAAAAGGCGCTTCGCTCCTCTATCCCTCCGGAGATCATGGCGGAAGCCTTTCTCCTCCTTCTTGAAAGTGAATGTGCAATGGACAGTGACACTTAGCTCGCCAATAGCCCCGTCTTCTGAATCACCTGATTGTTTCCCTTCCATCGTAGGCTGTGTAACCTCTTGGTAACTAATGCATCGCAAATGACTTCCTTCCTTTATAATGCTATTCTCTCAAACTGTATTCACCTTGACCTTCAACATGTTTATCATTCACCATCAGTTGACCCATTCACGAAGCCTTGATCAAACACTGGGTGGTACTGAGGGACGGCGCTATAGTTGACATTTTGCACGCGATCGTTATCAGCACAGGAAGCAACCATCCATACTGACACAACCATTGGACTCCGGGGTTTGATCTGCACGTCAGCTTAAGCTGGATTCCATAGACGCGGACCTCCTCTTTCCGTCGGAATTAACTTTTTACCCCACATCATCCAAAGGCAGAGATTTAATCGCACCACTACACCCCTTATTTCTGACCACAACTGGCATCGTGGCTAACAAGCCATGCCACCAAAAAAGCTGACGAAAAGGTCAAAGAAGTCGAAGTCCAAACCAAAGAATGAATCGTCTTCTTTGTCAACACAAGACAATCTGTTGTTTACTTCGTCAGGTGCAGACCATTCCACCAACCGTTTAACGGAACAACAACAACCCACAAACACCCCGCAACAGCAGCACCAGCTTGTCAATGCCTCCAATGCATATCCTCCTGAAGGTAAGGAAGAGCAAGAGATACAGTTGTTGCATAAATTGAGGTACCTTGCCTTTGAAAGCGACTTCAATGGCACATCCCAAGAGTTGATCGCGTCACTACATACCCGATGGAGGAATCTGAGGGTGTCTGAACTGACATACTCAAAATTGATTGCCGAGGAGTCCGCTCAAGCTTATCTCTCATTGCTAATTGAGGCGGCGTGTCAGGGCTATCTTTTCAGGATTGAAAAGCAGGCTTTGATGATCCCGGCCCTGGGCAATCAACTGATTTGGTACGATTCCTCTCTTGCTGTTCTTATGTGTCTATACCGCAATATTTATCACTTTGACCCAGCATCGGTTGTTAAAGTGTTCAATGCAATTGCTGAGAGAAGTAAGGACTTTCCTGACAAGATGACGGCACTTTTCGCTCGATTCCAACCTGAATTTGATCAGTTTAAAGATTGTTATAGTCATGATGAAGTTTGCAAAGTGCAACTTCGTGGATATCTCACGGCGGTATCACACGGTATCATTGATTGGTTGCCTGGAGGATTTGAAAAGGTTGGCTCGCAAGTCGAGATGATTAAAAATGGATTTGACCAATTCGAGGTTCCGATAAAGCCTACAATCACGACGACTGTGGTCGGAGAGTGGCAACAATTTGCGCCGACTACCTCAACCCTATTGGGACAAGAAGCCGTTAAATCGTCATGTGAGCCCGACTCTTCTCCATCTACCTCACAAATACAAACGAACACACTGGGATCAAAAACATTAGCCAATGCTGACATCAACATTTTTGAACCCGGAGACGAAGTTGAGTTGAGAGATAGCGAAGCCAGCATTGACAATTCGGAACGTGAATTCATCGAGGACCTCGTCGATGTGGTTTACGAGGGAATTTTTGGATTTAATCCCATATTAGACGAACAATTCGAAGATGAACCGGGTGTCCTTCGTGTTGTGCGTAAGGCTTGTGAGAAAGTTGCAGGCTTGGTTCCCGATGAGTTGATGGACCCCACTGACCATATGGTTAGAGCTGCTGGAAGAATTGTCCGTTATTTGAGAAAGCATATTCCAATGTTGAAGTACGATTCTTACCTTCGAGAGCAAGTAGAAGACGATGTCTACTTAAGTATTGACGGCGTTTTCGACAGGGCGATCATGTATGCTGTCGAGCGTGAAGGATCGTTGGTGTTGTTTACTCAGGACGATCCTCCTTACGCTGCTCTGAAAGAGGTGTTGACGAACTTCGTCGAACACAAACCTCGCTATATGAGAACTTCATCAGGATTGTTGTCCGTAACAGGCAAAGGTAACCTCACGCTTTTGGATGATATGGGTGACCTCACCCAAGTGGAAGCACATTATTCCCCTAACATTTTTACAGAAGCAGAAAAACGACAAACATCGGCTACCATTTCCCACTCTTGCCTTCTGCGTGCTGGGTACACTCTCGAATACGAATCTACAATCTACGGCTGCATGAGGTACACCAATCATACGACTGGAGGCACTTTTTGGGTGTTCCGTACTCGAAACAATCGTTTTTGCATGCCCTACGATATGCTGCCAATTGTTACCCCATTGATGAAGACTGTTTGCGGGCTCCGCGAGTCTCCAATCGGCGAGTATATTCTCGACAACGTTATGTCATTTGAGAGCTACGCAGATGATCTGTGGGACGGCGACGACAATGATCTGTGGGACGGCGACGACAATGATCTGTGGGGCAGCGACGACAACGATGAGTCCTTGAACGACTCTCGAGAATTATCGAACATCTCGGAAAGCGATGATTTTGGGTCCGAAGATGAGTCTAGTGATGATGATGAGTCTGGAAATGAGACTGGTGTGTCCAAAGGGTTTTTTAATAAGGTGCAAGGTTTATTTGCGTTCTAATGACGAGTCTAACAAAGGAGCTTGACGTCAAGCAACGGAACATTATGCCAGTCTCGAAATAGTAGGAATTATCATGAACGAATGCCATTCCCGTGAGACTTCCTTTATAAGCACTACCTCAACAGCCTTAAGAGGATACCCTACACAGCCAACCGACATATTAGCATCATAACCACAAAAAGTGGCATTTTATCACTTTACGTCATTTGGTGGGGCAATAATGGATACATAGATTAATGATCACGCGATAAAACAAAACACTACCTAAATTACTCGAGTGTTCCCTCTTCTACGTCTCTAGTGTAATAATCTAAACTAAGTGATTCCGCAAATTCTACTATTCCTTTCATTCAACAGTTAGTGATTTACCATATTCGAGGCTATGGCTTTTTCTCCATGTATATCACTTACCATGTACAGTACAACGGGTTCCCATGACAGCAGAATTGAGCTATCAGTGTCAATGACCATACCAATCATGGGGGGACAGTCACGGCGCTATGCCCGATATCACCTTTGATAGTGACGATGACTCGGCAGAGGAGGATGGGGATTTCTCAGATGATAATCGCTTACTCCTTTTAGCTGCGCTTGCAAGAGGGGCTATCAAGAATAAACATGGGTTCTAAGAATTAGGTGAGTTTTGTTACCCTTGATAGGGGTAAAACACGGCATGGAATAATTGCCTCATCTGAAAGGTAGTAACCAAATTGCATTACGGCAGGATAACGAAATTAACTTACTTAGCATCACGATCACCCCATTTGGCATCAATTGATACCCATCCTCTTACATTTTTTTCCATCAAAATTTTGATTCTATTCATGGAGTTCCAGGTTTTTCCTTTAGGAGAAAGATTTCTTTATTGAGAGAGAGTAATAATAAGTAATAACAGATTGGAATATTCGGGTAGATTGGTTAATTATGGCTACTTAGACGGTGATGGTGGTGACGCCTGCATATTACTCATGGCGCGCTATAAAAGGCACACCGTCGCGATGGAAAAGACTTTATCAACTATACCAGTCGATGAGGATGGGTTTAGCCGGTGCAGCAATGCCGGGGCCCTTGGGCTCTGGCGACTCGGCTCGTCCGGGCGCTGTGGACACGTCGTCACCTCACCACACCTAGATGACGGTAAAATCGCTGAGGCTGTTTCTAGTTGATCGCGTAGATTTTGATTACCCTCTAATTGTAAGCGAATTTTTCACCTGCGGTGGTTAACGCCGACTCACCGACCGCGTCATCACCAGCTCCTTCCACTTGATCTCTCTATTCCAAAACCATATTACCGTATATTCTCTCAAGCCATCAAGGCGTGTGCGTGTCTCTCTCTAATAAATATATCCCAACATTACTGAAAAAAAAATCAAATCTCTGTGTCATCGCAAACTGACGTGGTGTGGTACACGTTTCACCCGTGCTTAAACAGGCACCGGTTGCCGTAGCGGCAGCTGCCGGTCTTCAGCCAGTTGGCACACGGCTTCAGCCGCCACTTGGGCGGGCGCTCCACCTGCTTGAGCTCGCCTTCGCCGTGGGCGAACTGGCACTTGTTGCCGTAGGGGCACCCGCCGAGCTTCATGTATTGGGCGCAAAGCTCAGTTTTGTACAATTGGGTGTTGAGGGTGGGCTTGCCCTGCGAGCCCTGGCCCCCGTTAGTGGTGGTGGTGGTGGCGTGATTGTTGTTGCCGATGTTGTTGGCGGGAGTAGCTGCCGGCGCTACCGATGCCGCCAGTGCTGGAGCCATTGCCGGCGGGTGGTGGGGCGGCGCCGCCACCATCGTCGCACTGGCGGAGCCTATCAGCAGCGAGCCAAGCAAGGTGGGGAACAGCGGCGGCTGGGGGCGCGGCATCGGTTGCGCTAGCAGCGCCAAGCGCAACAGCTCCTCCAGGCGGTCGTCGCCCGTCTGGAAGATGGTGCCGTAGTAGTTGTAGGTGTAGATCTGCTTGGGGTTGATGTGGGGGCGCGGCCGGGCCTCGTCCAACATGTTCACCGGCGGCTGCGGCGTCAGCGCCGGCGTCAGCCACACCAGCGCCAGCCCCGGCATGTGGAACATCGGCTGCGTCAGCACCGGGGGCTGTTTGCTCAACGGCAGGTGGCGAAAGCGCACCTCACGGTCGACCAGCTCGGTGCTCAGCGTCTCCCACAAGTCGGGCAAAAGGCCGAGGTCATTAAAGTCCAGCACCAGCAGCGAGTTGCTCAGCGGCACCGGGAAGGTCTCGCCGTAGTAACTGCCGAAGTTGTTGGCCGTCCCAGGCTCGGAAACATACATTCGCCGGAAGGTGCCTCAGGCGCGGGGCCGGCATGGGGTTTATAAACCCAACTGGTAACACCGGGCGCTGGGAGGGGTATGGTTATGCGCAGGTGCGACCCGATTGCGGGGAGGACGGCGCCTCCACCAGCGTGCGGGCGCCGTCACGGATAGGGGCGACACGACCGCACGGAAAAAGCCCCGCCACCAAGCGCAGCACCAAAGGCGACACTGGCGGCGACGACAACAGCGACGACACCGTCGTCCACACAACTCTAAACACTACTAGCACCCACCTTATGGGTTTCGTAAACGTCTATCTGGCGTATTGTTATCGGGGGTGGGGGGCTTAGTGGCCGGCGGCCCGCCCCCCCCCCAACAGATGCTCCACTGTGTTTCGGTTGAGGAGGGAGTTCCGTACTGCAGGTAAGCAGAAAAAAAAAAGCGATGGCTCTTTTTTTTTTTTTTTTTTTTTTTNTCGATTTACTCGAATCTACGGGTCCAGGCAGCAGCATGGCATCATCGTCTACGACGGCGTCAAACTACACGCTCGGGTCATTGTTAGCGGAATTCTCGTGTAGACAATGAAAATAGTTGTTGGGACAATGCATTCCCCAAATTTCGTGTAATACCGTGTAATGTAGGGTTTCAGTTGGATCTGCTGGTCCTAAAAGTTCGTCTCCTTAGAGTCATTGGCGATGACCAGAGGTGAGCCGCATGTCTGCGTTCGGGTAAACTTTCGAGGAAAAACCATTTTGACCCCATTGCTACCGAACAAACCGGGATTAAGCCCGCGGAGTGGGGCCACGCAATCGCCGGCAAACTAGCAAGCCTAGCCGGCCCCCACACCCGTCCGCTAACCCCCCCATTTGTTGTGGTTTTTTCTTAATTTCGGGAAAGAGTGCCTCGTCTAATGCCCGAAGGAATTTACCGTGTGTAGCGTAGACGCCCCGTTCCCCTCTCGGCGCCGTCCCCCGGACAAGAGCGTCCGCGGCCTGGCAGCACGTTCTTGGGTCGTTTTCCGCGTGCATTTACTATTCGTCGTTTAGCCACTGCGGAGGCGCTGAGGGGATGGGGCAAATCGAGGGAAAAACGCTCGGAATACGCGGGCATGGTGTAGTGGGGTACCAGTAGCGGCTACCTACAACAGACCTACAATTCTTGAGTAGTGGTAGCCTCGAAATAATGGTAAATGGTGTCGTATTGCCCCACGTGACTCGCAACCCAGAGGTAGTTTTCGAGGGGCGGTTTGTTGGGAGAAAGCTCATAATTGTACGACGGTGCGAGTCTCCCTCGGTGGCGGAGATAAATGTGCGACATGTGAACGGAGTGCATCCAGTTTCCGGAGCAAAATTCAAGAGTGTGAAATCGGAAAATTTGGCTATAGCAGAATTCCCACCAGATTGGCACCAAACTGGCACCAATTGGACCCCCCTGTTTTGAAGTGGGGTCATTGACTACGTGCTGCTAAGGGGGGGGGGGTCACCGCTAGGGGTCACTTAAGCCATGACTGCCACTTGCATTTGACAGGTTACGTCACCACCCACTACACGTTTAGGGGATTAAGCACCGCCGTCGGATTAATTTATCATCGACAGCCGCAGCTGGCTGACGACACTCATGCTAGACATTTATATTATAGTCGTACAAAAGAAGATTCTAATCGTAAAATCTAACCGGTGCGGTGGATGAGGTGGACCCCCAGGTCGGTCTCGATGATATCGCTGATCTCCCCCACGTTCAAGCCGAAGGTGGCCTCTTCGAACGCCGGCTGCATTTGCCCACGGCCAAAATAGCCAAGGTCGCCTTGCTTTTCGTGGGACAGACAGTCGCTCTCGGTCTCCGCCAACTCTTCCAACTTGATCTCGCCGTTCAAAATGCGCTTCTGGAACCCCCTCAACTTGACGATGGCCTCGTCGCGGGTGAGGGTGATCCCGTCGGGCGACTTCCACAGCTTCGGTCTCCGCAGCTGGGCGTGCTTGATCAACAAGTGCAGCGCCCGCACCTTGCCGTCGTGGACTACGGGGCGGTTGCCGTTCTGCTTGAACTGGCGCAAGTACTCCTTGAGCTTGTCCTCGTCGGTGCCGAACGGCGGCTCCCACAGCAGCTCCCCCGACCCCGGGTTGTAGAAGTACTCCCGGTTGTGGCTCCGCGAGATCTTAATTGTCCATCCCAGAGGAAGTCCCACCGCAGACATCGTATATATAGCTGGTCTTTTGTTGTTGTTGATTACCTGGTGGCGGCGATGATCGCAGCGGCCACAAATTGCCTCGAGTATATACCGGAGCAAGCGCGACACGCTTTCGAGAGAGAGAGCGAGAGACGCCATGTCCCTCGACAAAATCCTCCAGTCGCCGCCGCTCCCCGACCTATCGCCGTTCTTTCTGCGACTAGTCGACATCTTCGACCTTCTCAACACCAACCTAACCTTCATTGCCTCCCACGCCCGCGCGTCGGTACCGACGTACGACCTTATCGTCAAACTAAACCCCGAGATCCAGCCGTTGGACCTAGCCATCATCAAACACTTATTCCCTCCCGGTCAGGTGTTTTTCGACTACGTCGACCCCCAGCAAATCGAGCTCTCTCTCGCCGATGACGTCAAGCACTCGTGGGAACACGGCTACGAGGCCCACAAAAACTCCGTCGACGATGCCTACGCTGAACTTGCACAAATGCATCGGTCGCTGGAGCAAATCCTCGTGTTTGACTTCCAGGATACGCGGGTTGACGGCATCGGTGGTCGCCTGGGCGGCTACGGCAAAAAGCGTCCACTTCCAGATAGCGGCGGGTTCTTCCTCCAACTGAAAAAGCTCCAGCTACAATCGCTCACTCAGGATCACATGAAACTGATGATCAAGTCCCGCCGACGCCGGTTCGTCCAGTACTTGACTCAGTACATTGAAGCTAACAAAGACCCGGAACAATCAATCATGAAGCAGGTGAATTTACCCGAAAAAGTTGACTACGATGCTGATCTCGTTACTAATCAAGGCGTTAAGCGTCGTCGGGCTGAAGTCCGTCCCGATCTCGATCTTATGTACGAAACGCTCAAACAGGAGCCGTTCTATTCGGGCCAAATCAAGTTTGAAGGCTATTTGACTCGCACTGAACCGCCTCGTTATGCCGATTTTGAAATTGAAGTTGACGGAGAGTTTACTATTCATCCCGAGTTGCGTGAAGCATTGATAAAGTCTCGTGGTATTGATATCGCCCACAATATGTACACTCACCAACAAGCAGCGATTCTGGCACTTCTTCTGGAGACAAAACAACACGTGATTGTATCTACGTCAACTGGTTCGGGCAAATCACTCGTTTACCAAATCCCCATTCTCAACGACATATTATGGGATCGAGTACTGGGCGACCGAGGACGTAAGTCCACCGCATTTTTCATTTTCCCGACTAAGGCACTTGCCCAGGACCAGAAGCATAACCTCGACCTTCTTCTTGCTCATATACCATCCCTTGAAGGGGTGGTGGTGGAAACTTACGATGGGGATACTCCACAAAAACAACGACAATACGTTCGTGCTCACGCCGATATCATTTTCACCAATCCTGATACCATTCACGCGGCCATTCTCCCCGGTTCCGAAGCTCAAGGGTGGAGTGACTTTCTAGATCATCTAAAGTACGTGGTGATGGACGAAATCCATGTTTACAAAGGGCTCTTTGGTATCCACGTGAGTATGGTGATGGCACGTTTACAACGACTCGTACTGGCCAATCTCAGATTTGTGCTGTGTAGTGCTACCATCAAAGATCCCTTACCTCATTTTAGCATTGTTTGTTCTATCCCTGATAACGAGATCGTCATCCATGTTGACGATGACGGCAGCCCTCACACTGATCGCAAGTTACTCGCGTGGCAACCCCCGCCGTTGATGAACAAACAGGGTCACGTTCAGCTGCATTTTGACGATGAAGGTCAGCTTATACCCGAGAAGTTTGTGCCTCGTGAGAACGTCATTACTGAGCTGGCTAAAATCATGTGCCAGTTATTAACTCAAATCGAAGACGTCAAGATTCTTGTGTTTTGTCCCATCAGAAAGATTTGTGAGTTCTTGATGAAGGAAGTTCGCACTCAACTCAATCTGAATGCCTTTGTCAATCGTACGGGTATTCGCCCTACGGAAATCATGTCGTATCGTGGTGGCTATGCTAAAAGCGATCGACGGGTTATCGAACAGAAAATGTTCAAAGGTGAGCTTCGAGCAATCATTGCTACCAATGCTCTCGAACTCGGGATTGATTTACTGGATTTGGACGTGGTGATTGCCTGTGGGTTCCCCTTATCAAAACTGAATTTGCATCAACAATTTGGCCGCGCTGGTCGTGGTCGTAACTCCAAGGGAAGTCTTGCTATATTTGTTGGTGGTGCAAACGCTGTCGACCTCCATTACTTGGAACACGGACCCGAGCTCATTGAGCGCAGTTATGAGGATCTCTGCGTGGGGCTGCTCATGGAAATGGGGTCCCACCGCATGATCATGGAAATGCATATGCAATGCGCTGCGTTTGAGCGTCCGCTCGTAGCTGAAGACGACTGTCATTGGTTTGACAAACGTTTCTTCCAAGATATTCTCGATAAAAAGCTCCACAAAGATGCCTACGGCAGATATCGTTGTGATCCTCTGTACCTCCCTTGGCCAGCAGAAAAGGTTGGTATTCGGGCGGTGGAAGAACAACTGTACGCTGTTGTCGACACAACCAACGGCCGCAATGTAATCCTTGAAGAGCTTGAAGTGCTGCGTGTTCCCTTCACCCTCTATGATGGAGGGATATTTTTGCATCAAGGTAACCCTTACCTCATTCGAGAGTTCAATGCCGAGGGCAAATACGCCAAAGTTGAACGAGTTAACGTCAACTGGACCACTACTCAAAGAGATTTCACTGATGTTGACCCAGTAGAAATCAATTATGTGAAACAGTTTCACGGTCCCGACGGTAATCCTACCGATTTACCCGTGTTCTATGGTTCCATTCGCTGTGAAATGAGAGTATTTGGCTACTTCAAAATCAATCGCCGTGGTGAGATTTTGGAGGCAGTAGACGTCGATCAAGACTCGGTGGTCGCGTATCTGAAAGGGTTTTGGATTGATATACCGTTGACTGCGATTGATATAATCGTGGAGAAACGTCTTAATGCGGCTGCTGGTATTCATGGCGCTCAGCACGCAATCATCAACATTCTTCCGTTGTTCATTCTGGGAGGAGCATCCACAAACCCCAACGCCAAATTCACGTCGTCCATTGGTGAAGCCGAGCTTTCTACAGAATGTAAAGCTCCCGAAAAGGAGTTTGCTCAACGGCAATCACGCCGAAAAAGACCATCACGACTTGTGTTTTACGATACCAAAGGTGGAGCCAATGGGCTGGGGATGTCGGCAAAAACCTTTGAGTATATCGACAGTATCATTGGTTCCACTTTCGAGCGCGTGATTAATTGTGAATGTGATTGGGGATGTCCCCTTTGTGTTCAGGGTACGTTTTGCAAGGAAAACTCATTGGTGATTAGTAAACCTGCCGCTATCATTATATTGGCAGCAGTGCTTGGTAAAAAGCCCGAAGAGTATCGGTACCTTGTCGATGATGGCCCCGAAGCCAACCTCCCTGAGGTTGGTATTGAGACAATTGAAAAGGCTCCGCTTGTTCGCTTCGCTCCCGATGTCCAAGTGATGGACTTCAAACTTCGTGAACCAAAACCAGCTACCATCGTCAAAGAAGAAGAAGAAGGCGAATGATCAAACTCAAAAATGTCTTCGATACGAAGCCTAATCTTTTTAAAACACTTTAAATATAGACCTCTAATTTTAATGACATTACGAAACTGAAATAGAGCCGGACACGGTTGGGATTGTATTTAGGTCCACATAAGGCGAATAAAATCTCACTAACTCTCTCTGTGCTTCGACTATAGTCGAAGAAAAGGTTTCATGGCTGCAAGACAACCACAGACTACTTAGCTACAAGCTCTATCAATCGGTCATCATTACGTTTGGCTGTTGTTTTTATCCAACTCGGTAACGTGAAGCTAAATTAGGACGATGAATGCCTACTTGTGTAACCCCTCTTTAATTTAGTGAACTCTTTTGTAACAACACTCATCTCGCGCGTGTCGCACAATATCGCCGCTCGTACCCTAAACGACCATATTCACCTATCCGTAGATTCATCAGTGTGGCGACAATCGATCTCTAAATATCTAAATCTTACTCCTTGTATCTCATCATTATAGAAAATACCACTTGATCTGCACCTATAGCGGCTGCAGACTAATTTTTCAGTGCCACCACCGACGACCCCGAAATTCCACGCGTACCGCGCCGTACTTTAAAGCGACCATCGATGGAGCCGTTCGTCGTCAGTGCCCCAGGCAAAGTCATCATCTTTGGCGAGCACCTGGCGGTGTACTCGAAGCCGGCCATTGCCGCTGCTCTTGATCTCCGATGCTACCTTCTCGTGACGCCGCTGGCGGACACGGATGTTATTCGTCTCGAGTTTGCCGACATCGATCTCGTCCATCAGTGGGCGAAGCACACGTTGCCCTGGGACAAAATTGCTCCCTTTGTGGAGAAGGATGATCACGGACGGCCCAAACCGACCAAGGAACTTGTGCCAGAGATCCAGGCGATCCTCTCGCAAATGCTCGGCGACATGGACCTGAACCTCCACTTCATTGCCTGCCACTGCTTTTTATATATGTACTGTCAGTTGGCCGACCCTGAATTGCCCGGTTTGACGTTTCAGATCAGGTCTACGCTCCCGATTGGTGCTGGTCTAGGGTCGCTGGCGCTGACGGCGGTGTGTATGGCGCTGGCGTTCGCTGTCCTTGGAGGTCACGTCAGCAAGGCATCATTGAAAGCTACTGATAAGGCTACTCTGGAAAGCGATGAAGCTGAGTATATCAATGACTGGAGTTTCGTTGGCGAGATGTGTTTCCATGGTAACCCCAGTGGTATCGACAATGCCGTCGCCACTTTTGGTGGGGCGGTGATGTTTCAACGCAAAACTAATGAGCCTAGTGTTCGTACGGCGATGCGGAACTTCCCTCCACTCAAGCTTTTACTCACTAATACCAAAGTGCCGCGGCTGACAGCTGAGCTTGTGGCGGGCGTGGGGCGCATCCACGCCACCTATCCGAAAACGGCGTTGCTGGTGCTCGACGCCATGGATTCGTTAGCCACTGAAGCTTACCACATTATGATTCAACCTTATGTCAAGGCGGAAGACCGCCAGACACTCCGCGAACTCGTTAATATTAACCATGGGTTACTCGTGGCATTGGGGGTGTCACATCCCAGTCTTGAGCAGATCAAGATGATTGGTGACTACCACAAGATTGGTGCTACTAAATTGACTGGGGCTGGTGGCGGCGGGTGTGCTATTACTTTAGTCAATGATGATACCGATGAAGATACCATTGCCAAAGTGATGACTGAGTTTGAGCTGCATGGGTTTGAAACGTTTGAAACCCTGTTAGGTGGCAAAGGGGTCGGCTGCCTCGCCTATACCGACGTCGACGAAGGTGACCGGGCTCGCGTGTTCTCCAGTGAGAACTTCTCTGGCTACAAGACTCGCGAACAAGTGCAACAAGGAGTTGGAAACCACCCTAATTGGAAATACTGGTGATAACAGCTTCATTAATATTAATATAGATATATACAAGAAATCTCACATCCCCCGGTTGAACTCCACCGTAGTGATCGGCTTGCCGTCCTTGTCCTTCAAGTTTTGGAATTGGGGTTCCAACTTGTTCACCGAGATCAGTTGGCGTTGAGGGAACACCGCAAGCGCAAACGGAAGCGCCCCAAACGAGGTGGCCGCAATCAAGCAGACATTGGTCAAAAGCTCCACGGCCTTAGGCTTACCCCGGAACAAGCCCGCTCTTTCCATTCTCACAAGGATCAAAGGAGGAATCACCATGATGGGGGTGGCGTTGATCACTCTCGAAGCGGCAGTCTCGCCCACAGCGTAGAAAGCGGCCTTCTTCGAGTTACCAACATCGTTGCCATCTTTGTCAAACACCGAAATCCCCTTCTTGAGTTCTTCCAGACGCATCAAGAACACATTGACCACCCCGGCACTGACCACGGCGGCGAAAGGAACCAACCGCGACAACACGGTCTTGGTGTTAGGCGACACATTCTTAAGTCTAGGCACCAAGGCGTTGAGCCCAAGCGCCACCGAGCACGACGCCGTCACCGCCATCGTGTAGTTGACGGCGATCTGTTTGGTGGTGAGCGGGTGCAGCTTGTTGGCATTGGCAGTGTTGATGGCCACGTTCAACGACTGGTTGGCGATCTGCCAGAACAAGGTGCCGGCAGTACCCAAATTGGGAGTCAACATACCGGCGGTGACAATAAGGTTAGAGAGCACACACAGCGACATCCGGAACGGCAACACTACCTTTTCCCCAGTGTCAGGGTGCAATGTCAGGTCCAACACCCGCTTAGCCCGCCACACTTCGGGGGTCATTTTGGCGGTGACGCCGTTTTTGTAGTCCCACACCACCTGTTTGGCGTGCTTGATGTCTTTATCCAGGTTAAGCAACATTGCCGGGTCCGAGATCTCGGCACAGTGCTTTACTCGCCCCCAGTAAGTGCTGAGGTCATATTTGGACTGGGGCAACGCCACGGAGCCGGGGACAGTGTCAGCCATGGGAATATAGATGATCCGAAACGGTTAGGTGCGAAGCCTTTGTGCAAAGCCCTCTGTGCGAAGCTGTTTGTGCGCGAGGGACACAGGTGGGGTTTTTTCCGCTCGCTACCAAAGAGGTAACAAACAGTGATGTACCATGAGGGTGCCGGTGGTTGCGGCCATTGGCGTGGATATTACCAAGATTCTGAGGTTTGAAAGGCTTCTTAACAAGCCCAAACCGTTTGTCAACAAACTATACGGGAGAATTCTCCATCCCCAGGAAAGGAAAACCGTGGCTACTGCGCGTAGTCTTGCGGGAGCATGGGCGGTTAAAGAAGCGGTGTTTAAGACTTTAACTGATGACGAACAGCGTCAGTTTCAATTTAATCAGTGGTACCGCGTCTATGATGAGCTGGGACGCCCCTCAGTAGCTCATGCCGACTTTGGCGTCGATGAGTTTATGGTGCTGCTCTCTCACGACGATGACTTGCTCATGGCCACAGTGTTGCGGCAAAAATGGATCGACATCAAATAGAAGCTACTTTCTATACAATATACAATCAGTTACAAACGGTGATATTGCCAGTATCCTGTGATAGACTACCTCTCCACACTTGTTTACCTTTGCCCTATACTAGCCTCAACGCCGCACTCTCATCGCACCGAATTTCCACGCACCTTCTAACCATCACAACTTGTCGACCATGGCGAGCTTGGAAACCATTTCACACGTGTTGGAGCAGCTGTTGCTTCCCCAGCACGCGCGGCTGGCGGAGCAGGAGCTTTTGGCGATGGAAACCACTCCAGGGTTCGCCGTGTCGTTATTACACGTGGTGTCGCTGACCAACTTAAACGCCCTGGTGCGGCTTGCCGGCGCCCTTTTCTTCAAGAATCTCATCAAGCGCAAGTGGTTAAGTAGCGACGGGGAAACCTACATGTTGCCGTTGGAGGATGTCACCAAAATCAAGCAGGAAATCGTCGATGTCCTCGTACAGCTTCCGTCGCAACTTCAGCGACAGATCGGCGAGGCCATCACCTTGATTGCTGAGTGCGATTTCCCTCACCGGTGGGAAAACCTCATTGATCTCCTTGTGGCGAAATTGTCGCCCACAGACTTCGTTAACAACCGCGCCGTGTTGGAGGTGATGCACTCTATCTTCAAAAAGTGGCGGCCATTGTTTCGCAGTGACGAGTTGTTCTTGGAAATCAAATTGGTGCTTGAGAAATTTGCCCCGACTTTCCTCCAATTATTTGTTGCTGTGGACCAGTTGATCGGTGAACACAAAGATGACGCCGCCAGTTTAGGCATCTACCTTGACAATTTGTTGGTTTTGGTCCAATTATACTACGACTTGAACTGTCAAGAGTTACCCGAATTCTTTGAAGACAATATGAGACAACTCATGAAGTTAATTTACGATTACTTGAAATTCCAGTCTAATTTAATCACCAAACCCGACGAAGACCTGGAAGTGGACGTATTAATCAAGGTGAAGACGGCCATCGTCGAGTTGTTGAGTCTCTACGTCAACCGATACGCCGACGACTTCAGCGAGTATGTCGAGGAGTTTATTAAATTGGTGTGGGAAACGGTGTCTGGGGTCCTGGAACAACCTAAGTACGACTTGTTGGCAGTTAAACTGTTGGACTTCTTGTCTTCGGTAGTAAGAAACCCTGGTTTACAACATATCTTTAATAATGAGCAGGCGTTCGATGAAATCATTCGCAAGCTTATTTTACCTAATATTGTCTTCCGTGAGCTGGATGAGGAGCAGTTTGAAGACGAGCCCATCCAGTTTGTGCGGTCAGACTTGGAAGGTTCCGAATTTGAGTCACGGCGCAAGAGTGCCACTGATTTCTTGCGTGAGCTTAAGGAAGTCAACTCTCAGCTCATCACTACCAAGGTCATGTCGTACGTCAACGATTTCCTTAGCCAGCTGAAGGACAACTGGAAGAATAAGGATATCGCCATCTACCTTTTCACTTCATTGGCTACCAAGGGCTCGATCACCAACGCTGGGGTCACCACGGTGGTTATTGACGTTGTGGGCTTCTTTGTACAAAATATTGTTGGTGACTTGAGCAACAACCAGATCCACCCGATTTTGCGGATGGACGCCATCAAGTACATCTACGTGTTCCGTAACCAATTGACCAAAGAACAATTGGCCGAAGCAATCAACATGATGGTCAACTTATTGGATGTGGGCCAACCCCCTGCTGTGTACACCTACGCCGCGGTCACGTTGGAAAAGCTTTTGGGGTTGACTGACTTCAAAACCCACCAACCTATCTTCAACAAGGAGGACATGCGCCAAATCCACCCGCAGTTGTTGACCCAGTTGTTCCTGTTATTGTTGCAATTCCAGGACAGACCCGAGCGTCTTGACGAAAACGAGTTTGTCATGAAGTGCATCATGCGGGTGCTTTCAGTCACCGACGACACGTTGGAAAACCGCATGCCGATCATGGGTCAACTCATCTCCATCTTGGAAGTGACTTCGAAGAACCCGGCCAACCCTCGCTTCACCCACTACGTATTTGAACTGATGGGGTTGTTGATCAAGTATGCTCCTGAAAGTGACATCCCCACTTTTGTGGAAAACCTTGTCCCCAAGTTGTTGCCGGTGTTGGTTGAGGACATTCAGGAATTCGTGCCTTATATCTTCCAAATCCTTGCCTACGTGTTGGAGCGTCTTCCCAAGTCTCAAGGCTTACCCACGGTATACCGCGATCTTGTACGTCCACTTATGGCGCCTGTGATTTGGGAGTACAAGGGTAACATCCCCGGTATTACCCGATTGCTCATTGCTATCATTCAGCAAGACCCCTCGGTGTGTGGCGACCGCGACAACTTGGAGTCGGTGTTGGGGGTATTCCAAAAGCTCATATCGTCAAAGCTCAACGATGCCTACGGGTTTGACTTGTTGCAAACGATCCTCTTATACGTGTCGCCTCAACACTACATGCTGTTCTTGCGGGACGTGTGCTTCCTCTTGTTGAACCGACTTCTGAACTCGCGCACTGAACGCTACGTTAAGCGGTTCACCATGTTCTTGATGGTGCTTGCGGCCACGCCGTTGTCCCAGGCGGACATCCCCAACAAGCAAACCATCAACGGCAGCTTTGTCGTGCAATTCTTCCAAAATGCCCAGCAAGATGTGTTCAACAAAATCTGCAAGACGTTCATCATCCCCACCGTCCTGCAACTTGCCAACTTGCAAGACAAGAAGATTGCCAACATTGGGTTGTCGCAATTAATTTTGGCCCCGGAACTCAACGACGAGGTTGTTCTAGAACTCACGCAGCTGGTAGCCGATAACATTCTCACCTACGAAGGCATCAAGAAGCAAAACGATTCGGGGGCCAAGGAACCCGGGGTGGCGATGACCAACGCCCCGCTCAACGAGTTGGACTTGGAGATGCAAGCCTTCGGTCTGACGTTCTCGAAGATCGTGCTGGTGCAGAACAAGTCGTTTGATCCTGTGGCTCACGTGCCTAACAATGACTTTGCCGGCATCGAGCGCATTGTGTTCACCAACATCAAGCAGGTGCGGCCGGCGGTGGCCCAGGCGTTACTGCCCGAGGTGAAGGAGAGAGTTCTGCGTCTGGGATAAATAGGCTGAGCATGGTATCGGCTCAGACAACTGGCATAATATTCATATACATAATGAGAGATAATACAAGGAAGTAAGAATTGAAAAAGTGGTGGGGCGAACAGCGTTGGACGCGACGATATTTTTCCCGCTCCGCACTGGTCCCGTCACGTGGTTTGGGGCTGACCCGCCAGCAGCAGCGCCAGCAGCGGGTCTTGCGACGGGGCCAGCTCGCCATTTTGTTCCATCTCCTTCAACTTGTCCTGTCTCTCCTTTTCGGCAATCTCGGCCGCCGTCAAAAACCGCCCTCCCTGTCCTCGAGGTCGCCGCATGGCGTGTTTATGCCGCGACTCGTGCAAGTAGGGCTTGCGGGTCCGGGCGATCTTGAGGTTCTCCTCGAGCTTAGCTCGAGCAATACGTCGTTTGAGGATGCGGTGGTACTGCTTAGCGTTGACGTAGAACGGCTGTTCGGCGGCGGGCTCGACCTCGGCGGCGGGGGCGGAGGTATCGTAGTAATGCCCCAGCTCGGGCGCCGCCTCGTAAAAATTCGACGACAGCCCCGGTGAGCTCAGGTCGCGCATCAGTCCCGTGCCGTCGCCGTTCTGGCTGTAGTACCCGTTCGTCGCCTCACTCTCGGTGTAAAATTGGGTGGGTTCGTTCATCGGGGTCCCCTCTCACGTCGAGTGTCAAATTTTTTGTGAAAAAACCTGGTGTGCGACTTCGGCGTTGGTAAATCCCCGTATTGTTACGCATTGCGATTACGGCTGGCCGTCATCGGAATTAGCGAGAAATAAGCTTTTTGGGATATGGCAAGCGAGAAGAAATGTGATTAGTGATATCTATTTAAACCGGGGCTCGGAGGGAGCACTGGTGGCATCGCCGACACAGTCCTGCTGCATGGCGATCCGGCGATGGATGTCGACCGGGTCCGGGGGCGGTTTCGTAACGGTGGTCTTGGCACCTCGTCGCAGCTTTGTCGGTGGCGTGAGTGTGGTCGGTGGTAGCAGCACCACCACCGGTGCCAGCAGGTCGTTAGGGGCGTGATCGTTGATGTACTTGACGTGCTTAAGTGTTTCGTAGATCTCCTGCTTTTTCTGAGGCCACACACACTCGAGGCCTTTGCTCTGGCAGCGGTTGCAGGTAGGATAAGCGAGCTCGTCACACTTCTTTTTGTGTTTGCGACAGGTCAAGCACCCGGTCCGTGATCGAGTTTTTGGCTTGTCGCCAGTCATATTTGGCGTCGAGTGTTGGCAACGAGGCCCGTCGCCCAATGGGGTAATAGTGATGGAGCTAACCGCGCCCAGTCCATACCGACAGAAGAATGTGCAGGATGCCTCGGTGACTCACAAAATTTGACCTACTATGGTTCAATTAAAGTGTACATTAATATATTTACTCGATAATCGCAACTAAGTCGCCGGCTTCCACCATGTCCCCGTTGCGGTGGACAATCTTCATCACCTTACACTCACGCGGAGCCACCACCACCATCTCTGTCTTCATCGCTTCCACCACCACTAAGCTTTGCCCCTTAGTGACGGTATCGCCTTCGGCAGCAGTAGCCTTCCAGAACCGACCGGAGAACTCAGAGTATAACCCTTCACAGCCTTCAGGGATCTCCAACGGGTCCTTGGGAGCTTCAAGAGTAGCCAACTCGGCGTTCGACACTTGGATCAACCGGTTGAATTCGGCCAAGCGCTCGCCGCCTTGCTTGCTGCGGTAGTCTTCAATCAGTTCGGCGTTGGCTTCGAGCCAGCGAGTGTAGCTTCCGTGGTCAAACACAGTGTTGGTGATGTCCACAGTAAACTTACCCGCGTTCATTTCAGCGGTGAAAGCGTCGACTTCGGCTTCGGTCACCGGGTAGAACTCAACAATGTCAAACGGACGCAACAACCAAGGGTCGGTGGAGTGGGCACTCAACTGGAGCTTATCCCAGATGGGCACGGTGCGCCCCACCAACTGATAACCACCAGGCAGCTCCATGGTGTAGATACACATGTAGTTACCGCCAATACCCACAGTACCGTTGGGAGTATAAGTTCTCAGTGGGTTGTACTTGGTCCCCAACAACCGTTGGCGAGGGTCCAAGGGAACAGCACAGGGAGCACCCAAAAACACGTCACCAAGCCCCAACACCATGAACTGGGCCAGGTACATCAAGTCGTGGATGTGGTCGCGGGTGGTGTCGTTGACCAGCGCCAAGAAGTCGACGTTGTTGGGCAACCACGGCGCCAGCAGGCGGATGGTTTCCTGGTACCGTTGCACGGCTTCCAACGTCAACTTGTCTTCGAACGCCATCGGCAACCGGAGAATACGCAGTTCCACCTTCCAGTCAATGCCAGCATCGCCAATCGCCTTGCGGTAGAGCTCCAACGTCCGCAAGCACTGAGCCTGAGTGATGGTACGTGGGTTGTATTCAACCAACACCGATCTCACCCCGCGAGACATTTCCACAATGCCCACAGCATCGTCGGCCATCTCAATGAGGCGGTGGATGAGGTACAGCACCGTCAAGTCCATCACGGGCTCGCCAAACTCGACGAGGATGTAGCGGTCACCAGCCTGGCGGTAGCACACCAAGGGGTCGCGGTAGAGCACGGGGTCGTAAGTAGTGACGTTAGCCTTGATTTCGGGCACCGAACCAGTCAAGTGGGCCACAGCAGCGTCTTGTTCGTCCAAGAGTTCAACAGCCCGGTCAACGGTCACGGGGACAAAGCGGATCCGGTCACCGGGTTTGGCTTGGCCAATCTTCCACATTTCCGCCTGGCACACCACGGCAGCACACACAAACCCGCCCAAAGAGGGACCATCCACCGTTAAGATGACTGGTTCGTCACCAGTGAAATTGATGGCCCCCATCAGGTACACGTAGTCATGAGCGTTGGACGGGTGGAGACCGGCATCGCCGCCGTCAGCACGAGCCCATTGCGGCTTAGGACCAATGAGACGAACGCCAAACCGGTTGGAGTTGTAGTGGACCTTCCAGGTGTCGGCAAAGAACTGGTCAATCAGCTCGGGCTTGAAGAAGTCAGGCAGGCCGTGGGGGCCGCAAGTGACACCCACTTCCCACACTTCCGGCTGGTAGTTAGGGAGGAGCAGCGGGGGCACGCTACTAGCAGCAGCGGAGCGAGTCAGCGAGTACCAGAGGACGTCACCAAAGCGGAGAGTGCGCCCGTTGTACCCACCTAAGTTACCTAGGGCAAAGGTGGACTTGGAGCCAAGGTAAGTGGGCACTTCAATACCACCAGCCACAGCCAAATAGGTACGACAACCGCCGTTAAGCTTACCCAAGGTCAACACGTCACCAGCTTCGAGGTGGATCACTTCCCATTGCGGCTTAGCAGTGCCATTAACCAACACCTCGACGTCGCCACCACAGACGGCAATTGAGGTGGCCGAGTGGAAGAGAAGTTTGGGCCCGTTCAACGTGATTTCAAGACCAGGACAGTCCTCAGCGTTGTCCAAGAGACGATTGGCAAGGCGGAAGGCATAGTTGTCCATACACCCCAGGGGAGGGACACCGATGTTCCAGTAACCTTGGCGACCCGGGTAGTCCTGAACAGTGGTGTAGGAGCCAGGAATCACCACTTCAAACGCTCTAGGGTGGTACACGAACGAGTCCAACAGCTTGGTGTGCATCTTAGCGGCAGCGACCATGTCCAGGGTGACGATGGCCTTGAGATAGTCGATGTTGGTAGTGCACCCCCAAATTACGGTTTCGTCGAGGGCTTGGTGCAACTTGGTCAACGCGTCAGCTCTGTTCTTGCCGTGGACGATGATCTTGGCTAAAGTGGGGTCGTACTCACCAGAAACCACGGTACCCTTGCTCACCCAGGTATCGACACGACACCACGAGGGGAAGCTCACTTCAGTCAATTGACCAGGCAGAGGCATAAAGTCTTTGACGGGGTTTTCAGCGTACACTCTGGCTTCGATGGAGTGGCCCACAGGGGTGGGAGGGTCCCTCTCAATGAATTGGCGAGGAGGAGTACCAGCAGCGAGTAAAAGCATCCATTCGACCAAGTCGAGCCCGGTGACCATTTCCGTAACGGGGTGTTCCACTTGGAGACGGGCGTTGACTTCCAAGAAGTAGAATTCGTCGGCCTTTTCGTCGTAGATGAATTCGACGGTGGCAGCCCCCATGTACTTCAAAAGCGACCCAAGCGACTCCGAAGCGGCCTTCATCTTGGCTCTGGTGGCTTCAGGAATATTGGGAGCAGGGGTTTCTTCAACAACTTTCTGGTTGCGCCGTTGGAGCAGGCAGTCACGGTCACCGATGGCCAAAGCACCACCTTTACCGTCACCAAACAACTGGATCTCGACGTGTCTCAGTTCACCGATGAAACGTTCGATGAACACGCCAGCATTACCAAAGTATTGAGCGGCTTGGTGCTGGACAGTGGCAAACACCCGTTCCATCAGTTCGGCGTCGTCGACTTTTTGAAGACCAATACCACCGCCACCAGCAGTCAGCTTCACCATCACGGGGTAGCCAATGTCGGCCGCCACTTTGAGGGCTTCATCGATGGAGTCAATGAGGTCAGACCCGGGGACAAGCGGCACGCCAGCCTGTTTCGCGATTTCTCTTGCCGAGTGCTTAAGCCCCAATTTGGTGATGGCGTCGCCCAGAGGACCAACAAACACAATGCCTTCGGCGGAGCACCGGTTGGAGAAATCGGCGTTTTCGGAAAGGAACCCATAACCAGGAAGAACGGCTTCGGCCCCAGTCAGTTTAGCGGCAGCGACGATCTTATCGATGTTGATATAAGTATCGGCGGCCAGAACACCGTCCAAGGCCACGGCTTCGTCGGCATCGAGCACGTGTTGCGAGAACTTGTCGACGTCAGAGTACACTGCCACCAGTTTGATGCCCATCTTCTTCAAGGTACGGATGAGACGGACGGCGATTTCACCACGATTAGCCACCAACACCTTGCCAAAGGGGGGAGTTTGCCGCTTGTAGTTCTTCCAGCCGCCAAACAGCGAGATGTCAATTGCTTCAGGGGCAGAGTAGCCGACTTCTTCACAGATAAACAGTTTCACTTGGCGCCCCAGAGCGAGAGTTACCAGGCCGATGCCCAAGGGAGACGGGATCATCGCCATAAACTCACCAAATTTGGACACGGGGATGGCATACACTTCCAAGGCAATCTTGACGCCGGTTTCGTCGGTACCAGTGACTTTGCGGAGACCTGGCTTAAGACCTCCAGGTAACGCGTAAAGACGGTACTCAGCAGTGGTAGTGGTGGCCTCTTTAAACACTGCCTCCACTTTTTCAAGCTGCCAGTGTAACGGGAACCCCTTCAAGTGAGCACCGACGACGGCCACGTCCATGTAGCCGGGACCAAGATCAACTTCGGAAGGCAACTTGTTGGTGACTTCAGCGCCACAGACGCCAGCTCGAGCCACGGCAGGCAACACTTTCAGAGCCAATTCAAGAAGAGCATAGTCAGTGAAGGCACGACCCAAGAGGGTGACGCCAAACGGGACCTCGTTGATGAAACCGGTGGGGATGGCAAGCCCGGCCATATCGGCAAGGTTGACGAAGTTGGTGTAAGTACCTTGAATAGAGTTGACACCAATGGGGTCACTGGCAACTTCGGCGATCTTTGGTTGCAATGGAGCCGTGGGGACCACGACACAGTCGATACCCTTCATCACGTCGGCAATCTGCTTGAGAAGGGCCTGGCGCCGGTACTCATACTCGAACGCCGTCGCCGCCAGCGGCGTCGCTCCGCCCAGGATGATTTCGTACACGGTGGGGTCCAACGTCTTGGGGTCAGGGTTGCTATTCAAAAAGTCCTTGATGGCGGCGTAGCGCTCAGCCACCCAGGGGCCTTCGTAAAGAAGTTTAGCGAGCTCCAACATCGGGGTGATGTCGATTTCAACAACGTCGCCCACTTTCTCGAACTTCTTGACGGCAGCGGCGAACGCTTTCTCGTTTTCCACCTTGCCGTGCCATTGCATTTGCTTAGGGACAGCGATCTTGGGGTTAGGGCCAAACAGACGAGGAGGAGCTTCGGGCATCGGTCTCAGGTACGGGTCGTGGTCATCAGCCGCCGCTAAGACGTCGAAACAGGTTTGAGCATCGCCCACCAGAAGGGCAAAGATTGACACACAGTCGAGCGATTTGCAGGCGGGGACGACACCAGAGCACGAGAACACCCCCTTAGTGGGTTTAAGGCCAACGAGATTGTTGAGCATGGCGGGAACCCGCCCCAGACCGGCAGTATCAGTGCCCAAGGCCAAAGGGACAATCCCGCGAGATACCACCAGCGCCAGCCCCAGCAGCGACCCGCCCAGCACGTATTGCGGGTCGAAAGTGTTAGGAACGACACCGTAGGGCAGACGGGTGCCGACTAAACCGGTGGCAAACTGGTCCAAGTTGGTCTTACCGATGATGATGGCACCAGCATGTCTTAAAAGAGACACCACGGTGGAGTCCTGGACAGGCGTATAGGCAAACAGCGAGCAGGCAGCAGTGGTGGGTAAGCCAAGAACGTCAATGTTATCCTTGATGGCCACGGGGACCCCGTAGAGAGGCAACAGCGTGGCATTGGGGCGAGTATGGAGCAAGTCCCACTGGTCCTTGATTTGATCCACCGAAGACAATGCGATCCAGGCAGGGTCTTCTTCATAGGTCTTTTGCAGCTGGACAAGGGCAATAAGCAGGTCGAGAGTCAGCGCCAGCCGCCATTGGTCGACGGTCCAGCCACTAGTGTTGTCCACCGTCATGATTTAGTATGGGGTTTTTACAGAAACAGTACGGCGCAGGGCGAGTTATTTAACCTGGGGGTCCCCATTTGGTATTGTGGCAATTGTCGGCGGTGTCCCTTCGGTGATTCCCGAGAAAGCAGCGTGAATCGTAGTTATCATCACAATCACACTTATCTATTGGTTTCTCAGAAAGCGCACTGATAAGAGATTGTGATCTTTTTTCCTTTGGCAGGTGCGGGGCTCCTAATCAAGACACTTAACGGTCTTTAAACCCCCCCGGACAAACAAACCCATCCCTCGACTGAACTCAACTTTTTCGATACTAACTATTGTCTTTCAGCAAGTCTACTTAGCCAGTTCCCCAACCTCTATCTCTCGATCCCCTGTCCTTGTGCAGACACTAACGCCGATAACGTTGCGGTTTAGTGGCCGCGATAGGCACGTCTTCCTAATCTTTCCGGTAATCGGAACGGCCCCGATAAAAAAAATTGAGGGGTGCAATCAACGGCCCCCGCGGCTTATCAAAATCGCTAAGCGTACCAAGAAAATTATCGGTAACTGAGCGATAGGCATACACTGTATTGTGCTGTTGTGATCACAAGATTGCGTTAAACCAAGCGGGTGCATTGACTGCAAAATTCCTTGGCTCTCTTCCCCCACCACCACCACTTAGAAATAAGAACGCCGCTTGCGGGATTTATATTGTTATAAAAACATATGCTACGTACATTAATTGCGGAACACCCCCGACCGCCCCTTGGCTTCTTGCCGCCGCTTTTTGGGGGCCTGGGGCCCGGCATCGACGTTGGAGCCCGGCTTGAACCGACGCCGCTTCTTCGTATTATTATCAGGCACGTCCTCGGCTCCAAGCACCAGCTTATTGTTCGCGAAATCAATCACCTCGCCGGTATCGGCCCGCTTCTTAGTGTGGATCTGTCTTCTAACGTTTCGAAGAGCAATGACCTCTTCTTTAGACTCAGTGGGTTCAGTGGAGGTTTCCTTAGTTTCTTCCTCTTCCTTAGATGAAGTAGGTTCGGGGGTGGTCGAGGCCAAAGTCTCTTGTTTGAGCTTCACCAGTTCCACCACCACTGCCGGTACAGGAGTACTCTTCTTCACTTCGAGCTTCGAGCGAATGAACTTGAGTCTCTCGATCAATTCGGGAGGGACCGCGCTGCCCAAATCAGCAGGTGCGTCCACCAAAAGGTCATTGGAAGTAGGCAATTCAAAGTCGTTAAAGACGTTGGCGGACGCCTTGACCAATTCGGGGATCAGCAATGACGGTTTGCCATCGTTATATTGGCCAGCCAATTCCTCATCGTACTTGGCTAACTGAGCGCTGACGTCATTGAGAAGCTCGGCGAGTTGACGAGCATTAATTCTCACGGCTTCAGATACGAATCGCGTCAGATTTAACACGTCCAGCAGCTTGACGGGGGCTTCAAGCATGGCAAGCGCCACGAGCGACTGGTTGGGCATAATGTGGCGAGGACTCTCATCATCGGCTCTCGCTTTGGCATCACGCCACTCGTAAAGAGCTCGCACCACCGGAAGCCGGTATCGAGGAAGGTTAAATTGAATCAATAACCATTCGACAGGGTCAGTGATGAAGTTCAGCGTGTTTGTCCCCAGCAGCACCCCCTTCGACCCTTGCTCCAGGCGCGGCATGTATTTAGGGTACTCAAACCGGCGCTTGGCCACCTGCCGCAGTTCGTGGAGCACACCAGCGATGCCATCAATCTCGGCGAGCTTATTTCGCATCTGGTCGTAGATGTAGAGCAAGAAGTGGGTGTCAGCTCGCGCGTAGTTGACCATGGGAGCCGGCAACGGTCTCACTCTCCAGTCGGCAAGCTGGTACTTTTTCGAGGTAGAGAACTTGGCGTAATGTTCCAACAAGTACGCCAAACTGTTTCTGGTAAGGCCTAATCGTTTCAGGGCGTGGAACGTGTCAAACAACGACACCACGTAGAGACCCAAATCACGCTGAAGCCAGATGATATCCATAAACGCACCATGGAACACTTTAACGATGGTGGGATCAGTGAAAATAGGATTCAACACTTTACCCAACTGAGAACGAAGGGCAAGCGTATCGATAAGCCAATCGTGGTCACGATTGGAGATTTGCATCAAACACGTAATCCCGAAATAGGTACGCGTGTCATGGTGTTCCAAATCGACAGCGATCTCGGCACTGTTGGCGAGTTCGTCGGCCATCTTTAATAACGTCTCTTCGTCATCGACCCAAATGGCTTCAGTTTCGTTCCAGTCTTGAGGTTCAATCACGGGAAGTTGGTTGGGAGAGACCACCGTTTCAGGGTATGTTTGATGGTCAATCTCGTAGGCGTATGGCTGAGCGTAGTGGGGCGGGTCTTCCGGATTGTCAGTAATTAGCTCCAACTCGAGGGGCACCAACGAGTTCGGCTTGGATGTGAGACGAGGCTTAAATGGCTCTTGTTCCAAGTTATCAAGCGGGTCAGTGAATTTGAGCTGAGGCTTGGGTATATTCATTTGCGCCTGGACATCGTTATCTTCCACCACTCGTTTACCCCTGATTTCATCGAACAGGCGGTCTAACCGTTCAAATAACTGGTCCAACACATCCAGAGTGACCTTCCAGTCGTCACCAATCACGTCTTGGATGTCTCCGCTGATGTTTTGCCCCAATTGTGTCGCGATATCGGTCAATCGCGAGGTGGTGACATCGAGCTCGGTGCCCACCAGCTTGTCTATTGACCGGTAAAACAGTGGGTCCTGGGCGCCAAGAGCCACAGCAGAACGAACCACCTTCACCACCAGCGGGAGCGCCAGGGAGAAGTCCGACATTATTCAGTGGTGTGTGTCGCTTGGGAGTAGCAGATGCTGCACTTGACCCAAATTCAGTGCGACTTCGCGATGACTTGGCGATGGGGAGAGATATGGGATAATGAGACCTACGAGTAGTTTTGAATGAACTCATGGATGAGAAAATATGATTTTCCTGTTATTTTGGCTTGCTCGGTCAGTGTTTTTGATAATTTATGGAGTAATCTGTATCTACTGTGGTCTATATCATACCTTCAGAAATTAGCCTAACATCATTATCAAGTCTTTCAGTACAGAAAACAGATACCTTTCGCTATATTAACACGTAAATGTAGTTCTTTATTTTGTCTAACTCTAATTTCATACTTTTTGGCTTCTGCCCTTCTCTACCCCCAGATCATCATCTCATCGCGCACCAGATAACGTACATCATCTCATCCAGACATGTTTACCTGTAATACGTGTACCCTAACGTTCGATGAGTCGGCCGAGCAAAGGGACCATATGAGAGGTGACTGGCATCGGTATAACCTCAAGAGAAAGGTGGCCCAGCTCCCGGCGATCTCGGAAGCCCAATTCAATGAAAAAGTGGCCGTGATGAACAAGGCCACCGAAGAAACCCCCAAGACCAGAGCCCTGAAAAAGGAGGAAAGACAACGGAAACGGGAAGAGCTCCAAGAGAAGAAGCGTCAGATTTTGGAGATCGCTCGTAAGGCGATGGCCGAAGGGAAACTGCCTGCTGAAGTCACCCCTAAGCCCACCGAGCAACTGCCTGCTGAATCTGAAGCCGCTCAGCCTACTGAACAGGCCAAGCCTGAGGATGACACCAAGGAGGCTGCTGCCCCTGAAGGTCCTACTGAGGAAGAAATCATCAGTCTCAAGCTTAAGAATAAGGTTGATATCCCTCCCACTACATGTCTCTTCTGTAAGAAGACCCGCAACTTTGAAACTATTGATGAGAACTTGGAACATCTCTGGAAAGCTCACAACCTCTACATCCCTGAAAGAAAGTACCTCGTTGACGTTGAGGGTCTTTTGAACTATTTAGGTGAAAAGGTTGGGTTTGGATTTTGCATTGCTTGTGGCTACCAGGGTCGTACCTGTGAGGCTGCTAGAGAACATATGTTGCTGAAGAGACACATGAGAATCCCTTACGAAACGGAAGACGAAAAGCTTGAAATTTCCCAATTCTACGACTTCTCGCTGACGTACGCGCCTCGTACTACTATTGTCAATGCCGAGGACGTGGTTGCTGACGACGATGGCGACTGGGAAGACGTCAGTGGCGACGAGGATGATGACGAAGGTGACGATGACGATGAAGAAGAGGACGAAGAGTTGCTCACTGGTGATGATATTATCTACCGTCATGGCAACTCGCTTGTGCTTCCCCTGGGTCAAGTGCTTGGTCACCGGTCTAACCAAAGATACTACAGACAAAGTTTGGCGCCGGAGCGTATTTTGACCGAAGGTCAAGGTACGGTTATCGCCGCGGAAACTCGTCACATGTTGACTGTCCCCGAAAGACAGGCATTGCAAGAGTCCAAGCGGGCATGGGCTAAGCAAAAGAAGCGTGAGGACGTCAATGACCGTCGTGCCGCCAAATTTGTTAACAACCAACCATACTACCGTGATCAACTTTTGCAATAATCTTGACGACACATTTTATGATTGCTATAAATACATTACAAACGCACAGTTGAGTCTACCACTTCTTCCTTCGTCTTATTGGTTTGAACGCAAGGATATAATTGTTGGTACGGTTTGCTTACGATCCTGATAAGCAGTTTTCTTCGACTTGTATTAGATGATGATTTAGTTTTCTATACACATATATCAAATATGCTTTAAATTGCACTGTCTGTTCTAAATGAAAAGCCTTGTCATCACTTGAATAAGAGCAACAACAACAGTCCAACAATATAATCGATAAATAGGTTCATGAACACGGCCCACACGCCAAAGAACAAGATCTTGGGTGAAAACACCAGCCAAATAAATAAGTGGAATCTCAAGTTCACGCACAGCGCCATCAAGGTAACCGCTGCTATCAGATAAAACATAAACGTGAAACGCAGCTTGACCGACAAGACCTGGAAACAGATCCGAGGTAAATAGATCAAGTCGGCGGTTGTAGGTTGCTGGTACAAGATGACCGATGGCTCAAAGATCATCTGCAATGATGAAAACAGCCAATAAAGAGGGCCAGCAAAGTTGGACACAAACGTTAACCATCCCACAAGTAAGAGATTGTAGCTCAGCACACCATTGTAAGCGTTCGAAAGATCAACCGTTGCCAAGGAGTTAGTGAACCCCATGGAGAAAAACAGGAGATTAGACACTACCAAAGTGAACGCGCTGATAAGCAAAAGGCGGTAATCCACATCCAGCTTGATCGAACTAATACTGCGCATAAAGCAGTACTTGACCACCGCAAAGGCAATGAAAATGGGAATATTCTCCACTCGAGAATGGTGAATCAAATAAAGCGTGAAAAAGTTGGCAAAAACACTAAAGTAACCACCTTTGATTCCTTTGAACTTGGCACTCACAAGGGAAACAACCAACAATGTTGACATAAAATAAATCAGCGCATTGGAAAGTTGAACTAAAATCAGCCCCACAAGTTGCTTGTCATCTCCAGCATTAGGGTTGTGAGGGTTGATATCGTAGTTAGTGAGCACCCAATAGTATAACCAGCTCAACCAAGCCGGAACATCATGTCCATCAGCCCAATATTGTACCAACTTGAATGACAACAGGACAGACATGGTGACAAACAGGAGAATGAAACCGATGAGTGAACCAAGCAGCTTGAAGTCTGTGGCCCGAGCATTACCGGCGAAGAAATTGAGAGCGCTGACGAAATTCCCTTGAGTAAACGTCAACATGTTATTCACAACGTATGTCAACACAACAAGTGCCCAAAGGACATCGGGATGACGAACCAAGTAGAGACCAATCTTATCATCCAGCCAGTACTTCTGACCACTGTTGGACCAGGCTTTGATAACTCTCAATCCAATGATAACAGCAGACGACCATTTCACATTTCCCGTACCTAAGGCCACAAGCACTGCGAGTACCCACCAGATGTGGTGTTCTTCCTCGATAAGTGACAGTCCGTGGAAATGAGACGAGTACAAGATGGTGACGATAACACTGATCAAGGCCCACTGGCGAGCACGCTTTGAATTGCTTCCCCACAAATAGTAGCGACTAAACAATACCAAACTGATGCCACATGAAAGCACCAAGAGACCTAAGCCGGTGTAGATATCATCATAGTTGTAATTTGTAGCGGTCAGAGCAAGGTCATCCTGAATTTCATGCAAGTAGTGGTATAACTCCTTTTCGTCCAACTCGTCAAAGTTAGCGGGAACTGTATGACCCGCAAGTAACGCCATTTGAAGGGCGTTTTCACGAATCACGTTACCCCTCCGTTTGAATAAGGGCAAGATCTCCTTGAGCACCACCCCCACATTATTCTTTGGAATCGGTAAACCCAAAAGAGCACTCAAGGTGGGAACAAGATCAATCTGGGTGCACGGGCGGTAGTATTGAAAGTTTTCAACATCATGAGGAGGAAGTACATCAAGATCAAGTTTCTTAAATTTGGGTGAAATGAGAGCCAAGCCAGGAGACACTTCTCCGGCCAGTGCCCCACCATGGTTGCCGATCTCATTCATGCCATGATCGCCCATCACCACGAGAACAGTATCTTGATTCTTGTTAATGTATTCATACAAGCGTTGAATCACCTTGTCCATCTCATGTTGTTTGCTTTCCATGTAAGGAGAATGAGGGCCACCTTTATGACCAATATGATCGAGACCCAAGTAATGTAAAATCAAACCATCCCACTTACTGGAGGGCTTAAGCTCTTCATCAAGGTGGCGTGTGACGTTGTGATCAACTTCAGTAAAGTCACTGACATAAAATGAATTGGTACCATCAGTTTTAGTGAACTCCTTTGGGAAAAGCTTCAACCAAGTGTCATCTCCATAGAAGTGAATATTGGCACCCCGGCCAACAAACTGACCAATCCACAGGTCCAGATTCAACGATGTGTCATCTTCTTCGTTGATGTTCATGATAGCATCGAGAAACGAAGGCGTCAGCCCCAGCGTAATCCCTTTAAGGCGCGGAAGGGTAACTGTCGGCGGGTGAGCATAAGCAGTGTACGGGAGCACCACGCCGTCATCCATAAGCTTATGGAAGTAATTCATATGCGACTGATTGCCGTATAACATGTCTGAACGCATGGCGTCCACCACCATGACCACCACTTTTGAGAACGGCGGCTTGGCGAAAGGGTCAGCCTGATGGAACAGCGCTACTCCAGGTAACAGCTGCTTCTGAGGGAAGAACCCTCGACAAAACAATAGCAACCCCACGACATTGATGGCTGCAACCAATAACTGGCCCCACCACTTGATAGGCCCGTTGACCATGCTGTTGGAAATTTCGCGACCCCACAAACACGCGTGGGGTCCGATATAGCCCTTCGCGTGGGCGGGGACAACAAAACAATAAGTCCAGAGGACGGGTAGTGGTTTTTTAGTCTCAGTCTAAACCATCCGAGAAAAGTGGTTTCAATTCTATGTTACTAGACTTACTGTCTAGATTTATTGTTTCTTAAGAGTCTGAGAAGTGACTCGTTAACTGAGACGTTCGAAATAACTTAAATGATAGAAGTGGATCTCTGTGTGTTTTCTCTGCTAATCCATGACTCTCTAGATACCCCAGATACCCACTTCCTTATAACTGCTACTTTGTTGAAAATGCTTTGAATCAATACGACTTGTGTTTATCATGGCTCTGCGCGTCGTCAAGTCGATGGAGCTCAGGCGTGAGACGAACTTCACCTGACAAAATCTATGAAAACTAAACAATAATTCCACTCTTAAATAATTTGATCCGCTCATAGTATATATTTAGCCTCCGATCAATATTTATCGACGCAATTATTGTTTTGCCCTGACAATTCATCACCACCATATCACCATCTCACCACCTCTTTTTCATACACCGCGCGACGACCCATCACATCATGGCGGCGGCAAGCGATCCCTCCCGAGCAATGTGGACGTTTGACAACGCCTTGCTGGTGTTGACAGATGTCAGTCCCAATCTCCAGCTGCCCCATCTTGATCAGTTTCTCCTCACAAACAAGCTGGTGCTTTTGGACCCAAACCCATTCAAAACAAAGCCTGATCAGCAGCCGAAAACCAAGGAGGCTCTGGTAACGGTCCGTCAAATCAAATACACCTGTCCGAATAAACTGGATGCAGAAACGGTGGCTTCTCTATTGAATGTTGATTACAATGAAGTGGTACGCATCATCAGCCAACTGGCCAGCACCTTCGCTACCCTCGAGGAGAAGCCGGAGAAATATAAGCTGAAGCTTCCTGATGACCGAAAAAAGCAACTGGACGACCAGCGGGTGTTCTTTTACTGCACCAGAGTTTTGCAAGAACGGCTAACAATCTTACGTTTGGTCATTTTCTTATTACGCCAGCGGGAAAACCCTCTTCAATCGCCAACTGTCCGCAATTTGGGCAAGGAGATCTTCATCAATACAAAGTACATGGCTTCGGCTATTGACTCCCTCAACAGCGTTTTGAAAGACGTCACCGATCCCCCTGTTTACCCTTCAGAAGATCTCGAAACCTTGGTTCACACCGAACTGATCATTTTCGTAACTGAAATGCTCAAGGTGATGTTTGAATTGTTACTTCAGAATCCTACCGTCACTGTCGAAACAACGACAGCATGGTTCAAGGACTATTGCGCTCGTCACAACTGGCTTCTCGCTGTGGGCCCTGCTATCGCTGTGAAGTTTCAGGAACAATTTGAGCTTCTCAAGGGACTTACAACCATGTGCAGTGTTCTCTTTTTGGATTTAGAACGTTCTTTTGATGTGGAGAACGCCATCGAGTCGACTGCCTCAAAGCAATCATTTTATTATGACAATTACACTGCTTTGGAAGCGATCAATCGTGTCATAACTGAAGCTACCCGTCCGGGAGATGCTCCGATTGTTAGCTATTGCTGGCTCGTATTGTTATGGCGTAAGTTATACTTCATCCAAGATCATCCTCTGGCTGGCAAACCCCCATTTAATATTCAGGAAGCCATTCATGTGTTACAGAAGCACACCTCGGTGCTGCTTGTATTCAGCGAAATTGCCCTGCTTAACAACCTCTTGAAGTTCGACGGCATATACCTGGCTGTTTTGGTGCAAATCATCCTTGCTAGTCCTTTGCAAGAAGTCAGTCCAGAGTTGACTCATACCATCTGCCAGGTGGTGCAAAACTGCTCTCCTGTTGTGATCCAACAATTCTTTAACAACCCGGTGATTCAAGACTACCTTGTGCTCAGTCGTACCCGTTTCCCTCTCGAGTTGACCCCATTTATTAATCTTGCACTGATCAATGGGCAATTTGCTGATTCTGAGTTTCACGAACTCAGACTGTATACCACGAGTCTTTCCAAGCAAGAGTTGGAGAGAATTACTGTTATTGACGATGATAACACTGAGCTCATCAAATTGAGAGAGCCGCTTCAAGTTTACCCTCCTCACGAAATTACTCATAAATTAGAATTGAGGCTCGACGTTGGCACAAAGGCAAAGGCTTTGCCGGCTGCAGAAACGACAAAGTCGTTGGTAGCATTCCTTTACCAATACAGTGGTTGGGAACTCGTTGGACGCATTCTTCATAACATATCCAAATTCACTACCACCGCTGAGCCTGATGTCATGCAGGTAGCTTTGCGCATTGTCCAGTTAATCAATCAAGTACTTGAGGACTCTGAGCGCAACGAGATCACCAGAATGTTCAGGGATCTACTGGTTCACACTGAAAATTTGGATATTTTCGAGGTGGTATTGCGGTTGTTTGAGCAGGCTTTGCACACACGCAATGTTGAATTGGCGACGGCTGGTGTCAATTTCTTGCGGTTGTCTGTTCCTTATCACAGTGCTGGAGTGTGGGCCTATTTAGCGAGACTGCTGCTTTTCTCTGCTGACGGTAAACAAGGTCTTGCCGCCATCTTGTTTGGTGCTATTGAAATGGTTTCCGGTAATTACGACTTTACCTTTGCTCTCGTCAAGCTCACGGAAGCTCTTGCTCGTGACTGTATGGAGTGGAGTGCTCATCCCGTGCCTCACGATGCGAAGCCCCTGATCATGGCACGCTTCGCCAAGCATCTAATCTACGTTTTCGAAAGCTTTACGCATTGTCTGTTCAACAAAGCCTACGAAAAACTTGCACTTGGAGTACTGATCTTGCTGACATTTCTGATTATGTTGGTGCTGGAGTATGCTGAAGATTATTCTCTGGCGCTTGCCGAGCTGGCAACTTTGGTGTATGGTGCATTCATGGCGGACTCGCACGATGTTCCTCGAGTGGTGTCGCCACTCTTGGCGATGATTGACACGATTGCGGGACCAGTGGACCTTTATGAAGTGTGGGATACATCTGGTTACGTCCATATCGATTGGATTCAAAGATGCCTTGAGTTCTGCAAGCTCTTGGTTGATATACATCAGACCAGAAAACAAAAGGTGCAACCCAAATTTGAAGAGGCTCTTTATCGCAAGATGCCTCAGCTCGTTTTGGCTTATACTCAAAGTCAACTTGTCAAACGTCCGATCATGGAACTTTTGTCCTCGCTTGTTTTGGTGCCTCTGGCTCCCCTGATCTTGTCGTTCATGGGTCAGAAACTGGCTGAAGTGATCATTCGTACCATCAAAGCTGATCTTCAAAATCTGTTTATGCGTCTTAGCACAAAGGACGCTATCTATGACTTCATTTGTGCTATAACCAAGGGCGACAACCAACAAGGTTTGTTGGTACTCTTGGTCAGTGACGATTCATCCAAGTTGTTGTTGGGTAATGAAGAGAAACTGGAACTGATTACTACGATTCTCAAGAATAATGTCAGCAAGGTGACGCCGCATGAACTGAGTTACCGTTTGCTCAATGCTATTGCCCTCACATTCAACCTGTGGGCAACTGTACGTCAAACTAAGAACAGTGATGATTCACATTTCATTGATATGCTTACTTCGTGGATGGCTGACCTCAGTAAAACTGATTCTACTGCTGCTGTTGAAAAATGGACCTCAGAAAATAGCTACACTGCTACCGTTCAGCGTGCTCAGGAGTTGCGAGTAGTATCCAAAATCGCTGAAATTTTGGCTCTTTACTTGTTCACAACCACCAACAAAGCTGAGTACCAGAAAATTTTGGACGCTACTCCCAAAATTCCGTTTGAATCATTGTTTTCGATTCGAGGATATTTGCCTCAGCTCTACTCTGAGTTAGATGCTACTTTTGAAACATTCAACACGTCAGTGACGCAATTCATCAACCGCTTGCCTCTGCCCGAATTCTACCGTGTCGATTTGATGCATCAAACCTTTGGGAAGGAAGAAAGATGGCCCAAGCTTCTTAGCGAGGTGGAAGCCGCGGCCACCAACAAGCTGTACATCATGGCTCAAGCTGATGTCGCGAAGCTGGTCGGTGCACTTGTGGTGTCTCTTTGTCGCAAGTACCCTAAACTGGTAACTTCTGCCATGCTCAAGGTAGCCGCTACTCTTCTTCAGTTGAACTACGACGAAGGGATTCCCGCTCAGTTATTCGAACTGGTGTTCAATGAGCGCAGTTTGGTGGCATTTTACCTTGTCTACTGCGTATTTACCAGCGACGCTAAAGTTGACGCACAAGTTGCTTTCGATATCCTCAAACTGTCGCTTTCCCTTTTATCGATGCTGGCAGGTGTGAACTTTTTGCTGACTTTGAGCGGTCAATCACTGACATCACTTGAATCCCAAGGTAACTATCGCCCGTTACTACGCATAGTCTACTGTGCACTCAAGATGCTCAAGCTGGAATCTAGACTCATTCTTGAACAATTCAGTGTTTTCCTCGAAGTGTTTGATCTCATGTGCAAAGCCATTCGCACCATTCTCAATGAGCTTCTCAATAAGGTGTACTTGAAGGAGACTGAGTTCAAGACAATCAATCCGTTGATTGACGACTTGGTACTTGTATTGTCGATTTTTGAGGCGTTCCTCGGTTTACAATTTACTGACCCCATCTTGGCGAACTCCAAATTGACGCGTGTCGTTGAAGACAATGATACCATCAAGGTGTTGCTCAACTTTTACTCCATGTCGCATCTGATTGAAATCAATCAAGAGTTTGTTTTTGCTCGCTTGTCGTTGATGTTGATTTTGGAACTCATGAGTTTCAATGAAGCTATTGCCGACAAATTTGTTCAAGCAGGGTTGTTTGTGGTTCTTGTCGAGTCACCAATGTCATTACCCCTTCGTAAGGGTGGAGTCACGATTACAAATGGTGCGCAATATCATCGGATATGGACTAATGGTATCTTGCCGATAATAATCACCACATTAAGCAAAATTGGTGCTAGTGCCATTCCTGAAGTCAGCTTAGCTTTGCAATTGTTTGGTAAGCAGATTGGTGGTTGTATCCTGAGTTGGGAAAATGACTCAAGTCTGATCCAAGTTTCAACCGCTTCAATATCAGAAACTGGGCAGATTCTTTTGATTTACGAGATTTTGAAGTCGATGTCGGCTACTGACTATTTGGCAAATGTTTATCGCAAGCATCCCAAGTTGCAGGGTGAAGGTGATGAAGTCAATGATATGCCTATGCTTTCAGGATTGGAAACTCCCGCCAAAAGAGAAAAGCTTTTGTTGTGTTTGACGAACTTACTAAAGCACCCAAAATTTTTATCTACTCGAATTGTCCCCAGCTCGAATGAAGAAAGATTGATAATGGAGGCGGGTTCTGAGCCGTTTGAGCAATTCGTCAAAGGCGTTATTGATGACATTCTGGAGTTGAAGGATCTTATCTGATTGAAGTAATTAATACATACGTAAGATTTTTGAAAGAATTTTATGGTAGAGTTTGCGTGTATAACAATCGTAAAACAACCAGATGCTGATTTCGCCAGATTTTTTATCGATGAGTCATTGTATTTTCGCAGATTCGGCAACTGTTTGACTTTCATGAAGTTCTATATCTAATAGAGGCTTCGTTCCAACCAAAATTGAGTCACCAACGTGAAAATCTTCTTGAACGTGGGTATCTATGTCAACTAATAAAGCGGAAATCAAAATTTCCACAACGTCTTTGGTAGTATAACGGTTAGTATTTCCGCTTGTCACGCGGGAGATCGGGGTTCGATTCCCCGCCAAAGAGCTTTATTTTTGAACCTTTAACCGTGTGATCCGTCCACGCGTTATTTTTTTGCGAAATTTGAACTGAACTCCATCATGCTTTCGTGGTTAGACATTAGTGGCTATACTATTCTAGTCTTGGTGTGGGTTATCCTATTTGTGAAAGCCCTGGTGGACCTTATTGGTAAGCCTACTCTCCAACAATTGGGCTGGCAACTTTATTTGATCATTGGTCCGAAGCTTGGCCTCAATAAGGGTTTTAACGAATATGGGCAAAAGCGGAAAGAGTTATGGGAGACCACTCGAGAAAAACGTTCAATTTCCGCTCAGGATCAATATGCCAAGTGGACCAAGCTCAATCGCAAATGTGACAAGTTGAACGCTGAGTTGAAACTGTTGGAAGAGCAAATCTCCAAGGATAAGGCAAAGGTGAACACGGTGGTGAACCAAATCCTCTTCTTGTTGGTCTCGGGGCCTGTCTGGTTTTTCCGAATTTGGTACCGCAAGAATGTGTTGTTTTATCTTCCTAAGGGGGCGTTACCGAAACAGGTGGAATGGGTGATGGCCTTGCCCTTCTTCGCTACAGGGACTGTGGGGTTGACTATGTGGATGCAATGTGTGGGTCAAGTGTTATCTCAAATCTTATTCATGTTTGAGTTTCTTTTCATTGATAAGCCTGTTGCCAAGCCTCAACCTCCTAAGGTCTCGCAGAAGCTCGAAAAGTCGCCTCAAATTGAGGAAATAGAACCGGAACCCGTCTCCTAGATGTATATTAATGAATATTTTTGCATGCTTCATGAAATCGTTCTGTCATCAATGATTTCAAAGTCTCACTTGCAGGAGTGTCAAACTTGTAACGATAAGTATGGTTGCGCTTAGCGTGAAAGTCGTATTGTGCCCGCAGGGCTTTGAGCAACTCGTTGCCCTTAGTGTCTTCTTCTAGAGTAGCAAGATAATAGAAAGAATCCATAAGTTTCGTCCACACATTGAGATCGGCGTTATACTGGAATAAATCGCCCAGATTATCAAGAACGACAAACACAAAGCCGTCATCGTTCATCTCCAACATCTTTACTGCTGATAAAACCATAACGAGTGGCTTCTTTTGTTGGTCGTCATATTGAGCAAATTTGCCATTGAGAATTGGAGCAAGTGATACTCCCTTGAGTTCAGCTTGAACACCATTTTCAAAGCGGTACGAATACATCAACCCTGTACTAGTAACGAGCAACACTCTGTTACCGGCTACTCTTCTTACTACCACGTTTGCTCCCAATTCGATAGGTGGACATAACGCTGACCCCAGTTTGCCGCTGACAAACCACACGGTACCCAGAAGAGATACCAAAACGAGATATTCGAAACTCTCGTTTATGATAACTGGTATAACCTGCTGAATTCTTTGAGGGTAAAACAAGATCAATTCACGATCGTCCTTGTTTTGGTTATTACTGACAATGACTCGAGTGGGGTCATTAAAGTCAACGGTGTCATTTTTGATCAGGTCAATATTGTCATCATCATACTGTGTCCATGGCTGTCCATTCCGTACCTCCACGGTCGTTGTGATGAGCTCGTCATCCTTTTTATGTTGGAACAGGTTCACAACGATTGCAAACCCAACATCTTCATCGATGTCCATAGTTGTTGAAGTAAGTTCAACCAGGGGGCGGGCGTCGCTGTTACTCATTGTCCCGAGCATTGTTTCGACGTCGTGATTCATTACTGCCTGGTTCATGAATACTATTGGCGGCAAATTCGACACGGATTTCAATGCGCTAGGATACCTCAGCTCCATATAACTGCGTTTGAGCTTTTGACGTTGACGTTTCAAAGTGGCCTCCAGTACCTGAGGAACCTCCTCAAGTGCCATATCATCGTTATCATTATCCCCATCTAAACCATTCCCTTTTTGGACTCGAATGCTTTCTCTCAGACGGATACCCTGTACTGCCGATGCCACCCCCAATCGGGGGAGCATATAGTTCGGGTTGCTGATTTTGGCTGCGATGACTTTATTCCTAGTGGCAGTTTGTGAAATAAAGCCTGAGTTTGCGTTTCCTGATGATGACACTAAGAGAGGAGCGACTCTTTTCTTACCATTTTTGGTGGTGACGGCTTGATTCTTGAGTTGCTCCAGAGTCAGTTTAGTGGATACGGGAACGGCTGCGTTGGTCTTGGTAGCACTCTTCACAGCTTTCGGAGTGGCTACTAATGGCCTGGCTGCTGGTTGGACCGAGTCTTCTTCCGCGAGCTCTTCGAGGCGAAGCTGATTTACACTTTCCGGGAAAACATCCAGTCTTCGATCAGCACCGTAGCGTCTCAATTGTTCAGCCACTGTTTCGGGACTCACTACTCGACCAAGTTCGCCCTCTTCAAAAATAACACAAGTGATGGTACCATCAAGACTGGAGAAGTAGAGTGTTTGTCCATCAGGTGACCATGCCATATCAGTAATCAGATTTTCTGAGATTTGGTCGGCGACAAGTAACGGACGAGTCAGAGCTGTACTCCACAACGCAAGCGAGCGGTCTTGTCCGCCCGTAGCCAAAACAGTAGAGAACACAGGTGTTTTGTCTTTCGCCAGCGATGAATCGAAGAGGGCAGGTGAAAACGATGTAACCTCGCAGGGAGCTTCGTGACCAATCAATGATACTTCGGAAGTCCAATCCCCACGGTTGATGACGGCTACCGACGGAACCGGTCCGTTGGTGGCATTAGGCACAGCGATATGTTGGCCATCGGGAGACCAACTTAATCGCCGGAAATATGACGTAAGCGGTGACTTTTTGAACGGATCTAACACGAGATGCTCCATTTGAAACTCAAAACTGCTTTCATTCGATTTGTAGTAGTACCGGAAAATTCTGACTGATCTGTCGTCACTAGCAGTGGCAAAGAACTTCCCCGCAGGGTCAAACACCACCCCCTTCACCATTGATTGATGGATGTCATATCGCTTGATTCTTTCGAAGTTGGTGGCGTTCCAAATAATAATCGAACGGTCTAACCCCACTGTTACCAAGAGATCACCATCGGGAGACCAAGCAATATCTTGAATATCATTATCGTGGGCCACCAACCGCTTACGGACTTGCCAGTGTTCCAAGTCTGCTTCTTCGCCAAACTGAGCCGGTCTTTGTTCTTCATCCTTCTCCCAAATAAGACAGATTTTATCGTCACTCCCCAGAGCCAAGTATTGACCATTGGGGCTGAACTTCACCGTAGTCACCACCCCGTTGTGTCTGCTCATCGAGCACATCGGTCTCCGTAGATTTTCCGGGGGGAGCTCTTTGCTAGAAGTGAGTTTCTGCTCCAACTGTTCAGGAGTAAGCTCAGCCGTCTTGTTGCGTTTGCTCTTTCGAGTGTTATCTGATTCATCCAACTTGGCAAACGGGGTGATGGTGGCGGTGTCCCAGATGCGGACGTTGCCGTCTAGCCCTCCCAGAGCGAGCCTGGTGCCATCGTGGTTGACGGACACCGAGTAACACTCGACGGTCTTGTACTCCCCTGCAATTGTTAGTAATGTTTGACTTTTCAAAGTTGATGATATTCACGTACCTTTATGGCATAACCAGGGTAATTTGAGCACGTGCATGGGTACTCTAGACCTCCCGTCGTGTCGATAATATCGATTGACTTAATGCGCACAACTCCGACCAGATGGCTGAAAACAGACCTGGAATGATTGACAGCGCGAAATTGTAAACATGATAAAACTGCAAACAATTTGAATAGAATTGTTTATTGATTATTTGCTGTCGAGTGTTGTTTTACTTTTTAATGATGTCTATGCCTCATTTCTATAGTTAGTATTTTCCTATTATTCTGCAAAATTATGGTCTAATTGACAAACGTACCATCCAAACTTAAACTCCAAAACTCAGCATTTTCCTTAAATCCTGAAATTCAATCAACTTTAGCTTCCAGGTAACTGTTACAAATATAGCCCATTTATTACGACGAAAACAATCCATAAATATATATCATTACTCTCAAATCCATCAATTCGCGTAACCTGCCAATGTCCCTTTTTATAATGCTTATAATGCTGCCACCTTCACCAGGGACGGGTGGGTTGCCCTGTAGGCCAAAATATGAGCTCTGACCAAGTAATTGTCAAAGCGATTGCAATATTCAACGCCAGTCTTGCCTGATTCCTTGAGAAGGCGCCGGATATTTTGCACCAACTTCGCCTTCACGGCGTCATTCTTGATCGCCTTAAGAGCAGCGGTGCTGGGAGTGTAAATGACGACATCGTCGTCGTAGTCCATACTGGCAATGATGGCTGCCTCAATCGCTTTCAAATCACTATAGACTTTCCCCGATGGGATCGAGAGTCTGTCAGTGTCGAACCCTTCCAAACACACCGAGAGATTGCGGGGATCGTGCTTGCCCAACCACACCCCGTAGCCAACCACCCACAGCAAGCAATCCAGCCCCATCTCGACACAGCTGCCGCCGACGTAGATCTCGACCGTCATCAACCAGTGTTGTCCATGCTAAATTTCAAGTGAGAGTCGATGAATCTTTCATATGAAGGGAGGGGGCTGCAAACGCTGCGCCTTAACCAAAGGTGCGATTGACTATATGAAGGTACCAGTGCAACTTTAAGCATGCCATTAATTAAACATGCATAAAGCTCTGTAACTTTAATAGTGGTGTATGAATCAGTTACCACCTTTAAATTAGCCTTGGAGATTGCCACATGAGTACTAGCTCACACTACGTTCTTTTTACCTCCTGAAGGGCACGCGACAGTACTATGTTACGGCTTCCGTGCACACCAGCGAGCAAAGGGAAAGGGTTACTTTCCGGAGCCAGCGATCCGAGAGGATCGGCGGGTATTTTACCTCCACAAAACTAAGCGAAACTATAAAAATGTACGTTAAGTCTATTAATTTCTATAATGCAAATAGTAAACTGAATTAAATCTTAGTCAAGCAGACATCAGGGAACTCGACCTCTTCGCTGTTGCCTAACCCGCCGGCAAAGTTTTCCTTACACCCATACTTCTTAATCGGGAACCACCAGTAGCCCAACGAGATGATCATGTAGATCACCAACACCACGCAGAAGTAGTTCATCGTCCCCCCAGTCACGGGCATGAACGAAGGGAAGGAGAAGAACACCAACGCGAACAACGCCCACAAGAGACAGACGATGTTACAGGCAAACCCGATCTTGCCCAACCAAAAGGGGCCGTGCTTGATGTTGTTACGGCCCCGGTAGAGCAAGCACAACACGGGGACAGCGTACGACAAGAGAAGCATGGTGATGCACCCCACCACCATCGAGTTGAAAGCGGCGTCGGACACGAGGTAAAGAATCCCCAACAACGCCACCCAGGCACTGGAGAACAAGTGGGCGTTCAAGGGGACCCCCAACTTGGGGTTGACCACCGCCAACCACTTGGAGAAGGGCAACCCGTTGTCACGGGCGAACGACCAGCACAATCTCGTTTGCCAGGTTTGCGCGGAGATGGTACAGCCACAGGCAGTCAAGAAAATCAAAACACCCAAGCAAGTGGCCCCGGCCTTGTTACCGAGGGCCTGGTAGTAAATATCCAAAATGGGCATACCGGTGGAGGAGTTGTAGATGTCTTCAAGGTTTCTGATGCAGAAGAACATGGCGATGACGTACGTGAATGACGTCAAGAACCCCATGGTCACTGTCCCCAAGATGGCTTTAGGGATATCAGTTCTCGGCTTAGTGGTCTCTTCGGCCAAGTGGGTGGCCGAGTCCAAACACGAGAACGACCAATTGGGGTTGACTAAACCAACGATAAATGCAATACCAGCGGATTTCCACCCGGTCTGGTTGTTGAATTGGACAAACACAAAATCGGCGGACTGGTAGTGGCCACGAGAGCAAATAAGCACGGTGAGGGAAATGGTGAGGTACGAGAAAATCGACACATACAAGACCGTTTTCCCGATGATGGGCAAGACGCGACCGTAGCAGTTAAACAACACGAGGAAGGCATTAATGAGTTCATAGATGACGAATAATTGCCATTTTTTCGGGACGTGATCGGGGTGGTTCAATACCCAGAACCCCATCAATTCGTTAGCGATAGCTTGAGCCATCGAGGCACAGGTGAAAAGAGCCCCACCCCAAGCGAGCGACCCACAGAGGTAGGCCAAGAAGTTCAGGTACTTTCTCGGAGCCAACACTCTCGTCCACACGTACTGCCCCCCTGCCGACGGGATCGCCGACAGCAATTCGGAAAGGGTAATACCGATACAGTATGACACCAGGGCGATGATGATGATCCCGTAGACAATCAAAAGAGGACCACCCGACTGGATACCGGTGATCAACGACGCCGAGATCCCGAACCAGGAGTTGGTGAGGCCGAAACCGATGGCAATCACCGAGTAGGTGGAGAAGGTACGCTTCAACTCCCCTTCGGGGAGCAGGGTCAGCTCAAACACCGAGTCTGGCGGGGTACCATTTTTCTTTTCAAACGAGTTTACCAGGGCCAGGTCCGGCAGTTCGCGGCTGTTGACGTGTTTTTCCAACAGCGTTTCGACGGCTTCAACCGACTTATCGTCCATGGCTACAGCGAGATCGAAATGGCTAACGGCGACGGGATCAACGATGGGGAGGCGGCTGTTTTATAAGAGCAGAAAAATGCGGTAAAGATTTTCCATCATGCACTCTGCATATAACTGGGAGAACAGGTGCAGGTCAAATAGTTATCTCGGGCTGCGAACCGATATGAAGACGCCGTAACAGCCAATCATTGCGGCTGCGATGCAGACATTGCCCATTCACATGCCAGCGGAATTGACCCAAAATATGTACGGGGTGCGGCGTCTGCGATGCCAACACACGGCGTAACCGTCGGTTATCGTAATCCCCCCTCCCTCGTCGTGGTACTGTGGTCGATTTATTGTTGACAGCCGTTATGCGCAAAAAAGAAACGAGAGCAACTCTAAAAGGGGTTTTTTGCGGGCGGTGCCGCGCTGAAAGACAATCCGCGATGCGATGGGGTCTAGGCGTCGAGCAGCTCCTTTTGCGTGGGGTACTTCGCATGGATTCGGCGACGCTGCCCCCCGAGCCCACGGCGATTGGTAGAGGCGAATTTTTTTTTTCCTCTCTGCTTTCTCGATGAGATGTGGGTAGTAGAGCGGGGTTTGGCTGACGATCTAATACTACACGACGAGTGCGACGCCTTCCGCAATACACTCTCGCAAGGGGCGGTGGCTCAACGATGACCTCATGAATGCAGTTAACAGTCACACGTACACTAACTGCAAATACGATGCCCTTGAGGGAACTAGACTAGCAACACACTAGAGGTAGAATTTTAAGATTTATAATACGACCTGGCTAGGGGCTAGTGGTATAACCGAATGACACTCTCTCCTCACTTTGCTATTATAGGGTACGGCGATCTATCATAACCTTGGCCCAATGTGGGGATGACGACAGCGTAACCTTTTTTTTAACTCCGGAGTCGACAGTTTGCTGGGGGAACGTCGAGTGCAGTACAAAACGGTAACGGAACACCCTACCTTAGTAGTGATAAGGGTATATATAGTTTTTTTTTGAGATAGCCCGGCCCGAGTCACGGCCCCCTGGCCGGGGTCGCGCGAGTCATATCCATCCCCACGATTATATTACAGTTAATTTAGTGGGGTGCACCGCCAAACTTCCCTTAGGCCGAGCGCTCGGACTGAGAAATAACCTCTCCCGGGACACGACGATGCGCCACCACCAAGGGCAAAGCGTGGAGAAGCAAATACCGGGCAAAAAAAAAAAAAAAAAGTGACGTTGTGGTAAGCGACGTCGTCAACCGCCAAATATCATCACGTCTACAACCACTAGGGAACCCCTCCCCTATAATAGCTAACACAACAATCAGCTATTCTCACGTGGCCCATTGTTTGTCATTGTCTGTTGTTTAATCCCTGACAGTGTTCTATAGTCTCTTCTTTTTCTCGTGCTTTCCCCCCCCCCCACGTTCCACCACAAAACGGGCGTCCGTGGCCTGGCGGTGGCTTTCGGTTCGCACCACTCCAAGTGCGTGCGGAAAAACATTTTGGCTTTCATCCACCCGGGGCCTCACTTGCCAATGAACAACACCCAGAGTAAGGCCGCCGGCGCCCCGCTGGGCTCGCTGGAAGTGTTCTGCGGCGGGGCGACGACGTCGCAGCACATCGAGGCCAAGGACGACGAGCACTTCGAGACGACCACCTTCGCGTTAAAGCGGACGCCGCTGCTTGGTCTCTTGGACGAGTTCATCGACCCGGAAAAGCAGGCGGAAAAGATCCATCTGGCGTCTCCGGGGCTTAAGCAACTGCTGGGCAACTTAGCCAGCCTCGCCCACGCCACCCCCGCCGCTGCTGAGCCGCCCGTGGCCGAACCGTCAAATGAGGTCACGCCGACACCAGCGTCGCCAAAACCACTTACGACTGCGTTCGACTCGCCCGAACTCATGCCCCACGACGACGCCGACATCACCAACGAGCCCCAGCGGCACGTCGACTACTTGCTGTACCAGTGGGACATCACCGATATCCTGAAGCTGTGGCGGTATATCGTGCTGAAACGCAACACCGTCACCAACGCCGCCCGCCTCGAGAACGCCAGTTGGCGGACGTGGGCCCAGCGGCAGGGGAACTTGAAAACCATCAACCCCGAGGTCGTCAACTGGCTGAAGGACCTGGACGTCACCTGGCTCTACGGACCGATCTTAGAGGATGATAATAAGAATGTCGACGATGACCCCCACCGCCAGGTGACCGTCACCTCCAAAGAAGCCGGCGATATCAGTTTGCCCCTGTATAATAAGCCGAAAGGGATCATTCGCCAGCGGCTGCGGCTCGACCGCATTATTTCCCATTCCAACTTGTTAAAACACGATTTGGCCGCCAACCGCGAACTACAACGGCGTAAAGATGAACAACAGGCGAAAATGGAGGCGCTTAGGGACGCCCCGAAGCCGGAATTTTTCGACTACCACGCCATTACCGGCAGGCTCAACCAGCAGTATAAGCACTCGCAACCGCTGCTGAACCTGCTGTTGACGAAATTGCAGAACCTTTTGAACCACAAGATCGACACCGCCCACCAGCCGCTGCCGCTAGCCGCGGTGGCGCTGCCGAACCTGCCACAGTCGGAGGTGACCCTGGTGGACCTAAACCCGCCTAAACCCGAACGCCACATCCATTTCGACGAGACGGTGATGCAGTGCATTGCCGTCGACAACTATCTGGACCTGGACGGCGACGCCGACGTGGCGCCTGCCCCCAAAACGCCGCTGGCGATATATCTTGACTCTGACGACTCTGACGACTCTGACGACGACGATAAGGACGGCGGTTTTTTCCTTCTGGTGCCGTCGTTGGGAGCGGCCCCCGCCATCGCCCTGTCGGCCCGCGCCCTGGAGCTGGAGCTGGAGCTGCTGGAGCTTTCTGACTCGGTGCTGACGACGAACCTGAAGATGGAGTTGCAGACGATCCGCATGCTTCTGCCGACGACGATCAACTACGGTCTGGAGGACGAGACCAGCGACGACGAGTACACGTACACGCTGCTGTTGAGCCACAAAGCCGAGCACCGCGGCTACGACTACTACTACAATTACGACTATGACCGCGTGTACACCGACCACCCGGCGTACGCCGAACTCAACACCCCGGACGTTGTCGACTGCCCCGCCGACATCGCGATGCAGTTCAACAATGCCTCCGTCCACGACGGCAGCGGCAGTGCCGCCAGCACTCCCATCGTGCTTGAACCTCAGCCAGGTCCCGGAGGACTGCCAGTGGCGATTATACCCCAGGTGATCGCGGCCCCGGGAGTGAAGCTGCCCCTGACACCAAAGCCTCAACCGGCGGCGGTGGAACTGGACCTGGACCTGGATCTGGACGACGGTCTTTCCATTTCTGCGCTGAGTTCGTCCAAGGACTTGGCGCAGCTGGTGTTTGGAATGACCCAAGCCGACCACTTCCCCGACGCTACACCGGCAGAACCGGTGGCGGCCCCGACGGCCTCGATTAACCCTAACCGCCTGCAACTGCTGTTTATCGCCAAGCAACCGCGGTCGCTGGGACTGTTAGCGGCGCTGTTCTTTGGCGATGCCTCCCAAGCCGACGGCGGGGCGGTTAGATCGCAGCTTTCGCAGCTTTTCTTGGGCGACACCCAAAAGAACAACCTGAACTCGTCGTCGTCGACGGTGGCCCACACGCCGCTGTCGGCGCTTGCCGACCTGTTCTTAGGTCGGCTGGCGCTGCTGTTTGACCGTGAACCGTCACCGCTGGCGAAGCTGGCGCCGCTGCCACCGCAGACGTCCCAGGAAACGGCGACGTCGGTGTTGAGTCCGCCGCGACGAGCCCGGCTGGGTTTTTTGCTCCAGGACTCCGACTCGGAGCTGGACAGCGAGTAAAAACCATCATTGGAAGCATTTGAGGATTGTATATATGGGTATTTTCCTTGCCACAGGTACAGTGTTTGTTCGCACCTTAGTGGACTAGTCAGTCATAATAATAATTTCACACACGAGCGAAGGCAGAGGCCACCCCTAGTACTATATATCCCACCCCAAACTAGGGTTGCGATATAAATCGAACCACCGCAATTGTGTGGCTAGCCCCACAATTTCCAGAACATTCTTAGGGCCCGTGCCTACATACTGTACTATGTCGCATTTTCCCTCAGTAACTGCTGTGCCACTGTGAAGGAGTATTCCTAAGATTATTGCAGAGGAATTTCACTGCTAAAAATCAAAACAAATTTAAAAAAAAATCTCAGGGCCGAGGTTTTTAAGCAAGGGGTCAATTGGGCCTCCCTCACTTAGTACACTGCTCTATTTGAAATTGACATTAGTCCGCTTTCGGCACTGTATATGTCTAGATCTATTGTTTGTCCTGTACTGTGGGTTGCTGCTGCAGTTACGTCAATGATGTAAGAAGGAGAGTGTACGGCGAAATGCCAAATTTGAGGTTGAGCGTCTTAAATGTTGGCACATAACAGGGGAGGGGAAATGCTCTTAACCAATAATTCACAGGGCATTTAAACCTTGAACCGAACGGCATTTAAAAACTGACGGTCACAGTTATATCACCTTGCTGGTGATTGGCTCAAATCCAATTGATGTGTACTCTCTCTCTGCTTGTTTATCTACCCGATACTCGAGATTAGATAGAATAGCATAGCCGCAGGAAAAATTTAGGGAAAGAGCCAAGAAACAATGATCATGGAACGACGCTTTGACCTCTAAGTTTTAGCTCACGACGACCAATGCCGTGTCCAACATCACAATGTGAAAATTCTTTTCAATAAAGATTATATCAATTAGCCCCCGCCGCATAGGTTTTAGTATAGACTCTAGGAGTGACTACATCATCCATGAGTCAGCAGGGCCATCTCGGCAATCACCACCAGTAGTAAACTCCACTGCTAGAAATCAAATAAATACCCCATCCCATCCCCTCTGACGCCCTTGAAATTAAATTCCTCACCTTATTTGACCCCCCACCTCCGTCGCCGCATCGCCTTTGCTTCCCCTCGATCGTCTAGACGAACCCCACATCGCTCGCGTTAGCCCTTTTTTCGGAGACTAAAGGCATCGAGCCGACCGAAAGCGGACCCCCCACTCGCGAGCTTCCTCCCGCCCAAACATGACCAATGTCGGCTCCCCAGACACGGGAGAGCCCACCGAGCCCGAGAAGCTGCGGGCCAAGCGGACGCTGGTGGCGTGTATCCGCTGCCGCACCCGCCACATTCGCTGCCCCGGTGGCGACCCGTGCAAGAAGTGCCAGATCGCAAAGGCCAAGTGTGAATACGTCGAATTGGATAAAAAGATTGTCGTGTCGATGAAGTACCTCTCCAAGCTTCACGAGGACATTGCCCGCTTAAAAAAGGACAACGCCCTGTTGAGAAACCTGCTCCATGAGACCAGAGTACAAGAACTGGAGGCATCTCGCCGCAGAACCCTGGGCACGCCGCTGCTCCCGCTGACGCTGCCGGAAACTATTGATCCTCACAGCCAGCACGAAGTGATACTGCCTCTGCTAGATAAGCACGGAAGAATGGTCGAACTGCGTACGGGAGAGAAGGTATACGTAGGCCTGCTGCTGATGACGCTTTTTGGCCTTGAAATCCAAAACATGGCGCTGGAAAGTCCTCACTTCTTAAGTCCCGGACACATGTCTCCTGGGGCAACTTCTAATACCCCTGAACTGTACGGTGAACCCAAACGAGAAACTCAGATATTGGAAATGGAGGGGAACGCTTATAAGATTACCCTTGCTAAGACCAACACTCGACCGGGACTTTCCATTAACTTTACGTTGCCTCTGTACCTGTACGCGATGCTTTTAGTTGATACTTTCGTCAATTATAACGATGGGTGCTTCTATTTCTTCAATGAAGGGCTTGTGAAGCGGTTCCTCATGAACGTGTATCTGGGCAAAACTGCTGAGAACCGTCGTATCCTCACACGCAACAACCCTAACGAAGCTGATGGTGAAGATTATACTATTTTGGAGACGATATGGTTCTGTAAAGTGCTCCTCATCTTCGCCATTGGCGAAATGTATTTGGGTACCGAAAGCGACCAACGGATGAAAATGACCAATTACGAAAAGCAACAACAACATAAAGTGCGTCGTCCGCCTCGAGATAACAGCAAAAAGAAGGATACCTTACCCGGACTGGGATTTTTCCATCAAGCTCTGGAATTGTTTACGGGTTTGTTTGCTCTGGGAGCGGTGGATAATATTACTAAAGATGGTGGGGTTGAAGTGATGTTACTTTACGCTTTCTACCTTCAGGTAGCGGACTGTACGGTGGCTCTGTACTTCTACTTTGGCCTCGCTCTTCGGCTGGCGTTAATACTAGGGTGGCATGTCGATGCTGATAAGGATAACTTGAACCGGTACGAGCTTGAACACCGTCGCCGCATCTGGTGGACGGTGTACATGTACGAACGGATGCTTCTGCTGAAGGCGGGACTCCCGCTTTCGTTCGCTGACGACCTGGTGAGCACTGAGTTGCCCTTTGATTTCAAACCCGTTGAAGTGTTTGATGAACATGATGTACGTCTGTACTATCTCTTCCCGCCTGCGGACTACATCAACAACTGTGTCACCATCACCCAGATCAATGCCATCATCTTACTGCTGCTTTACACAAAGCAACCGACGGTAAACATTTTGCCGGTGGTGTCGGACTTGGTGCAGAAGCTTTTCAACTGGAAGGCCAATTTACCTGGTTACCTCAAAGTTGACTTCACCGTGGAAAACTTAAAAGTCAGCCGGTTGGTGGTCAACTTGATGACGGAATACTTCCAGGGGATCAACTTGGCCGTGAGGCCGTTGCTTTTCCATTTCGCAACCAAGAAATTGAAAGAACTTCAACAACTGAACCTGGAAAATAAGTACATCGATTTGACGAGGTTTTCGAAAAATGTGTTGCTGTTGCTTAATCTGAGTTTCCAAGCTCTGATCAATACCATCAAGCTGATCTGGGCGCTTGTGCCGGAAAACATGGTGGCCTTATTTGGGTGGATGGATAGGGAGTATTTGTTCACGCTGGCGCTGACATTGATTCTTTTCAACGCTTCATTCGGCGTACATGAGGCCACCAAGGAGCACTTGGACCATGCCCTTACCGTGTTCACCAAGATGAAGAGATTAGGCAATTACCCTGCCGCCCTCCGTCGGGCTCAATTGCTTAAATTGATTAAAGTTCTTGACTTTAACGGGGTGACACAGGACTTGATTGCTAAGCACGACGATCCGAGCTCCAATAACGACCCGACGGTGATGGCTGACCCAGCACAACCGTTGAAGCTGGAGTTTAGCTTCTCCAATTTGGCAGAACAATTCAGCCATTCTCTGAACCATCAAAGCGTCGGTGACCTTGACTTCATGCTGTTCCTGGCGAAACCAACAATGGACATGCTGGAGCATGATAGCTTCAGCGTCAGCATCAACCACCAGTCGCTGGCAATGTCCACTGGTAGTGGCCCCAGCTCCAACCCGCTGCTGCACCCGTACGTGCTGGATCTAGCTGGCATCGAAGGGGTTACTTTCCCCGACGAAGAACTGAGATTGTGGACAGAAATTACCAATGATGCTCTGTGGCTAAATGTCCAAGCGGCAGCCGAGGATCACCCAGCGACGGCGCTGCTGCTGCTGATGCTGCCACACCCTTTTCAACTGAAGGAATCGCACCCGACGACAGCGCTGAGAGGAGGAGCGGCGTTTGGCTCCCACGCGTTCGGGGGCTATCTGGATCTCCTCAACCAGGAATTCAGCGAGTTCATGGACCCGCATCCTTAACGACGTAATGAGAAATTAAATAACTATATTAATGCGATATAAGATTATCCACAAAGTAGGTTGGTTTTACATAAAGTCTAGCTGTCCCCCCATCATCAGCGACGGCACGTTGGCGTAGTTGGCAGGCCCGCCCGAAAACCCCGAGCCAGGCACCCCTTGGTTTCCTCCAAGCATCGAAGGCGGTTTTTGTGGTGGCTGCTGATGGTGCTGTTGCTGTTGGAGTTGTTGCTGTTGAAGTTGCTGTTGTTGGAGATGTTGTTGATGTTGTTGTTGTTGGAGGTGTTGCGGCTGTTGCTGTTGTTGTTGCTGCTGCTGCTGTTGTTGTTTCATCTGGTTTATCTTCATTTTAAGGTATTGGACAGCCTCGGGGTATAGTTCTTGCAATTTATTATACAACGGCGACAATTCCGCCATATCCGGCGGGGCATTGAGAATAATAGGGAACTTCATCTTGGAGTTGGTGGGGTCACCCTGGTATTTCTCATGGATATACAGCAACACCCCCAAATTGCAGTGGATTCGGCGGGTGTAGTGTTGGTACAGGTCCATTAGTTGTTGCCGTTCGTGGGTTTGCATTTGGCTCAACGCCTTCTGGTTGAGAAATACGCCATTATACACCGAGAGAGCCTTTTTGATGAGATGGGTATTGATCACGAGAAGAAGGGTAGCCCGCTCGCGGTCGACCTCGACCTCCAGCTTCATGATGGGTGTTGCGTATTGTGGCTAGCCTCGGAGCCACGATCACGTGGGGGGGTAATATGCGATTGCGTCGGAAGAACTTTACACCCGTGCAGCAACAGCAGCACAACACTAGGCGGCCACGGCCCGAGTATTCACGGTGTCCCCGCCAACATTTCAAGCTTGGTGACTATGGGCTTCAAGCATAACACACCAAATATATGTCTAATATGACTTAAATGATATACAACAATAATATCGAACAAGTTTCAAATACACTAGAAATTGAAATTCAATCATCACTTAATGGTTATTCAGTGCTGTAAGCTCTATCAACTTATAGTGGTGACCCGGGTGGTAGACAGCGGTGACGTGTGACTTTTTTTTAATCTGCAGGACAGGATTGCGGGATCGCCTCGATCCCCTAAACGACGTGCCACGCCCCCACCAGCGATCGCAAAACTTGATCTAGTTGCGACATGGACGAAAACTACGACGTAATTGTGTTGGGTACCGGTCTTACCGAGTGCATCCTTTCGGGATTGCTTTCGGTTGACGGCAAAAAGGTGTTGCACATCGACCGCCAGGACTTTTACGGTGGGGAACTGGCCTCGCTCAACTTGGAACAATTGTACAAGAAGTTCAAGCCCCTGGGCCAAAAGCCCGAATTGCAAGGCCGTGACCGTGATTGGTGTGTCGACTTGATCCCCAAGTTCCTCATGGCCAACGGGGAATTGACCAACATCTTGGTCCACACCAATGTCACCCGGTACATTGAATTCAAGCAAATTGGTGGTTCTTACGTGTACCGTCTGGGTAAGATCGCCAAGGTTCCTTCCAACGAAAAGGAAGCGCTTTCGCTGTCGTTGATGGGGATCTTTGAAAAGCGCAGAATGCAAAAGTTCTTGATGTTCATTGCTGACTACGATGAAGAGAACGCCCTGACTCACAAGGGCCTCGACTTGGACAAGAACACCATGAACGAGATCTACAACCACTTCGGTCTTGACTCCGGCACCAAGGACTTCATTGGCCACGCCATGGCGTTGTGGTCGAACGACGACTACTTGAACGAGCCTGCTCGTCCCACGTACGAGCGTATCTTGTTGTACACTCAATCGGTGATGAAGTACGGCAAGTCGCCTTACATCTACCCCCTCTACGGTCTCGGTGAATTGCCTCAAGGTTTTGCCCGTTTGTCGGCTATCTATGGGGGTACTTACATGTTGGACACCCCCATTGACGAAATTCTCTACGAAGGTGAAGGCGAAAACAAGAAGTTCGCTGGTGTTGTCACTAAGGAAGGTACCGCTAAGGCACCCATCGTGATTGCCGACCCCACTTACTTCCCTGACCGCGTCAAGAAGACCGGCCAACGCGTGATCCGTGCCATGTGCATCTTGGACCACCCCGTGCCCAACACCAATGACTTGGACTCGGTGCAAATCATCATCCCTCAAAACCAAGTCAACCGGAAGAACGACATCTATATCGCCGTGTTATCGTCGGTGCACTGTGTTGTGCCTAAGGGTTACTACCTTGCCATCATTTCAACCATCATCGAAACTGAAACTCCGCATGTTGAACTTGAACCGGCATTCAAGTTGTTGGGTCCCCGCATCGACACTTTGATGGGCATTGCCGAATTGTACGAACCCAAGGACGACGGTACCAAGCTGGGCATTTTCTTGTCGAAGTCGTACGATGCGTCGTCGCACTTTGAGTCCACCACTGATGATGTCAAGGACTTGTACTTCAGAATCACCGGCTCGCCCTTGGTGTTGAAGCAACGTCCCGCTGAAGAAGAAGAGTTGAATGCGTCCTAAATTTGAAGTATACAAATCATGAATAAACCCACGAATTCCATACACAAATTATTTTATTTTATTTGTTGTACAATATTACTGTAAGGTTTATTTTGCATTTTGCTAATCTTGCATGAGTAGAGAATGTTTAAGGTTGACATTTATAGGGTGCATCTAAGTGCCATCTTGTGACAGCTTTGAAAATGTAAACAAACCTTACAGCGTTCTGGATCACGGTCACCATTGTGTACAAAATACTTATCGTGATGGCAATCATCCTAAAGTCCGGCGCCAATAACAAAATCGCTTCACCTTAACATAGTTACCAATTTGTTCCGTTGTATTAGTCTATAAATATACTCATCCATTAACCTCTTCCTCCCACTATGCTCTTTAGTTATTCTAGGTTCACTTCTTTGCTTCTGTCTTAATCTGTCTCCGCTTAGATTTCCACCAGTCGAAGTCAATAAGGGCTTGCATGCACCCCCATTCGGTGATTTTATTCTGCAACCACACCAAGTTTACGGGCTTGGTCAAGAAATCGTTACACCCTGCCATCAAGGCATTTTGTCGATCGACCGAGGAGTTCAGCGACGCCGTCAACGCGACAATGATTACCGGTGACCGGAAGCGTGAAAGATCGAGACGTTCTTCATCTTTAACTTCGGTTTTGTGGCTGCTAACATCTTGAGCAAACACACCGATGCGGTTGATCTTCTCGAGACGACGGATTTCCTTAGTTGCTTCGATACCCAGCTTCACGGGAAGCTGAATATCCATAAGCACCAAATGGAAACCACCTTTGCGCCACTTGTCAATGGCTTCCTGACCGTTCTTAGCAATTTGGTAATGTATCTTGTGCTTCCGCAAAAATGCACCCAAAATAGCCTGATTAATGGCGTTGTCTTCCACCACTAATACCAGAATTGATGGCAATACTTTATCCTTGTTTGAAAGAGACTTTGACGTTATTGCCTTTTGCGAATGAGTTTTAGTTGAATTAGGGCGAACCGGTTGCGACGCCACCAGCTCCTTCAGCAGGTGTTTCAGCAGAGTTGGAGTACTCAGTGGCAGTGAAAGCGGAGGTGCGCCACGTTGAGCATCCAAGAGCTTTGCATCTTCAGAAGATGGCATCGGTGACAGAGGACGCGGCGATCCGGGTGGCTCTTTGGGTAGCGGTTTGCCCAGCTTATCGAAGCTTTCGTTTTGAGGAAACGCCTCAGGTCGAGGCAGGTCTTGCTTGGCATCGATTTTCCCCGACTCCGGTCGCTTAGTCGGCTCATTAGAAGAATTCAAGGAGAAGTTTCTCGGGAGTAATAACACTGCCAGCAGCAGCAGAGCGGGTGATTGTGGGGGGATGGATTGCGAGCGGCGATGTCCCACCAGGTGTTGTGGTGGTGCCAGCATAGGTGAGTGGCGGGGGTTTGTTGGCAGTCCTCGACTCTCGGGAGCATTAGGATTAGTAGGGATTGGCGAGAGCCGGTGCTGAGGCAGGGTGGCGAACTGAGGCAGTTTGACGTGCTGTGGTTGAGGCGAGTGGAATGGGGGTTTGTTTTGATGGTAAAACACCGCCGCCGCCGCCAGCTTGGGGGCGGGAGGTGCTGGTTGCGGGGCATCCAACGACGACACCTCAATGATAAACGCGTCGGGCATGGCCATGCCGTTAGGGTAGTAAGTATCCAAAATCAGAAATACGTTTTGGTCAGGTTCCAAGTTTATGTAGCGATACAGCTGCGTCGGCGGCTTACCCACCTGAGGGCTCTGAGGCGTCTTACCGTCGGGCAGCACCAGGTTGGGGGTGTCTTCCCGCTTGTGGTGGCGCGAGCTGAAGTCGAGCTTGATGGTGATGTCGGCGGGGTCAAAGTAGCGGCCCAACGTGTTGGGAAACTTGTTGATCACTGCCAATTTCAAGTCGTCGACAATATCAAAATCGTGGACAATGATGGTGGTGGGGGCACCAGGCCCCGTGGCCGTCTTCACCCACACCCGGCGAGTGATCATGGAATCCTGCGGGTAGTTAAAACTGTTGGCGGGCGGCGGGAACGAGAACGTGGGAGTGTAGCTCACCAGGGCCGCCCGCTTCTTTTGAGGAGTGTCGGAGTAGTGCGCCAGCAGCGGGGCGTACATCCCCACTGGCAGCGTTGGGTTATTCATGTAGTAGGGGTTCGCCGCTCCCAGGGGCGGGGCACCCGGGCCCCGGTTGAGGTTCAACAGGGACATGTTGTCGAGGGGGGCGGCGCGAGTGATAGGCGTTTTTTCTCCCTGGCTAGTGCGCTAGAACGATAGCGGGCCGCAACCCTCGAAGATAGTGAATGTGGAGTGGTGGTTTGAGGAAGAGTGTTAGTGGGTGTTTGGTGGGCTAGGCGGTGGCCGTGGGACGCCGTGGGTACATTTATATTTTTTGTTCCTTCATAAGGGGGCTGAGAAGTGTACTAATTTGAGTGAGTGTGTCGTGGGTGTATAGTGGGTGTGTGAGATAACGACTGGACGCACCGAGAACCAAACCCGAGAGGCGAGTGCTCCCCCACTTAACTGTGGAATTTAAGATTAAAATATCATTTTTGAGTGTCCAAGGAAGCCGATGGCCCCGAAATGAACGTGGCCTCGGTTCCATGCATTTCAGGTGAAGCAGTCGAAGTTAGGGGCAAACAGTATGGCGCGTTCGCCAGCCTTGAAAAAGTGATATCATAGCGTCGCGACCAGCCCCCCTCGCACACCGATTCGCGACATCCACAACAAACCTTGCAGGTCACGACAATCCCGTGGTTATTCGGTTATCAGACACTAGCGACAAGTGCTGCCATCAATATCAGTTGAATTAACTTAGGTTCAAGGTTCGAGAGATACCGGGGTAGTTTAGATAGAAGACGGGGGGTTGCCCCTGGGGCTTTGTTGACGCGGCGATTAAGGTTTTCCGGATTGATCGCTGCGTGGGCTCCCGCGCGCTGGCGTCTGCCTCGATAGCATTGATGCGGTGCGGCTAATCTAGTCATATGTATTTCAATAAGCCTAAAACATCTCCCAAAAATAACTGGCGGAAAAGAAGTATACAAAAATAAGTGGTTTTCATTTGACAGGAATAAAATCGTCGACTGCGGTGACGCGCAAGTCGGAATATCGTATAAGGAGGTGTAGAACACGTCTCACTTAGTTGGGGAGAACGTTGGCGAGCTGCTGGCCGACGACGTTACCAGTGTCGTAGTTGCAGATCACGTAGTAGCTGTTGCCTTGGCCTTGGCAGTTCTTGACGGCACAGCCAAGCTTCGAGGCCCCCTTCCACACCACTTGGGTGAAGTGGTCAAAGGTGTTGGAACCGTAGGTGTAGTCCTTGACTTCGTCGTACCAGGCTTGCACGGCGTCGGGGCCCGACTTGTAGCCGACAGCGAGGTTTTCACCGTACTTGCCGCCGGAGTGCTTCAAGTTCATCGAGCAGTCGTAGCCGTTGGCGTAGTTTTGCGCGTACTGGGCGATGGTGTCGTCCCATTGCAAAGCCGGGGCCGAGTGCTTCGATCTGAGCGAGTTGTGGATGTCCAACATCGATTGGGCAAAGTCGTTGGGGCCCTTCGAGTCCGAGGAGCCAGTCGACGAAGGTTGAGGGGCGGCAGACGACGACGAGGTGGTGGTCTGCGGGGCGGCTTGCTTTTGCACGCCCTCGGTGGGTTGCGCTTCCTGGTCGGCTTGCTTAGTAACCAAAGTGGTGGCCGCGTTGTTGTTGTCTTGTTGTTCGGGTTGTTGCGTGGTGGCCGCGTTACCGTTAGCGTAGACGGTGACGGTGACTCTGGCACCGTCGGTCTGCTGGGGTTGTTGGGCCCCTTGGGTGACCCAGTGGATCTGGGTGACGGTTCTAACGGCGGCGGCGTTAGCGAAGGCGAGAGTAGAGGCGATAGCCACGGCAACGGAGAACTTCATTTCGTAAAGATTGGAACGGTTAAAAAGGGTAACCAGGAAGGTTGGAAGGGTGGGGTGAGGGAGTGTGGTAAGGAACGGACGGGTTTAGGGTGTGAACAGGTGGGCCAAGCGCAGTATTTAAATGAGGCACCCGCTCGCTCCACCCAATGGAGAATGCAACCCTAGGATTAGAGCCCCGCGTCGCAGCATGTGCATAGGCGCCATGCGCGGCACGCATACCACGCGCCTCGATATGGCCAAATTCCTAGACCTCGTGCCACGAGCGCTGGGCGACGTTCCACACAAAGGCTCAACACGCCACAAAACCGGCAGTGTCAAAACCATACCAGCCAACGCCTGGAGACGGGTGGCGATGAGGTCGGTTTGAGAGCTAACCTAAAAAACTTCACTTAGTAGCGGCTCGCTGCCGCCACCGTCGTCGTAGAAGGCCATCACCGGCACCGCCCAAGCGTGTTTGTGTGTGATTTTCGTGCCCTTGGCATGAGGGCGATGTGCCGGTGCATGGGGGAGAATTGGCCTAAGCAACGAGAGAATGTTCGCCAAAACGACATTGCGGGATGGGTCAATAGACGCATGGCCCCGCAACCGATGAAAAATCGGTTTTCACTATACGAGTCGAGACCTTTAGTCAATGCCCCAGTGCTCCCACACACCCACAGGGGAACATGCCCGTTGCCCCCCCATATTGCCACTTCATCACCGTGCTTGCCGCAGACGGCCACGTACAGAATAATTCCCCCCTTTGTCGTCCCCCCTTTCTCGCGCGTGCGAAATACGATTGTATACAAATTACCTGCATCGCGGGCTGCTACATAGCGACCGCGGCATCGAGAGATTCGGCAACGGTCTCACTAGGGTCCGGGTAGCGAATATCGTAGTGAGCCTCGACGTCGGCCGCCCACTGGGTGAGGAATGGCTCACGCGACCGCGCGAGCATGTCGAGGTCGCCGACGACGCAAAGGTGGCGCTTGGCCCGGGTGATGGCGACGTTAAGCCTCCTTTGATCCCGCAAGAACCCCACCTCACCCTGGCTATTACTGCGTACTAACAGCATGATGATCACCTCTTTCTCCCGCCCCTGAAACCCATCGACAGTGGAAATTTCCACCCCTTGTGCGGCGGCGGGCACCAGCCGTCGCAACCTCTGCACCTGGGCGTTGTAGGGACTAATAATGCCGATGTCGGTGGCAGCGACCCCTGCCTGTAGTAGTTCGCCAACGTGGTTCCACACCACAACCGCCTCCATCTCGTTATACTTAGACCCCGTCGACATCGCCAGGTCGTCCTCTACTCTCTCCTCAAAGTCGCCGCCTTGAGTGTCGTACCATACGAGAACCGGCACATGGTCAAAAGTGATATTTTCCACACTGCTGTCGGCCCTGAGCTTGCCATCGTACAATGTGGTCGAGGGAAACTCCATGATGCGTCGATTCATGCGGTACTGCACGTCCAACAACTTTCGGTATTGGTCGCCGCCAATCGTCATGAGCCGGTCGAAAAGCGTCGTTTCTAACGCCTTAGCCAGCTTCACCGTCGGCGGAAGTTGTTGGTTGTCTCCCGCGATCACTAACCGTTTGCACCCGAGATGGTTGACAAGTGGTACCCAGCACTGCGGCTCTAACAGCTGCGACACCTCATCGATGATGATAGTGTCAAACAATGGCAGGTCGGGGCCCAAGTGCAATGCGTCGTTTTTGTACAAGCTGGTGAGCTCGTAGGCAGCGGCGCCGTGGAGGGTGCTCACCACCACTTTGGCGTGGGTGATGAGATCGCTCACCACCGACTTCTCTCGGGCCCGCATCTCTCGCTTAAGCTCTTTGAGCTCGCCGTATAACTGGCGCCGCTCGCTATACTTCTTACACTTACGGATCTGGCCCCAGGTACTAGTAATTTCGTTGGCAATATCCACTAAAAGCTCGCGGTTATCGCCGCCGCCGGTGCTGCTCAGCAACACATCCAACGAGTGGCGGAGGTTCTGCTCCAAGAGGCGGGCGGGATGGCCGATACGGATGATTTTTTCGTCATTTTGCTTTTGTTTCTTTTTCAGTGCCCGGCGGGTCTTCGTCAGCGCCGACGTCGGCGCTGCCTCTAGATTGCCCGAAAGCCGTTCTAAAATCGTGTCCACCGATATGTTCAGGGGACCACACACAAGCACTCGTTCCCCTTTAGCCACTAGTTGCTTGATGAGCTCGATCACCGTGTAGGTTTTACCCGTGCCTGGGGGCCCATGGATGATGGTGATGGGCGATCTCAAAGCGAAATCTACTGCATCCTGTTGCAGCTGGTTAAGATGGGGGTTGAAAAATACTGGGGGTTGTGTCAGCGGAGGCGGCGGCGTAAATTGGCTCTCACCAAGCACAAGCCGGATGACATCAGGCTTGTCGGTATCCCGGAGCTCGGAGAGTTTATTCATTGCTGTCGTCATCCGTCGGTAGGTGACACTGTTGGCGACTTTAGCCATCCAGCAGCGCACGTCGTCGTTGACCTCGGCCCCTTCGTCATCAGTAGACACCACCACCATTGTCGGGGTAATCTTGACCACCACCGCGGTAAAATCAATCACTTTGTCGCCGTGGTTGCTCACTTTGACTATATCTCCCGTCCGGATGAGGCCCGGCTCGATCCCTTTATCTTTCACCGCCAGATCAAGCTCAAACTCCATCACGGTCTTGCCCCCCAACCCTGTTCGTGTACTGGCCAACACTAAGTTGGTTATAGCTAAACCAAGCCGGGCAAGCTTCTTAGGGGGATAGTTTTTGAGGTAGGCCTCGGCATCGTCGGTGTCGGCCTTCTGTTCCTCCTCAATCGCTCGTTTGAATCGGTCCACCAACTGGTCCATGATGGGTGAGTGCGGCTCGCTACTGTTTGGGGTAAAGTCTACCAGCGATAAAAAATGACTACAAACTAACTGACATAGGAGTGGGTGGTATTACTGAACTATTTACTGGATCTCTCTCGTCTCGGTGAAGTCGGCGACGTCCCGCCCCGTCTGGCTCTTCAACAACTCGTTGGCCTTGCGTTCGGCCATGTCCAACATCAAGTTTCTCTGCTTGAAGTAGCCCAGCATTCTCAACAACAGCACCGTATAGTCGTACCCCCGTTCGCCGATGGCCAAGTAGTTGCCAAACCACCGGCGGATGTCGACCGAGCTGAAGTGACTGGTGTCGAAAACAAGGCCGGTGTTGCGGTGGACCGCCGCCAAAATGATCAGCACTAGCACGAGGTCAAACCCGTAGTGTACCAAGCTCTTTATCTGGTGATTAGTATCGTTATTGGTGTCCCCATACTGGCTCAACAAAAACTTACCCCCATGGCGATGTTGTGTACCGATCCCTACTGTCCTGCACTGCGACAATGATCTTTGTCGCATCTGAAATTTCCTGGAAATACAGGCGGGCACTTTTCGGCGAGGCGATATTTCCCGAGGCTAACCTTGGCTTAAGGGGTTTAAGGGCGGCTACAAGTGTAAGTGTAAATTACGGGCTGGTTTAGTTCACTGGTGTTTGACCTCCTAACCGTTTAACCACTGGTGTGTCCCGATCGGTGCGTCGCCGAACCTAATTTCGAATATCACAGGGGTGGCAAATAGAAAGCAATTCACAGGGGTAAGATTAAGTGGGCTTACGGATACGGCAGATAGCCCAGGAAAGTGCCGTTGTTACGCATGCTATGGCAATTTACTGCAGCCTATCCCATGGGTTGCGGCTTAATTACGACAAATGGTTTATGCATGTAATTAAATTATTTCGGCCTGAGGGTCTAGATAGTGATCCATATGCAAATTAATTTTTCAAATTACGAGGCTTTTTCGCTCGCCTCGCCCCGGACTCGTTTCACCACGCGGTCAATGTCACCATTGGCCCAATCTCTCACCCGCTTGGTTGCTCCCATGCCAAACCTTAACATAATTTTTTCAAGGTTGAGCTGGAGCTGCTCGTCAAACACGTTGGCCGACGGATGAATCTGCAGTTCAAGCCAGCCTAAACCTGCGTACCGGGTGACAAGTACGTCGATGCCCTGGTCGATTTGTTGGATTCTGGCAATAAGCTCAAGGATGAGCAGCTTGATTCTCATCGAAGCATACGGTGACTGGTATAAGGTGAGACACCACTCGATGACCCCAATATTTCTCACAAGCATGACATCATCAGAGGAGACCATCCCTTCGCGAATCGTTTGAAGAAGCCACGACACTTGCTTATAGTAGTTGTCTTCTTCATCACTGGACAGAGTCGCTCCCGCTTTGGCAATGAGCAGGAACAACGGCACGTCACGCGAAGTGATCTTGGGATGACCAAGGACAAATCTGTACGTTGGCTCGTACATAAAGTGGCCGGGGTTTGAGAGGAGCTGACCAAACTGAGCGTAAATGTACCAGTTGAGATGGGGGATCTTCGTAGCATATTCTTGTTGAAGAGTGTACAAGATATTGGACAAGTAGATGACGTAGACTCTGTTATCCTTAGCTTCTTTACCATCCTTGGCGTCGTTAGCTTCTCTGGCGTCTTTGGCGTCACCCTCATGGTTCAACGACCGCACCATACCGCCAACAATGGGAGCAGCCAACTCACGCAAGTTATCGTAGCCCATAGCCATTACCAATAGCGGCAACACTTCGGCAGCCACCATTTTACTGATATCGAATTTGACTTCATCACCATTGACTTTGACAAGCTCGTCATTGTTAATGATGATCAGAAGCAAAAACTCAAGATCATAAATAGAGTCATTATACGATCCAATCATCGGCTCCTGGCGAGCATGAGCAGTATTTTGGAAGAACAACTTGGAAAGCAGCACCACAAGTCCCAGCTTTCCTTTCGTAATTAATCTCGGTTCGTCCAAGCCGTACTCTTTCTGATCGTTAGAGGTGGTCTCACTCAATTCCCACTCAATCACCCCATCGATCCAAGATTGAGAAAGTTTCCCTTCCACCGATTTAAGCACTTCCTTGAGCAAAACATCCTCACGTCTAGTGGTACCCAAGTATAATAGCAATACCTGTTCTTGGAATAAAGGAGTAGCACACTTGCTGGCACCCTTCAGGTAGAGCGTAGAGATGATTTCCGCACAAAGTTCCCGGCACTTGGCATTCGCAGAATTGGGCAATTCATGAAGAGGCATGCTTTGGTTGGTGATGAAGATCTGAAGTACTTTCTCATAAGCCATTGACGAGGTTCCCAATTCGATAACTCTCGATGCAAAGTCAAGGTACTTTTCATGCTTGACCCATTCCTTGTGGGCACCAAACACTTCGAGTTGAGTATTGATAATTGCTGTAGGGACAACCCTCCACAAATCAGAACCGAGAGCACTCTTCAAAGCCAACAAAAAGTCGTCAAATGACTCGGGAATCGTCGAGCACTCAGCGTAAACTTTTGTAATGTAGAGCATACATTTGTGAAGCCATTTACGACCCTCAGCAGAATCGGAATACCGGTTCTTCAATGCCTCCACAAATTGTGGACAAAATCCATAAATGTCATTCTGCTTGGCCACAGCGTCAAGCAAGCGTGTGGTATCAACATTACGACGATTCAACACGGTAAGAGACTGTTTCCATTGCGTCAAGTTTTTGGGGTCATCAATCATAGCAAAGGCATGCTTCTCTGCCTCGTTCAGGAAGGTTTCGGGAAGCTCAGACACGATACTCGCCACGTATACCATCAATTCTGGGTCAGTGACATTCTTAGTAACATATTCCAAGGCCTGTTCACGAAGAGAAGCATCGGGCGAAGTGATGAAAGCAGCAATTAACAGTGGGTCAATGACCATTTTGGAATCAAGATTGGTGAATTCGACTAAACCTTCAGCAACTAACTTTGCGGCAATGTCCTTGTTGTCAAGATTATTGAACCATTGTTGATCCACAGAGATTTTTCTCTTGACCAATTCTATGGCCAAGTCATCATCAACGACTTGATCTTGGAGCAACTGTTTGAGCTCCTTATCAGTCAACACCCAAGCAAACCCAGAAACCTCTTGTGACTTCATGACCAACTTGTTAGCGTAAGTCTCAGTTGGCTTGCCATTAGTTGTCGCAAATAGTAACTCATTTATAAGGTCCCGCTTCAACTTATTTTTCCAAGTCTTTTCGTAGAACTTAGGACTATTCAAAACATAGTTTCTGAGAGCGGCATCGTTCACTGCCAAAAAGTAGTCACACATCATCTTAAATACAGCCACGATGACTTGCGTGTCTTGTTCCTCAATGAAGCGGAGTAAACCAAGGCCAAACTCATACTTGCTGATAATACGCTTCTTCTCCAAAGCTGAAAGTTTCGATTTGAGTTTGGAACTCAAAATTAACAGGCTGAACGAATCGTTGTCTTCATTATTCAGAACAAATTTCAAAGAGACGTCATACTCTTGTGCCAACTCTTTCAAATCTTGTTCACGCTCCCCAATCACCACTAAGTTTTGCAAGAAATTGCTCAACCAGGACAAAAGAAGTGGCTTGTTTGTAGACTTGTCGAGAGCAAACTTAAATTGTTCAACAATCACCACGGCGAAAAGAGCGACCCCATTGTGCTTTTGTGCCATGTCGAGATACTTGTAAGACGTTTTCATGGCTCGAGAGATCAGCTCGTCAAGAAGATTCCACACATCATCAGACTCCACATTCTTAACGGACCGAATAAGAGCCGCAATCAGCAGCTCTATAAGGGTTTCCTTGAAAAGAATGGTGTTTTCCACAAGCTTGTTCAAGATAGACTCAGCTCGGCCGTCAGCATTATGACTGCTAAGTTTCACGAGTGAAGTGAAAAAGGAGTTTCTATCCTTCAGAGAAATCCACCACTTGAGCTCTTGATCTCGGTCTTGAGCTGCTAAAATCTGAAGATACACATCAAGTAAAACAAAATCAAAGTTCAGCGTTTGCTTATCATTGATCCCGGCAGTAGCTAATTTGAAAATCGCAGCTTTCGGAGCTTGAGGGACAGTATATAACTGTTCGTAGTAATTCATGATCTTGAGTAAAGTAAGCTTAGTTACCTTAGGTACGGACTCAGCATTGTACAACTCGAGAATTTTGGTGATATCAGGAAGATTTTGGAAGGTCAACTCCACAAGTTCCTGTCGAGGGCACACTTCAAGCTTCAAAACACGCTCTAATTTCTGGAGAGTGTACATCACTAAGTTCAATGCAAATTGATTGATCATGGGTGTAGGAGAGGTCAAACACTTCGTAAAAGCCTGTTTCGAAAGCGGTGCCAATGCAATGGTTTCGGCCAATTTTCGTGAGTCGGCATCACCTGTAAGTGCTATTTCCAACTGGAGAATGTTGGTGTACAAGAGAGTGTGGCCGATCCACCACAGTGACAATGAAGGGTCATGGTAACCACCACCGTTTTGCACCATCCAATTCATGTACGGACCAAGCAATTCGATTTGGTGACGCTTCAAAATCTCAATGACAAGTTGATGCTGACTGTATTGCTCCCAGGGCTTGAGTGCTGTGAGCAAAACATATATGAGGTTGTTGAACACCTTGAACTTTTTCTTATTAATCTCCATCTCCACGCCACCTTCGTTCTGCCATAACTGAGCTGGCAGGACTGCAAACGCCAATCCAGCTTTGGGGTCAGTGGCCATCTTGGTCAAAAGTTCAGTCAACTTGTCGGCAAATGCTTTATCGAGACGGGGGTATAATTGAACAATCTTGTGCATAAAGTTCTCATTAAGAATCTTACACTTGCTTGCTCGTTTCATTGAGTTTTCATCAAGAATCTTGTCATTGATAAACTCAAAAATAATTTGAAGCGTCGCCTCGTTATCACTATCTGCCATGTGCTTCCAGAAGGCGTTCATGATCTTGTGACTCTGGATCAAGAGGTCGCTGCGATGAATGGATCCAATTGTACCCATAAGCAGAGTCCAAAAAACAATGAAGTTGTGTCTGATTGAAACTTCTTCCTTACCCACGGGCTGAATACCAAGTTTACTCGAAGATACAAGCAACTTTGGGAGGGCCGCTAAGTTGAAGTCGAATGAGTTCAAAAGATCGTTAGCACAGATCGAGTCAAATTTGACTGCTTGAGATAAAAATTTAAGCATCAGATTGATCACGGCAAACCGATTATTTGAAAGAGCCCGGTAAACGTATTTGGAGTAGTTGTCCATGAGATCGCGGTAATATTGAATAACCTGAGGCCGTTGCTCAACCATTGGAGCGTGGAGATCGTGGAACTCATCACCGATCTTACCTGATACTGCATTGATCATATAGCCAAGACGGGCGAGTTTGTAGGTCATCTCCTGGAAGTTCTGGTGGTCATTGGTGCTGCCAAAGTATGACCAGCTCGACAATAGCCGGGGGAGTTGGCCTTTCTTTATGAACGCTGGTAGGTTGCGGGGCTCCTCGAGGACTTTAGAGAATTCCACGAGAAGCTCCCCGCTTTGATAACCCAGCAGCAGTGTCATAATTGCAGGACTTGGGGATATCGCAGGAGATGTATCAGTGTCGCGATGACATCGCGTGCGCGGGCTCATATCAGGAACACAGTCAACACTGCGACGAGAAAGTTAAAAAGTACTAAAGTTGACAATTTATCAATTTATCAATTTATCATTTAATGAGACTAACTGTTGATGAGAGAGGCGTTGTACTTGTGGGTGTTGTAATCCCAGTAGAAAGTGAGCTCTCTGGGAACACCATTATCCAAGGCACAATCGCGGGCATAATCAATCTTACCAATTTGATCGTCCAAGTACTTCTTGTAGTCGTCCAAGTGACAAGAGAAACCGGGGCCATCTTGACACGAGGGGATCGGGTACACGGCATCGTTGATGACGAACCGCACGTAGTTGTCACCACCACAGTTCAAACGCTCGATGTAGACACGAGCCCCCATGGGGACGATTTCCGCAATCCGGTAGGGACTAGGGAATACCACCTTGTTGACGTCCAAGTCTTCCTTGGGGTCAACAATGTTGAGTGACGAAAGCATCAACTCCACGTCGGTGTCGTGAGTGAACGACACATAGATCTGATTGGTGGAGGTGGTGTTCTCCAAAAGCTTCAAGCTGGCCTTAGCCATTTCCGAACCCCGAACCGGGGCAATCAGGTTACCTCTACCTAACGAGTAGTAGTTGCCAATGTCACCACGGTACAGCTCTCTGATCCATTCCTCGGTGGTGAAGATCTCACAAGTGGGGCCCCAGCCTCTCACGTTGATTTCAAACCCACACATACGCATCAACAGCGACACTTGGGACTTGGTGATGCTCAAGCCGGGGTTATCGTTTTGCCAGCGTGTGATAATCTTGTCAAGGTACGACGTGTCATACTTGTCGATCTGAGCGTCGTTGGTGTTGTCCTTGTTGCAGTGAGGGGTCAATGAGTTGGCACCCATCTTCGAGGATTCGTCGACAATGACGAACTCGGCATTCGCCAAGTTGTCATCATCAAGCAACCCCTTGGCGAATTCCTTACCGGAGTAGAAGCACCGACCCAGGTTCAGCGAGAACACGGGGAACTTGATATCCTTAGGCAACAAGTGGCCGTACTTCTTACGGAAAGCCTGACCGTGGAGGTGTTCATCGTCAAGCCCGAGGTAAGGCGAGTTGGCGTTGTTTTTGTCGGTTTCCTTTTCGTAGTAGTCCTGGTTGGTGACGAAGTATTGGTAGTTGTTGAAGAATTCGAGATCACCTTTCAAATCACCGTGGTCTTTTCTGTAGTCCTTCATAAGCTGAACGATCGTTTCAAACCGTTTACCGTCTTTCTTAGAAGGGAATCTTTCACCATGACGACTCATAAGCTGGACGTGTTCCACCTGACATTGAGCCGGGGGGTTGGGATCAATGCCAAACCCGCGGTTCTGTTTGTAGGGACCCGAACCCCCTAAGAAGTTGATGACATTGTACTGTTCATTGGCAACCTGTTGAGGGGTGGCGATGCCGTCCGAATTATCCAAGAGGAAGAGCCCGTGGTGGAGGGCTCTGGAGTAAGCCTTTAAACTGACCATTGTTTTTTAAGCATTGAAAGTGGGAATGGTTATCGCATTATATCTCCGTCTACCTCCCCACGTGGAGGGAGGTCGGGGTTAATCATCGAGCCGTAACTAAACAATATCGACCATATACTTGCTCACAAACACAAGGAGAACGATCGGCGTCGCTTGCAGTCCACGTGGCAGCTGCCGTCAGCGTTGGCACCTCAACGTCGCCGGGGGTCACCTCATAGTGGTAGTAGTAGGGCCCCGCGCTGCCTTCAAAGTAGTGAATGCTACGCTTGACGTCGATTGCAGTCGAGTCAATGGTAGGTTTTAGGCGCTTGCGAATCCGCAACGGTCGTACCGTCTCGTATGCCGCAGGGTCGTAGCGGGACAAGCGGCACGCAGGTTCACACAATGACGGTTGATCCTGGCTCAACGCGTCGAGCACCGCATCAATGTACCCCCACACGCTGTGGTAACCAGGGATATTCCACAACGCGGGAGAGAGAATGGATATAGCACGACGCATTCAAGGTTTTGGTGGGTTTAGTTGTCATTGAGGTGACCTATATGACTTTCAGTTTGATCTGGCTAAAAAACGAGGCGTCCAGATCAATAGGAGATTTTCCGGGAAGTCCAAATTTGTCGCTATGCATGCTTCACGAAAACAAGTCACAATATCAGCAACCAGCCGTCAACTTGCCTTAGCCGACATCAGGCTTCGACGCGCGTCTAATTTCTCCGCAACTACGCGTGAGTCTGCAACATATGGGGCAAGTTGACTCGGGGGTATACGGCCAATGACCACAAAACCACGAGCCAGCATTGTTCTACCCACGTTGTCCATCAATTATTATTGTAATATTCGTCTATGATACACTATGATACAGTTTCGGGTTCTTTGTTGGTAGAACCTTTCACGTTGACGGCTAACGCGTCAAAGATCGACTTCAATTCCGGCGACGCCAGCTTGACAAACGGCAATTCGAAGAAGCCAAAGTCTTCATTTTTGATAAGCTCAGTAAAGACAATGGTCAACCCCCACGGGTGAGGCTTGGCGGCGATGCGACGCTCCAATAACACCCGGGTAATTATCTCCTGGATCTCCAACTTGACCTCGGGCGACAGCCAGCTTTGACTCGACAGGAAAAAGTAAAGAATGATGCCGATGAACCAGTGGGTATGGCAGTTGGGGTAGCGCAACTGGTTGGCAATGGCATTGACCATGTGGAACTTGAATTCATCCAGACCAAAGTTCATCAAGTCCACAAGCAACGCCACTTGGGACGACTTGGGGTTGAAGCGAGAGCTCAGCAGAGGCAACTTCTCGGTGACCGCCAGAATGCCCACGTGCAATACAAGCGCATTAATAAGCTTGATGTTGTAATGAACAACCTCGTGAGTGCCCATGTCATGCACATCCTTAGGGTGGTTGAGCTTGATTCCGGCATAGATATTGCGCATCAACGTGGGTGCCGGGATTCTCAAGTAGGTCTCAACAGGCTTCTTGAGACCGACCTTGATCAAGTCTTCCATCGGTTTATAGTTCACAACCGGAGCATCGTTGATGCCCGCCAAACGCTCGACCTTCAATCCCAGCGTGAACGGATCGGGCATCGTCACCAGCTTCGGGGCAGCACTCAAAATGATGTTGCGTAACTGCACAAACCCACGAGGCAATCCCAGCACTAATTGATAGTGACATTCAACTAAAAACTCGGGGTAGTCATGAGCAATACCAATGAGGATGCGGCTAATCGCCTTGAAAATCACCAGCGTGATGTCGTGGTTGAAATCCTTAGCATACACCGTTTGGAACTTCATCACCGCCGTCAAAAACTTGACGACAACGGGGTAACCCTTGGCGTCTTCGAGTTCCAAAAGCTTCGGCAAAAGCATGCGGTGGGCAATAAGGGAAATCCAAGCAAAAGTAAACCCAGGGAAAATGATCGGCTGGAGACCCACAAGTACATCACCAATGTAAGTGTAGAAATCAGCATCAATGGCAGAAGTCGCGTCGGCATCGTAAATCAGCGCATCCGCCCACGTCGACAAGATCGAAGAGAACAAGCGGAAGAACGCTCTTTCGTTCCAAGGAGTCAGCAGAGTCGTGGTTGATGAAGTAGACGCGCCACCAGCAGCAGCTTCTGCTTCATGCGAAGCAACGAAATCTTGTACAACAACCGCCATCATCTTGGTGAAAAAGTCAACTGCATGAGATTTGTCAATGAGCGAAAGTTCCACCATCAATACGGCGAGAGCGTCAATCGCAAGATATTGCTCGTGCAAAGTACGCACCCTGATTTCGTGTTCAAAAGCAAACAGAGTCATTGAGATATCGAGAGCCGCCCGCACAAGGGTCACCAAAGCCTTGGGGGTTGTCAAGATACCTTGGCTCACTAACTGGGTGATGAATTCCCGCTTCAACGCCGGCGTGTGTTGCGGGTGGTTCACAAGCTTATTCCATTCGACAAACACATACCCCAATTGAGTGTACATGTCTGAGCCCAGGAAAGGGTTCATCTTCGTCAGTAAGCGCTCAAGAATGGCGTCTCTCTTTTGTACAGCTTCGGCATCGTCGCCATCGTATTCTTTCAACGCCTTAATGGTAAGAGCAAACTCCAGGCGCAAAGCCACAGGGCGTTCGTCTTCGGGACAGTCACCACCAAACAATTCAAGCAACAAGTCGGCGGCAAACTTCACCACCACCGACAGTTTAGTTTCAGTAATAAGCTTGCCAATCAGAGCATCAAGCTTAGAGGGAGCCACAAGTTGAACCTTGAGCAACAGGTAAATAACAGGAACGTTAAACTTACGTTGGTCGCTCAGATGCACAAGCCACCACGTAACATCCTTGGCAGTCAGGGGCGAGTATTCACATAACTTGTCGAGAATCACCACGTAAATCTCAGTCGCCATGGGATTTTCGTGCGATTGGGTAAACAAACAGTTAACAGCGTATTGGGCAGCTTTAAGCAAAAGCTCAGGGAACTTGAGGGCGTTACTTTGCGCTACCGTGAGTGCTTGAGTAAGAGCACCCATGATCGGATGGGTAACGGGTAAGTCCACGAGTTTGGTTTCTTGCGTTTCAGCCAACAAGGCAATGGCCTTATCGCAGCCTTGAGTGATGGCACCAAACAACTGATCGAACGAGTCTTCAGGCACTGCCGCCGCCAGCTCAGGAACCACGGGAGCAACTACGGGCGCCGGAGCCGCCAAGGGAGCACCAGTAGCAGCGGAGGGAGGCACCGCCCCAGGCACAGAGGGCAAAGCAGAAGTAGCAGCAGCAGCAGCAGCAGCAGCTTGCGGGTCCTTAACGAACCCGAATTGCTCATAAATGGCCATTTGCAGAGACAGAATACCTTCACGAGGCAACCCCAAAGGAGCCGGCAACAGGAAAGCATATTCGGCCACACCTTCATCAGCGTAAGGTTCGCCGCGGTGCTTTTGTTGATGTTCCTCACGAGCAGCCACCATTTGGTGCATGCGTTCATCAATCAATTCAACGGTGTTGTCCAAGGCAATCTTGGCAACAATCTCAACACAAAGACCAACGTTAGCTTGAATGGCTTGATTTAATTCAGCTGCGGGGAAGTCCTGGGGGTTGGTGGTACCCATCAATTGAATCATGGTGGCCTCAATAGTTTCAGCCAACAACTTGCGACCCAGACACAACACCATAGCGTGAGTCAATTGCTGGGCCATGGTCTGGTAGGCCTTACGCAATTTTTGGGGGTCGCCTTCGGTAGCAAAATCTTTAGCCACAAGAGCATGAGTAGTAGTAAGCACGGCCTCCAGTACACGGTTCAAAATGGGGACCGCGCATTCACGAACAGCACGGGCCAACAGAGCTTGGAATGCCCGACGTAAGTTGGCGTGCTGAGTGAAAATGGTGTTGCCAGCAAGATTGGAGAACAGCGTATCGTATTGAGGCACTTGCTGTCTCGGTTGCTGCACGTACTGTTGTTGCAACTGTTGCTGTTGTTGGCGAAGTTGCTGCTGTTGAGCCACCCATTGCTGTTGTTGACGGACCTGCTGTTGTTGAGCCGCCAATTGCTGTTGTAAGTGGGCCGGCATTTGGTTGTCGAAAAGAGAAAGACGGCCCATATCTCCAGCAAGCAGAACCACGGGCTCCTGGCCAAACAATTGAGGCAAGGCCTGCGAGTTGTGAGATCTGATTAACGTCAGCGGCTCCACATCGCTAATTTTGAGCTTGAACAGATTGAGCAACACTTCGATTTCAAACTTGAGGTTAAGCTTCAAATCGGCACATTCGTACAACTCCGCCAAGACCTTGAGAATACCTTCAGTCCAAGGATTGGGAGGTCTGAAAATCTTCGAGTGCTGAGCTTGATCCAAAATCTTACATACGAAGGGGATAACCACAGGCAACAGTTGGTGGTGGTAAGCTTCCACAAGAAGATACTTCACCGCCAAATGGTCACGCAAGAGAGCAGTGTCATGAGCCAAAGTCAACTTACCAAGCCAAGCACCCAAATTCTTGAGGTGAGTTTTGTCATTAGCACCCGGTGATGACGCCGTCAATAATGCCAACACACTCTTCAACGTCACAGAGATAACCCAACGGTAAAACTGAGGGTTTTCCAAAGAAAAAACCAACAGAGCGTACATGTCGTGATTGTTTGGTTCTAATTGGGCCCGGTCGTCCACGAGATACGTAGCAAACCACAGCGAAAATTGAGGCTTCAACAACTCTTTGATCTCGTTCAACTTAATATTATCCCCCGTCATATTATTGACGTAGAACAACAACTTGTCCTTGACCTGCTCAGAAGGGGTTTCCTGGGGCGTGCCCGGCACCAGCACTCTTCCCACCAGCTGGTACTTAGGACCTTCCTGCGTCGGTTGAGGTGTAGTAGGTTGCGGTTGAGTGGCAGCACCGCAGGGAATACCATTCAGAGCATCCTTCACGATCTGGTACATCTTAGCATGGTTGTGCAACAGCTGACACTCGAGCAAATGCTTACAATAAATAGGGTACTCATGCAATCTCAGCTTGAAGTTGTACAACAGTTGCACAGCAAACTTGAACAAGTGAGAGTCAACCGGTTGATTGCACAGTTCCCAAATAAAGTTGAGAGCCACCGTAAGAGTTGTACCGGTGATCAAGTCCTTTTCGAGCAAGGCACCAAAAAGAAGCGACGTCAGCGCTAATGCAGAAAGGGGGTACTCGGAGAAGAAACGGTACTCATCGAGCAACAGGTGAATCATGCATGCAAATACGTCCTGCTTATGCGGATCGTCACTCAGTTTGAACTGGATCAACATGTCAACCACTTCCTTGATTTCAACCTCCTTGTTGTACATCTTTGAGTAGTATGACTTCATCTCCTGTTCGACAGAAGGAGGGAACAGCGGCAGCGCTTGAGCGTTGGCCAAAATTGCCTGGTCATGACCATTGCCGAAGTTGATGAGTCGCGGGTAAGTTGTAAGCAACAATAATTGCAAATTCTTGAGGCGTTCCGCGTCGATAAGACCGTTCAGAGTCTTCAACTTTTCGAGCAAATAGAACACTGTGGGAATAGCGAGCATGGGTTGAGGCCCCTTGTCGTAATCCATATGAGCATGCTCATCAACAATATCAGCTAAAGCGCTGAAAGAAGCTTGACGCTCGGCTTCGGGCAAATCACGGCTGGTGCGGGCGTCAATCACCAGTTGATAATCGTAACCAAAGTGAGACAGTTCCACAGCAACCTTCATTGCTAAAGCAGCGTAATTCGACGAGAGGTGCTTCAACCAAGTGTCCAATAAGCCCGTGACCGACGACATCGCTTTGACGATAGTGATGGCAGCTCCAAGGTGAGGGCGCTGGCTAAGATACAGCGTGGCCTTTTGCAAAAGTAAAGGCTGGTCCAACTCATTGAACTTGGCCACAACAGCATTAAGAGCGGCCAGGTCTTGGTCAAGAAGGGTGGCAAAGAACCGGTCAATGATTTGATTGAGGAATTGCAGCTTTTCGACAATGGTAAGAGCGGCCACGAGAAGATACTCGGGGAAGGTAGCGAAATCGCGCTCGAACTCTTGAGGGGGTAACCTATTAGCCACAGTTAACTCAAGCTTACCGATGTTGACAAACTGCAAAATTGACGGCGGCCCGACATTTTCTTCGAAACATTTGGTGATATTCTTCAGTGCGCAAACGTCGAATCCGCCCTCTTGAGGGTTCATCGTATGCAAAGCGTACAACAACTGCAGGCTGAAGTACCACTCAAAACTGAGGAAGAAGTCAATGATGCCAGGCTTGAAATCAAGTGCCAGGAACAAGAGTGTGAACAGAGGTGCCAGCGGTACCGTTTGCCGCCTCATCAGGTCGAACAACAACTCTTGTAAATGAGTGAAAACGGCGTACCAATTGACGGTAGCCTTCTGATCATGCTCTTTGAAACAGGCTTGAAGTTGTGCACCACGTGCGTTAGCTTCGGGTAACAGCTGGGCGCCACGGCCAAACATGGTACCCAAACCTTGCAGGTTAGGCACTAATACTTCCAGCAAAATTAGAGCGATGGATTGGTCAACCTCATTAGGCTTTATTTGTAAAAGCAGCAGCAACAACTTTTCCGGCAAAAGATGTTCGGGGCCGATTTCGAGTAATAATTGTTTGAATGACATGCCTAAAATTTTTTGGTAAAACTTCGAGATTGGGTCGATGTTCAGCTTAAACGCTTTCGAGCTCAGAAGTGCCAAAAGTTTGTGGATAAAAGGGAAGTTGTCAGTCGAAAGTAGGCACTCAAGTACTAACTGCCAATTGTAGTTTGCGGGGAACTGGCGGGTTTTGATAAGACTTAAAAGCTCAAACGACCGAGAATGGATGTATGACTTGACTTGGTCAGTAGGGGCGCGAGATTCGAATCGGATAAGAAAGACAAATGCGACAAGAAGATCGGGAACCCACTTAGCAAATTCAATTAACGAAACCTTAGGGTGGTGCTCAAGTAGTTTTCGGAATGCAGACTCGAACTCGTCGAAGTATTCGAGGGTGTGGGCGAGAACTTGGAGCTGGCTGCTAAGAAGTTCGTCGCAAGGGGTTTTCGAGCCAGTGGCGAAGGAAGACCGCGGTAAGAGCTGACGAAAAACGGTGGCAACGGTGGTAGGTGATTGGTGGGTTTGCACCAAGTGTTGAAGTTGACGCTTGCTGTGGTCGAGATTGGCAGCACTGGCAGTGGAAATCACAAGCGAAACCTGGTACAGTAAAACTTTGGTAAACTCTCGATCGGGGCCCTGGGGGCTTGTTTCTCCGGCAGACACGATTGATCGAGTAAAAAGTACAGTGACAAGGGAATTGACACACCAAGGGCCGGGTTTGGTGAAGGTTCTAGGCTAAGTGTGGACGACAAAAATTTGTGTGCGAAGGTGGCGGCAACGGTTGGTCGACGCACGACCGTAGGGCAAAACGACTAGGGATCAACACGGCAACTGTGTGAGCGTTATCGGTACAAAAAGAAGACATGGCGTAGGGGTTTCTATGTGTGAAGCGAAGATTGCTATTATAATATCAAAGAACTTCTATTTCATCAAGTTATGAGCAAGCACAAAATGACCAATGACAAATTTCGTTTGTACGACGACCGCGTCGGATGGCGATGAGGAAGAATCGTGATCTACACCAAACGAGTCATTACATATTTTACTTCAAAAAATTTGGCATTCCCATGTATTTCGTTATTTCGTAAAACAAGCATAAGCAACAAACCTAATCTATAAGCTATGTCAACCTAAAACACGCCCGATCTCCTCCTTAAGCGCAGCGGCTTGTGGATTGGAGTCGTCGAGCAATTGTTGTGCTGATCTCAAAAGCTGTTTGAGCCCTTCGTTTTCAGCAGCGACAATATTGGTGGAATACCCCGCGTACTCACTCGGCGAGGCCAGCTTTCTCAGGGCGTACAGTGGCAACCGGAGGTAGTCAGTGAACAGTTTGTAGTTTTCGCTCAGCTCGCTCAAGTCGGAGTAGATTGATTCCATTTCGTTCTTAGGCTGGGCCAGGTTCTTGGAGAACACTGATGCTGACAGTTGGCTGGTCATGGTATCGCTGATATCCAGACCGGCCCGTTCACGAAGCAGTTCAGGCAGGTCCGACGGCGCCAGGGCGTACGACGGGGCAATCAGACTTAACACTTTTTCCATCATCAGTGCCTGGGGAGTATCAGTCAGATCAGCCAGGTCCGCCAGTTCAACAGTCAGGGCCCGTTGCAGTTCTTTATCGGGGTGTTCAAGGGTTGCCACAAACATGTCATCGTCCCACAGTAACAATAAGTCACCGAAGAACAAGTCCAAGTTATTGATGACATTACCCCATTTCAGTTCATTCAATAAGTGTTGGTAGATGACTTCTTCATCACCACGACTAACCGCCATCAAGATGGGTTTATTGGATAAAATCAACCCGAGGGAGATTTTGAGTAAACCGATTTTCCATCCTTGAATCATGCAAAAGTCCATGATTCTGTTGACGATCAGCAAGTCGGGCAGGTGACTCAGCATAAATGACATCCACCATTGATAAAGGAAAGCTTGCGGTTCCACGAGGTTAAAGAGATGGTCGGCAAGTTCAGGGTCGACGGAGCGAACAATATCAGTGAACTCGCGTTCCCACCGCGATAAGGTATCCAGCATGGTATTGGTGGTGAAGATATTGCGCAATTGAGGCTCAATATCCATGATGCAGATGAGGGCGTGGAAAGTCATTTGGGAATCCAGATTGAAATGATAGTAAAGCACCCCGACCAAGAACAAGAGGCCTTGGCAATAGCCAAGTTCAGAGTCAAAGTTGGCGTAAACATTGAGAATCAAATCCAAGTTCTTGATGGTAGTTGGCTCCTTAAAGAATTTGGTCAGGGGGAAGGTGCGGTTCAAGTCCTTGGCAATTTGCTTGGAGATGTCGGTGTTGTAAGAATGCTGTAAGTTTTCAAACACCAAACGTGACAGCTCGGGTAAATGGGTATGGTCCAAAAGGAACAATTTCTCCCACACGAGGCTGCGTAATTGGTTAGGAATACCTTGTTGCAAACAAAGTAATTGAGTGTAGTAAGGCAACGTGGAGATGGTGGTGACGGGGTTGTTCATAAATGCAAGCCAGTAGCTCGTCTCCACGTGGGAGGTGATCTGACTGTTGTTGTAGATGTAGTTCTTGCAACATTGCTTGTATTTAGCCTCATCCATCAACCCTCGGCCACACTTAGGGCACGTGACAAACTCATCTTCGATAAACAGATAGGCTTCAAACACTTCGGTAAGATCCTCTTTATTGAAGGTGTGTTGATGCAGCTGTTCATCGCAGCGGAGCCGGTCCACTTTGAGTTCCAAGTTCTCCAGAATGATGACGGTTTTGTGGACCGAAGTCAGCGCAAGCAGTTCTTCAAACTCGAACAACAGCTCGTAGTCGATCATCATGGTAGTTGGAAACGTTTCAGAAAGTCTCTTTTTTGTGGTAAGGAAGGTAATGAGTGATCTGTGCTCTGGGATCAAATGAAAACGAAAGGAATGGTCGGGGCGTTGTGGGATGGGGGGAAGGAAAGGAAGGACTAAAGTTGGATGAGATCAGGCGACCCGACGGTGTGGAAAACGAATGTAAAGCGCAACGACGACGTAGAAAATTTTCTCGGGGGTTAGGGAATGCTGGTGGTTTTTAACCGGGTGCACACCGCACCCGTCGTGCACACGGTTGCGTGGTGCGAGCCCTGGCGCTAATACACCAATTGCGGGTGGATTTTTATGCCGGCGGAGCACGCAGCCGCCGCGAGTGTCTCCTTGTCCTAGCGAGAGATGATGCACGCCACGCCGAGCACAGCGGCCTACGCGTCAAAGGGGTAACACCCGCACTTGTTCATAATAACAAAACAGAGAGACGTATGCTGCTAGCGCCAGGCTACCTGGGATCCGCGGGGAGCATGTGGCTGAGCCACCGCTGACCACCAGCATGCTTATAGTAGTGGTGTTAATTCAGTGGTTTCGTAATGATTTATTTGTGTCAATTGGTAGTCATCGCTAATAATCGTCGCGGGGGGTCGACTAGTGAGAGAATGCGTGTATTGAATTTTGCTAATTTCATCGATGGCCCTGGGTCGCGCTCCTCGCAATGATGTCATCAAGGAAACTAAACACGGATAGCTCCGCCAAAACAGGCTAAATACATGATCAGTAACACTAATACAGGCCGAGACAGGGGACGCTGCTGGACACAATCTCCCCTACCCGGATCACGGGGTGTGCAAGTCCCCGATCCACCATGGCAATTGCGACTCTATCTTTATAGCTCTAATAAGCTCCCTATGTATGATCCTGGGGGCGGATAGTTTTCAATGTTTACAGCAAGGTCTGGTTTGGGAACTTGAAATTTCGGGAAGATGGTTGCTGTGTAAATCAATTGGGAAAGAGTGGTAGTTTCTGTTCTATAGCCAAGAGGCGTCCCCAAAGCACGTGCGGTTGCGAGGTGATGCTGAGGTTATACAATCGCCAATCGTGTCGAAGAGAAGCTTCTCGTATTGGTATTTTTAGATTTAGCGATTTTCTCGCTAAACTGACATTCCTGGATGAAATCTGAAATGCTCTGTCGAAAGCGTGTTTATATCTTTTTCCGCCGTGCTCCTAATCAGAAAACACACACTCTCTCAGCCGCTTTTGGTATTGTAATGGTCGCACACGCACTCACTAAAAGCATGGTTGGCACGTGAGTGATGGGCATTGAGCGATCAACTCACCGAACTAGTGTAGAATGGTGTTCTACTTCAAGGCCGTCATCCCCGATGAAATCGTCGACATCGAACGGCAGATCTATATGGGTCGGGATAAGATCGAAAACGACCCGTTGATCCACCACTCCCACCCGAAAAACATTTGGTTCCACGTCGATAACGTCTCCCTGGCTCACGTCTACCTTCAGTTGACGGCTGATGAGATCAAGCTGTGGAAACTGTTTCAACTGTTTGACATCGATGAACGAGTCTTAGAGCAGATGGCTCAGTTGGTTAAAGCTAATTCCATCAAGGGCAATAAGCTTAATAACGTCACTATCATCTATACTCCAGTGGAAAACCTTCACACTGATGGGCTGATGGATACCGGTACTGTCACTTTCAAAAACCCTAAATTAGTGAAACGAGTGAAAGTGGCTAAAAAGGATAATGCCATTATCAACAAATTAAATAAGACTAAGACCGAGGGACTGACTGAAGACTTTATCGCTGCTCAACAAGAACTTGCTAAACAGATTGATCGTGAGAGAAAGGAACAAGAACGTCTTGACAAAGAACTTGAATTACAATACGCTGAGGCTAAACGCACCAAAAATGACCCTTACGCCGACTTATACTCACAAGAGGCGGTCAACGCTAACCTGAATGAGTTCCGTAACGAGAACTGGGTCGACGACGAGTTTTGGTGACCAATTCACCAATTTACAAAACGGTACTATTTACAAACAGTTTTCAAACCATGTATATATTTAATATCCACCCTAGACAGGCAGACTGATTATGCTAGCAGATATTAATAGACTTAGACGTCCATCTTGACGGGGAACTTGCCAGCATCACGTTGGTCGTCCCACTTTTCCACCCAGTCGACAGGGCACAACGAGGTGAAGGTCTTGAAGAAGATTTGGCACGGTTCAAAGTCTTCGCCCTTGACGTTGACACACTTGTGGTAGTCGACGTACGATTGGAAGCAGTGCTTGGTTTGGTTTTGGTAAGGGAACCGGGGGTCGAATTGGGGAGTTTCGAACTTGAAGTTTTCCTTGTCAATTTCAACCATGGTAGGAAGCTGGTGGGTTGTATGTAAGCCGTTCTGGTTTTTTTTTTCAGGCGGCGAGCGTGGGTGCGACTGGTGAGAAACAGCGGAAGCTCATTGGATCGCGGGCTTGCCTGCAGGTTATGGCTTTTATGAGCTGATTTTTATAGTGAGTAGGAGACTACTACGAATACCGTAAGTCACGTTTTGACAATATGAGCCCATTTGTATAAATCTAGTGATAGACAGTCTATATAAGCCGAGGAAATCGTTCTATCGATGTACAGATGAACACAATGGTGTAGCGTAAACGTGTCCGCACCAATTGCTCTATATATTAATGAGTTAAGACAGAGACACACTAGACGTCTTGCTGGGTCCAGCCCTTGGCGTCGGTGCGTTTTCTGCCCAAGTAAACTTTCATCACGGGAAGTTTTATCGGTTTAAGGTCTTGAAGTTCTTGTAGTTCATCCTTAGGAGTTCTGGCGTACTCGTTGAACGAGATGCGGTTATATTGAGCCTCCACATTGGCTTTATCCTTAACAATCTCGGCGATGGCCACCGTTTTCCCCACGTAGTGGCCTTCACCTGCGATCACCACACCCCCACTGGGACCTTTGATCTGTGCCAAAGCAGCATCGACCACCTCCTGCATTGGTTCTCGGGTAATCTGAATCACGGGCGCTTTAAAGTCATCGGCCATCGTGGTGATGATTTTCGTAGCCGCGCAGGGTTTAGATATACAGTGGCTGCGAAATACGATAGCAAGATATAAATACATATCTATTGATATTCAAAAACCGTTTGATATGTTTTATGTTTTATGCTATGGGTGGTGACCGTTTGAGAGTCTTGAAGGGGCTCGTTTCAACGAGATAGCGTCACACTGGCTGTATCGAGATTGAAGCTCACCGGGAGTAGAATGAACCCAGTCAGCAATCAAGTCGTGTGTGCTGGAAGAAGGAGTGGGCATCTTGAACGTCTTGTGTGCTCCGTAAGGCGACGTAGGCACGCGTCCGTTTTTCAATGGCAGACTGGCAATCTTCTGTGCCGGGTGAATAGTCCCGTTAGGGTAGAGGATGAACAAGTTGCCCACGTCATCTTTCAAAAGGGTATAGGTAGCAAACCCACACTCCGACGAAATGAAACTCTCAATGATGGAATTGCAGGCGGTAGTGTCGCTTTCGGTTTCGTTAGAAATAGTCATTTTTGATGGTTACAATTCATCGACGACTTTTCGTTATATATTTATTTGGCGATCATCAGATAATGTTTGATGAGGCGTAATTGGAAGTATAGGCGTTATGGTGGCAACCAGAACGTTTAGGGCCATTAGAATGGTTTACGGTGGTGATGCCTGACTCTCGAATTTCCAGGTTTTTTACGGGGAGGGGAACACTCGGGATCTTCCACTTCCCCCCACCTACCCCACGTTTTTTTTAGCGACACCGCTAACTGTGAACGCCCTACCTCCAAGGAATATCGAGAAAACATGCCAAGTATAGACAAACGCGTTGCAACACTTAAAAGCTTTTAGTTAGTAAATATATCAGCTTGCTTCAATCAACGACTCAACCCTATCGACGACAGAGAGGCTATGCCGTCAAACTCCCGCGGAAGTTTCCACCCTGCATATGCTCTTGCCCTGTGACAACTCGCGAAATCCCGTGAATCCTCTCCACGGGTTTTTTTTGGTATAAATTGCACCGGTGTACTCAATTGTCGTTTGATGCAAAGAGTGTGTGCTTCCATCACCAGATCCAAGTTCCCACTCCGTCTTTTCTCCACAACTACTGCCAAAATGTCGTCGTGTCCCTACAAGCAACCCGCTCACAAGTTGACCATGATCCCCGGTCCCATTGAGTTCTCCGACGAAGTGTTGTACGCCATGCTGACTCCGTCGCAGGCCCACACTTCGCCCGAATTCATTGAAACCTTCCAGACTTCGTTGAAGAACTTGAGAAAGGTGTTCAAGCTGACCGACCCCGAAGCTCAACCCTACGTGTTGGCCGGTTCCGGTACTCTTGGCTGGGACGTTGCCGCCTCCAACTTGGTTTCTCCTGGTGAAAAGGTGTTGGTGCTCTCCACTGGGTTCTTCTCCGACAACTTTGCCGAATGTCTCAGAGTGCACGGGGCTGACGTCGACGTCGTCACCGCCGACCTCGGTGACGTCGTCCCCATTGACACCATCAAGCAAGCGTTGTCGAAGACCAAGTACGCTGCCATCACCATCACCCAAGTCGACACCTCCACCGCCGTGCTTTCGGACGTCGAAGCCATCTCTAAGGCCGTCAAGGAAGTGTCTCCTGAAACTTTGATCATCGTCGATGGCGTGTGCTCGATCGCCTCGGAAGTGTTGGACTTTGACAAGTGGGGGGTTGACTTTGCCTTGACTGCCTCGCAAAAGGCCATTGGCGTCCCCGCCGGTCTCTCGATCTTCTTCGCCTCGGGCAGAGCCCAAAAGAAGGCCGAGGCGAGAAAGCAAACCACCTGGTTCGCCTCGATGAAGAAGTGGGCCCCCATCATGCAAGCCTACGAACTGGGTAAAGGTGCCTACTTCGCCACCCCCGCCGTGCAAACCGTCACCGCGTTGAAGGTTGGTTTGGACCAAATCTTGGCCCAAGGCGTCGACGAAAGAATCAAGGCTAACGCCGTCGCCCTGGACAAGTTCAAGGACGCCATGGAAGGCTTGGGTCTCAAGTTGGTTGCCAAGAACAGAGACGTCGCCGCCCACGGGTTGTCGGCTGTCTACTGGCCTGAAGGTACCGACGGTGCTGCTTTCTTGGGCTCGTTGGCCAAGAAGGGCTTCGTCGTCGCTGGTGGTATCCACAAGCAAATCGTCGGCACCTACTTCAGAGTCGGCCACATGGGCTACTCCGTCACTCAAGACCACGTGCAAAGATTGACTGAAGCCATCAAGGAAACCTTGAACGAATTGAAGAAGTAAAATTTAGACGAGTAATGAAATAATAACTTAGATTTAATCATCACCAGGTAGTCTCTCATTTTCTATGAAATTGTGGTTTTGTGGTGTATTTCGCCGCAGCCCACTTTTACTCGGAGTGCGTAGCCGCAAGATTCAAATATACCTTGATAGCTTTCAACAGGCTGTAACCACTACCACCGTTTTTACTCGGGTTATTCCGTGTGGCTCATCGTATCTATATGAAATTATTTCGGACCATCTGGGCCATCTCCGCGCAATCCCGATTGCGGGCATTGTGCCTGGTGCGTTAATTCCGCAAGTATCACCGTGGCGTGCTTGATAAATCACATACCACCACAGTTTTTTTTTCTCTTATCTATTTATCACCACTCAGGTACCCAACTGCTTTCCTTCCAGTGCTGGTGTCGATAAACCACCAACCTTGGTAGTTTTGGCGTAAGCTCACGTGATTATAGATCCCGCGAGATATATCAACATCGAGGAACCCCTACCCCATGCTTGTCAGTGCCTGCCGCCCGTCGTCGTCAATGATCCGGACGGGGGTGAGTTTAGCCCGGATGGCTCGTCCGCGGGTGACTGCCTCCTGGATCCGTGCCTCGACAATTTCGCGGCCATCTCCCATATTGGCTGGCCATCAGCTCCGGTTCTACGCCGCCAATCCCCTCGATGCCCTGGGTCCTCCACCTCCCACAGGTTCTTCCGGCCTCGGTCCTAATAAAGATAAGCCCGAGAAGAAACTGACGTGGCGTGATGGTCTCAACTCCAGTGATACCAAGATCCTCAAATCGTTACTCGTCACCATCTGGCCTAAGGACAATTGGAAGTTTAGGGCTCGAGTAGTGATTGCCATTTCCTTACTTATTGCCTCGAAGCTTTTAAATGTTGAGGTGCCGTTCTTTTTTAAACAAATCATCGACTCGATGAATGTCGATTGGACTGACCAATTGGGCACCGCGGGCATCGCCGTGGGGTCGCTCATTTTGGCTTATGGGGGTGCTCGTTTTGGTGCCGTCCTCTTTGGTGAGTTGAGAAACGCTATCTTTGCTCTGGTGGCTCAAACTGCCATTAAGAGAGTCGCCCATAACACCTTCCAGCATTTGCTTAATCTTGATTTACAATTCCATTTACTGCGACAGACAGGGGCCATTACGCGTGCCATTGAGCGTGGTACTAAAGGTATATCCTACGTGCTCAACGCCATGGTGTTCCACATTGTCCCCATCACCCTCGAGATCTCGTTGGTGTGTGGTATCTTGACCTACAACTACGGGGCGTCGTTTGCTGCCGTCACCTTTTTCACGATGTTGGCGTACTCGATCTTCACCATCCGTACCACTGCCTGGAGAACAAAGTTCAGACGTCAAGCCAACGCTGCCGATAACGAGGCGTCGCTGATTGCCTTGGACTCGTTGATCAACTTTGAGCTGGTAAAATACTTTAATAACGAAGCTTACCAGCTGAACAAGTACGAAAAGGCATTGAACAAGTACCAGGACGCGCTGATTAAGATTGCCACCTCGTTAGCTTTCCTTAATCTGGGCCAAAACCTCATCTTCACCACCGCGTTGACGGCGATGATGTGGATGGGGTGCCAAGGGGTGATGGCGGGAAACTTGACGGTGGGTGACTTGGTGCTCATCAATCAGTTAGTGTTCCAGCTTTCGGTGCCATTGAACTTCTTAGGGTCAGTGTACCGTGAGTTAAAGCAATCGTTGACTGATATGGAAAACCTCTTCCAATTAAGAGACAATGAGGTGGGGATTAAGGATGCCCCTGACGCTAAGCCTCTTAAACTTAACCCTAATAATCCCGGGGAAATTCGCTTTGAGAATGTCACTTTTGGCTACCACCCTGACCGGCCCATTTTAAAGAACGCCACCTTCACCATTCCCGCCGGCGAGCGTGTGGCCATTGTCGGTCCCTCGGGGCTGGGGAAGCTGACGGTGCTCCGGTTAGTGTTCCGCTTCTACGACGTTGACTCTGGCCGCATTCTCATCGACGGCCAAGACATTTCCAAGGTCACCATCGAGTCTTTGCGTAAGCTGATCGGCATTGTGCCTCAGGACACGCCATTGTTCAATGACTCGATCCTAGAAAATATTCGCTACGGGCGCCTCGACGCTACTGACGCCGAGATCGAGCAGTTGATTAAACGGGTCAATCTCGACGGGCTTGTCGGCGAATTGCCCGATGGCGTCGACACCATCGTCGGGGAACGAGGGCTTATGATTTCCGGGGGTGAAAAGCAGCGGCTTGCCATTGCCCGGATGCTCTTAAAGAAGACGCCCATCACCTTCTTTGATGAAGCAACGTCGGCCTTAGACACTCACACCGAGCAGCGAGTGTTGTCGACGATCAGAGAAGTGACCGCCGACAAGCACCACACCACGGTGACCATCGCCCACCGCTTGCGGACCATTGCCGACAACGACAAGATCGTCGTCCTCAACAAGGGGAAGGTGCAAGAAGAGGGCACCCACTTCTCGTTGTTGGAGGACCCGACGTCACTCTACAGCCGGTTGTGGAACATCCAGGAAAACTTGGACATTGACAAGCAGTTGGAGGAGCAGCGGAAGGCCGAGCTCGAGAAGAAGAAGGCCGCCGCCAAGCGTGCTCTCGAGGAATAATTCGGGGAGTAGCGTGCATGCTCCGCGCGTTGGCGACGGCCTCGGGGTCATTTTTCTGTGCCTCATTCGGGCGTATACCGGCACTACCCGCGATCAGACGTTTCCTTGATTCCGCGGGCCCCAAGCATAAGTACTGCACCTTGCATATAGTCCCACATCTCATACAATTATATATATAAGCTGAAGCTACGTCTCTCCCAGCTGGTTTATCGATTATATCAAACATGTGCAGATCTGTTGAATGCCCCACTTGCCGTATGTGACTGTCCTCCAATGGCTCCCCCAGTGCTGACCTCCTCACCACAGTTTTGATCTCGTTGCTGAATCAGAAATGTGTGGCGTACCAGACACCGAAATTGAGTTTTTGTGCCGGACGCGAATTTTCAAACCCCGAGAGCCTACACTTTGAAAGATGGAATACTAACAATTAGACGGAAAGAGCTGGACCGGCTGCGGCCAGCACATCCCCCTGGCGATGAACTCTTACCCCCAATCGGAATGGTGCACCTGTGTTGGCGCCGACGGCAAGAGAGGCGAATTCCCTCCCAAGGCCGGTGATGGTAAGCAAAACTAGCATATTTTATTACGAATGGAATGAAGGTGAAAGGAAATCTAATACTAACGTAAGCTAACTCTCCCTTGATTACCGTGATTATGGCGGCTCTCGTGGGGTACTTGTTGTTGAAGCTCTTCAGAAAGATTTAAGCTGTATACTCACACATCATGTGATCGCTAGATATCCATTTTTTTTTTTTTTTTGTTGACCTTGAGTGCCTGCCGGAATCAAGAACGTACATAAGACTCAACAGCAAATGCCGAAAGTCAATGTTGTATAGTCAATACATCTATGTCGTCATTGACCCAGTGTGAGAACGTTTCACAAACGTTTGAAGTAGATGCAGGACGCCGGAGTGCCGATGATGACGTGTGGAATGTGAGTCAAGCGAGTAAAGTTAAAATTGAGCCGTTTTTTGCGGGCAAAGTTGCTTTTCCCTTTCCCTTAAATGTCGTCATGGCCTCGTATTATGAAATGCTTATATAAGCTCCGTGGAAAAAGCTCACAGGTGGGGGTACAGTATACTGTAGCAAAGTTTGCTGTAAACCTGGTAGCGCTCCACCGTGGGGACATTGCTGACTAAGCCAGGCGGGTGTCGGAAGTTACAGGGATGAGGAAGGGATACCGGACGTCCCCCGTTCCCAACGCCGTTCAAGACGCCAACAAAACACTTGCTGGTTATCAGTTGTGACGACAAGGGTGGTGCCGTAGCTCTGTCGCCGATGATAAAACACGTTTTTCAAGGATGACACACGTTGAAAACTTTCATCGCCGCATTTTGAAGACACTACCTGGCAACCACTGGTCTGGCGGTTAGCTAACGTTCACCGCCACTGAGGAACCACACGGTGTGGTTGCTCATAATCTAGCTATGCTTTTCCCCACGGGACCACATTTAGCGCAGTGCGTAGTTTTGTGGTTCCCTCATGCTGATAAACATTGTTTCCGGGGGTGCGGTCTGAGGTTTACGCAGTTTAGTGCCGTAACTGAGTCTAGACCGCGAGCAAATCCTCGAGGCACAGATAATCAGCATCAACGCTACTGCAAATGGACGATTTGTACACTTGTCAACTTGTTGACACCCAAAGTATTCTCCGCTCGGATATTGAGTGATAGCAAAGGTACCATCTCTAGCTTTCCCGTCCATTTGCCGGTTACGATAGTGGGTGGGGGGAAGTTCGTCATATAGACACGATAATTAGAGTTTGTGAGCCGAACTCGTAATCCCGTCCACCTGGCAACGAGTAACCTAGTACGGCACTAATGGCAGCCACGGGACCTCTGCCCCTTAACCGAAAAACACCGTAGCCACGCTCAAGCCTCAAGAGCTAGACCTCTTTTTTTTAGCGCTGTGGTTTTTCATACGCCTCGCGCACACGGAATGGGTGTGTGGCGTACGAGGTCCGCCTCCTTCACTGAACTCCGCCATGCCCCCCCACCAAGAGTCGCCGGGCGACGTCTGCTGACATAAGAGACATACGCCCGGTGTCGGCTCATTCGTAAGTTGCCAATTTGCTATTTGCTAGTATGCTTTGATCTCGCTAATGTCACACACTGAGGCAGCACTGTATCTCCAGCCAACCTTTTTCTCCATCAAAGCATAAGAAGCCTTGCGCGTCGATGACGCCGCAGCACCAATATCTGCGGGGCAAACTGGGCCGCTTGACTGTGCGAGCCATCGAGATTATCGCGTGCAAACGTGCACTTAGAAGTCACGAAATCAGCTGTAGTCTACATAGTCGTACGGTGCCACAATCGAAGCCATTACTCAAGGAAGTGTCGTGGGGACAGTTCACAAAACTTTTCATGTGGCCATTATTGGCACTGGCGACTTTGCATGAGGGGGGAGGTAGCTCCTGCATGGGGATGCGTTACTTACGGACCTCATAAAAAAAAAGGGTTGTGAGTGTCTGCCCCCAAGGCGGCTGAAGTTTATATATATAAACAGCTCAAGGGGCGAAGTGAAAAACTACACTTGAGAACACCCAATTCATGCAAATCAACCCGAAATTCAAGTTGTTTAAACTGAAGAATGACAAACCACTGACATCCACCCAACGCCAAGTATCCACCCAACGCCAAGTTTCCACGACCACCGTGTTCAACCAGTCCCACTCTCTGCCGCTGACGCCAGGCACGACTCCTCTTCATTCCCCGCTATCGAAGCAAAAGTCCACCTTTGGCGAACTGCCAACCAAGCCTTTGCGGGACGTGTACTCGACCTACAGTACCGTGCTGTTGCCGGAGCAGGGCTCTCGCCAGCGGTACAGTCACAACCACACGTCGAGCCATGACACTGATATGAGCGTCACGACTTTGCAAGAGGAAACTGAACATTTAATCCCACCTCTTCCTCGCCTGGAGCCAGGAAGACTGGTGCTGATGTCGGCGGCGTCTACTCCGCAAGTGGGTATGGATGAAGACGATAGTGAACGTCTTGCAAACAACATTTTGGTGTTTGTGTCCCACCGACAAAACGAAGCGTTGGAATGGGCTGTTTGATCACCCACAGTTTAATGAGTTATGAAATTTCGAAGTTTACTTCTACGGTATAGGTTTAATAAAATTGGGATATATTTTCATGTCACTTTTCTTTGTCCACGGATGGCTTTGCTGTAAGTTACTCGTTTACGGTAAAAATCATCGATGTGATATTTTCATTGCGGTTGTCAAGTAAGGATGCGACATTAAGCTATAGGCTCGATCTGGGTACCGTCTCAATAGAATAACTGCATTTAGTCAATTTTGGCATGGTAATGGGGTGTTTGAAAAAGACGGCTCACATTTGCATCTCCAGCGATATTGTGTGATTGTGTGCTCATCGAACTGTCACGATACGCCCCATCAAATCCCCAATCACGATATTGCTTTACCCAATTTGGCTTAATCTGCTGAGATGTCACACGTCTTCAATACGACATGCTAGTGCTTTTTCTCTGTATCGGAAAGAATCGGATGTGTAAAGGATATCTCATTAACTAGACTCAGTGAGATTGCTATTTACATGTCTAGGGTGGCTGAAGTCAGAGCTTGTTGGCGATACCCGCGTAGAGTTTACCAACAGCCTCGTTGTCGGTGTTGTCGACTTCATCTAATGCCGCTTGGAGCCCGTGTTCGGGTAATTTTTCCAACTTATCCCTGATGAACTCGTCGCGCAATCTAATTAATTCAGGGTCATGATTCATAATCGTACCCAAAATGAGCTTGTTGGTGTTGGCCAACGTAACTTTGAGTTGGGCCGCCCAATCAGAGCCGGGGCGTAACAGCTTCGGTGCCCATTTGTCATAGTTCACCTTGTACCACTTGAACAACTGAAGCTTCAGGTCCAAATCGCTCTTGTAACGGAACCCAAGTAAACCGAGCTCGATAAGTTTGGAGTCAATGTTGGTTCCAACAAAGTTAAGGGTTTTGTGCAAGAGTTGAGGGTCCGAAACAAACCCAAGCGACGAAACCGCCATAGTTTGAAGCTCGCCAATGGTGAGATCCAGGTGTGCCAACATCAGCACATCAGCGTTACGAACCAACTCCAACACATCCTTATATTCTCTAGGAGTGGCAGCAGCCATGTAAACGTTGAGGGTGGCGGCAATAACATAACGCAGAGTGAACTTCTTCGTCTTAGCGGCTTGGCGGAAGTTCTTGAACATGGTTTTGGCGATTTCTTGACATTCAGTGGTGTTAATGCCAAGCATAAGTATCAGGTTCCGTGCTTGTAACTCCAGCAGCGACATCGTGGGGCCCGTCATCAGAATGAGTTTGTCCCAGTCACCCATCTTGTCAAACATTTTCTTTTGGAACTTGCTCACCCACTCGCCGAATTTGAGGTAATCACTAAAATGACGCATGCGATCGTTGACACCATCTAAGTATTTGAGGGCAATCTTGACCACATCGTAGTCAAGAACATAGTCATTGGAAGTCATCAGATCCAACAATGCGAGGAAAGCCAACAAATCATCTTCATTAATCTCGAGATTGGCACCATCCTCCAAGAGAGCACCAAAATCATGGAGTATTGTGAGCAAAGCCACCAGGTCCATATGTTTAATATTCTTGGCAATGTTGATTGCCGAAGCGTAATCATAATGCAGACGGTAGTACCCCACGCCAAGAGAGTTGATACCCAAAAATTGGTCCATGGGGATGTCGAGTTCCATGCGCCGGTCACTCAACAACACGTTTAATAACTTTGTAGACCCGGATTCCTGTAAGACTTTGACGTACAACGGCAAGTGGTAAGGCGTGTCCTCAAGTTGGAGAGCTTGGGCATTTGAACCGCGAATATAACGGTGTTGTTCGATTGTAACTTGGCCATTCTTCACCGTTACCTGGACCCGAGGCAACCCAGTGGCGTTGAGCCACGAGTGGGCGAAAGTAGGCAAATCCACCGAAATGTCGTCGTTGAGTGTTTTCCAAAGCTCAAACACCTTAGTTGATTGGTACTTGTACTTTGTTAAGAATTTGCCACACCCTTCGAAAAATTTGGTGGAACCTTCAGCGACAAACATACCGTAAATCATGGCAACCAATGCCATACCCTTCTCATACATAGATTCGTCAAATAAGGTGGTCGTCAAGCAATTGAGCCCAATGTTGACGTTGTTCATAAACAACAGGAGTTGTTGGATTTCGTACTCTCCCTTGTCGCCATAGAAGCAGTCTCTTTGCATCAACTCTTCACGCGACTCAATCGATTGCAGCACGGGAGTGTAGTCGAGTTCATCCTTGTTGATACCAGAGTTTTTGACAACGAGATTGCCCATCCACGTCGCAAAAGCTTCATTAAACCACAATTGATTCCAGTTGTCGAAAGTGACAAGATCCCCCATCCACTGGTGCACCAACTCATGAGCTACAAGCTGTTGGAGGCCGAGACGAGATGAGAAGGAGACATCGCCGGTGGTTTGCAATTGCAGGTTGAGTACAGTCACCAAACCCCAGTTCTCCATAGCTCCGTCATTAAGGAATGGTAAACCGACAAAGTCAAGCTTGTCAAGAGGATACTCAACTTTAAACATATCCTCAATGACAGGAAGAAACTTAGCGATATAGTCGATAGCAAGTTTGGCTCCGGACATTTCACCAATAGCGGTGTAGACTCTCACGGGCTTACCACGGACCGATTCTTCGAGGAACTCAAAATCGCCAATGACGAACCCAAACACCAGAGGCGCAATGGGGGGTGTAGGCTTAAACTTGAAAACGTTCATTTCCAGCATAGATACCGGCGTCAGCGAAATCAACGATGCAACCGACATCACCTTGAATCTTCCCAAAGTAGTCACTTCCAAAGTGATGGGAGTCTTGATATGCAATTCCTCGATCAAGGGGAATACCAACTTAGCAGCGTGAGGCTGGAAGTGAGTAGCAATGATGTAGTTGTTTGATTTGCCCAGGATAGAGTCCAAGTAGTTGGTTTTGAAAAGACCTTGAGTCAGATCCTGGAAGGTATTGATCTGGTTAAGTTGACCCATATAGGTAAGGGTGACTGTTTTGGGGTCAACGGCTTCAGTCGTGGACAACTTAACTTCCCGAGCACCGCGGTCGTAGGCCACTTTAAGAGGAACCAGCCCGTTCACCACCGCCTTAGTGATGATCAACTTTTCGGCATGAAGCACTAATTGGAACCCATCCTCAGAAGCACCAGTGTACCGCGTATTGGAAACCAAATCGATGACGGCCTCACCCTGGAAGTTCGGCTTGGTGTGGTTGATTTCCAACTTCAAATGGTAATGCAGAGGTACATAGCGATTGGCCAAGGTGAGCTTGGCCCCAGTGTGGGGTGCCATGTCGGATCAAGCGTGGGGTGAACACTGGCGTGAAAATTTCGCGAAGAGCGGCTCTCCCACCGTCTATGGTGGGTACACCATGTTGTAGACGTAAATAGACATTGGCTTCACTTGTATCGGTTAATTTATCATTCATGTACAATAAGTCTTTTGGCTGATGTTAGTAATATGTTGACATTAGCTCGACTTGTCTGTCCCTCGCGCTCCCAACCAAACGACATCTCGATCCAGCGTATGGAGCCGTCTAGGGACTTCCATCATCCATACACTCCCTATGACATTCAAAGACAGTTGATGGAAGCAATCTACACCACCCTTGTAGATAACTACAAGGTGGGGGTGTTTGAGCTGCCCACAGGTACAGGCAAGACCCTTTCGATCATATGTTCCACCATGACATGGCTACGACAAGTGAAGCGTGATCAGGCTTTTTCTAAGCAAGAAACAAATGGAGCTGATGGTTCCGATGACGATGAACCTGATTGGGTCAAAGAAGCCTATCAATCACAACAAACACAGCACCAGAGATCCAAAATCGTCGAGTTTGAAAAATTCCTTACTTCATTACAAAAGGACTACGACTCTGGCAATCAGCATATCGAGAAGTCACGCGTGAAAAAACGCTTGAAAGGACCGTCAAAGTCAGAAGTTGCTGAGGATGAATTTTTACCGGAAGATTACATTGAAGGGGAACACCAGTCAAGCCTGATAGACGATGAAAACGCACGATTGGCTCAAGAGATCAATCTGCTTCTTGTTAAAAGCTCAGTGACGGCTCAAGCTGAATCATTTGAGCCGGAAGAGAATCAGGTAAAGATTTACTTTTGTTCTCGTACTCACTCCCAACTTAATCAGTTTGCTCACCAACTCAAAATAACCGAGTTTCCTTCCATTGCGGACGATGTCAAAGAGCGGGTGAAGTACATCCCACTCGGATCTCGCAAGCAGCTATGCATTAACCCTCGCATCAACAACGGCAAACTGGGCGATATGGCAATCAACGACGCATGTCTTGATCTCCAGAAGAAAGATACCGGCTGTCAGTATCTTCCCAAAAACTATCTACAAGATGACTTGGTAAATCGCTTTGCTAACTTGACAGTTGCAAAAGTACATGATATCGAGGAACTCGCTGAAATGGGTGAGAATCTTAAGTGTTGTCCTTATTATACTTTGAGAAAAGCTTTGAACGTATCACACGATGTCATCTCCGTGCCCTATCAAATGATGTTCTCAGAAAGAACACGAGATGCACTTGGTATTGATTTGACCAACCTGATAGTGGTGGTTGATGAGGCTCATAATATTACCGACACTATCTGCCTGTTACATCTGACCCTGATTTCCAAGAAAGAATTTGAACAAGCATTAAAGGGACTCACTATCTACCTCAAAAAGTTTATGCGGCGCCTTAACAGCGGGAATCGTATCAACTTAACTAAACTTATCAAGTTTTGTCTGGTGGTTGTCAAGTTCATCGACAAAAGTGAGGCTACAGGCGTCAAAGAAGGGCAGGAGGTCAAAGTATCGCAAATCATCGGCGAAACTAATGCTGATATCGCCAATGTCTTTAACCTTGAGACGTTCATGACCAAAACAAAAATTGCATATAAAATCGAAGCATACTTGGATAGTCGTGAAGACGACGATACCACATCCCTGAAACTGCCTTTACTTTTCAAAGTTGTGCAATTTTTACGTTGCATTAACAACCCTCAACTGGAAGGTAAATTTTTCTGGTCGAAGAAATCGGATGGTACCATTCTTCTAAGCTATATGTTGTTGGATCCCAGTGCTGTATTTGAACAAGTAGTTTCGAAAGCGCTGAAAGTTCTTCTATGCGGCGGTACCATGGAGCCCGTGGCAGATTATTACGACTACTTGTTCCCCCATATTCCACGAAGCGAAGTGAATGTTTTCAAATGTGGCCACATCATTCCTGAGGAAAACTTGAGTGTCTTTCCTATATCCTCCTACAATAACATGAATTTTGACTTCTCATTTCAGCAGAGAAATGATCCTAAATTGATTCGTACATTGGGGAACCTTATCAACGATTTGTGCAAAAGAGTTCCACACGGTTTGGTTGTATTCTTTCCGCTGTATGCCTATTTGTCCAAAGTGCTTGAAATCTGCTCATTTGCTGACTGTCCAAAACCATTATTTAAGGAGTCTCTGACAACCATAAGTTTGGAAAGCCTCTTAGCTGACTATAGCATTGCAGCAAACTCCTCGAAAGGAGCAATGCTTTTCGCAGTGGTTGGTGGCAAGCTTTCAGAAGGTATCAACTTCAACGACAACTTAGCACGTGCCGTGGTTATGGTGGGGATGCCATATGCAAATGCATTTTCAGGTGAAATCGTTGCCAAACGAAATTATATTGAGAAGACAACACGAGCTAATGGGGGTACCAGTACGGAGGCAAAGAAAGCATCGCAACTGTTTTACGAAAACTTGTGCATGAGATCAATCAATCAAAGTGTGGGAAGATGTATTAGACATGCGAAGGATTATGCCACAATATACTTAGTTGACCAACGGTATCTGCAACCACGCATTCAGAATAAGCTTTCACAGTGGGTAAAAGACAGAATTGAACCAGATGACTGGGAAGGTAAAACCACGGACTTTTTTGCGATGGTGAGAAAGTGATTCACCTGGGAAAGACGACGTCACTCCGTAACACCCATTTGACTCCGTCTTTGACGAGTTCCCCTTCATGACGGAGACAATCGTCACCATGTTTATGTAATAATGCCATGCCTTTCGTCGGATGAATATTCAAAGGTTCAATCCCTCTAATATCAGGGTAGAAAATAGTTCCTCCGCCAACAAATTCTTCGTCTCCTGTCAAGTAAATGAGCAAGGTCCAATGCGTTTGACCTTTACTTTTACCTTTAGCATCCATAGCGCAAGATACAGACTCATCGTAGTGTTGTCCGAAATGATGCCCCTTGCGATACCGGTATACTCTGAGCTGAGGATTGAGCCCTATAGCCTGTTCAAAGTCGCGTTTGATGGCGGCGGTTTCTGGGTCTTCATAGCCATACTCATTCTCTTGAATCAAAAGCTGTTTCAAGTACTGCCAAAGCTTTTGCGATGACTCGTAGTCAGTAGTGGACCATCTATCATTGACACGGACAGCGTACTCTTTCAGTTTTCTCAATGGTGTGGTCTCTAAATTAATACCCTTCTCGAAAGATGAGATAAGCTCTTGACACAACTCGGGAGAGAAAAACTTGTTGATGGTGATGATCTGGCCTGGGACGACTGTCTCCGGCTCCGGCTTATAAAACAGCTTTTTCAAATCGCCTGCAAGGTCAAGGAATCTTTTCGGAAACAGGTATGACATTGCAGTAATGCGTCTTGAAGAACAGCGGTAGCCGCGTGCGAACTCGATTATAGATCAAATTTATAATAACAATTATGACATTAAATCAATCTTTTTTAGTCTATAGAGGGGAGTTAGTTATTTACAACCCAAATTCTACCTTGACGGCGTTACCCATCTTTTCTAAACCACGTACCAATTCGTCCAAGGGCACGGCAGCGTAGGTGCCTCTGAAGAACACCTTGTTTTCGTCAGACTTGGGGCTCACCTTTTGGGGAGGGTTCGATTGGCCAATCGACTTGAACCACAGCCCGGGGATCATCAAGCACCCTTGCTTGATACCTTGTTCGTAGATAGCGTTTTCGACCTTGGCGACGTCGCGGTCCCATTCTTCGTACTTAGGGTGCTTGGTGGCGTCAAAGTTCACGGTGAAGAACATACCAGCCACAGGGGGGACGTACGAAGTCACTTCCTTGGGGAAGTACTTGGCGACGGCGTCCATGGCAACGTCACGCTTCTTGGTATATTCGGCACGCAAGCCAATCAACCAATCGAGGTAACCCGATTGCGACCATCTTTGCAACAAACCGTTAGTCAAAGATTGAGTCAAACCGGCGGGGCATTGGATGGACACTTCGTGCAACCGCACGAACCTTTCAAGAAGAGGCTTTTGCCCGGTGATCCACCCGATTCTCAAACCAGGGGCCAACACCTTCAGGAACGAGTCCAAACGCAACACTCTGCCGTCGACATCCATCGAAAGGAACGAAGGGACCATCGCCTTGATGAATTCGTCGTGGCTGTCAACCTTCTTGCCAGCACGAGCCAGCTCGTCGGTGGTGTAAGGGTCCATCTGAAGGAAGTAGTAAGGTTCGTCTTCGATGATGAGGAAGTCGTGCTTCTGGGCAATCTTGTAGATAGCCTCACGTCTCTCCGCCGAGAGACACGAACCGGTGGGGTTTTGACCGGTGCAAATGGTGTACAAGAACTTCGGCTTGGGCCCTTCCCAGGCGTCCATGAGCTTTTCCATCGCCTCGGGGAGCAAACCGTATTCGTCCATGGGCACGGGGATGGTGTTGACACCCAAGGCCAGCGCCGTCTCGAGCGCCGACGAGAACGAGTACTCTTCGACTAAGATCAGGTCGCCGCGCGAGCAGAACGTTCTGAGCGTCGAGTCCCACAGCTCGGTGTTACCAACGGAGGTGATGAGGTCCCAGTTCGAGTACTTGGGCGAGTGGATGATCTGGGTGTGTTCCCGCAAGAACTCGACCAACTCGGTCTGGCCTTCGGTGTAGCCGTATTGCAACGATCTCGCCAACTCGACGTCCTTGTTCTTGGGGTCGTTCTGAGCCTTGCGCTTGTACACCTCGACGACGGTCTTGTTGTCGGCGGTGACGGGAGCGGCGATGCCGTCCTGGAACGACGGCGTGGGGATGTCGGCGGTGACCTTGTCGAAGGGGAAGTAGTCCGCCAACGGCAACCCGCCGCCCAAGAACGTGAGGCCTTCCTGGCCAAAGAAACGGAAGGCTTCCTTCAACGGCAGCGGCTTTCTCAGCCGAGCTTCAAGCGACAACAAGTGGGAGAGGTCTTTGGCACTGGACATGGTGGGTTACCTCGAAAGTGAAATTTCGCGCGGTTTATATGTCCCATTTCGATCAACGGCGTTATTGATTTATCAGCCGGAAACTGAGTCATAGGTCGGAGAAAATCGGCAATAAGCGAGTGGTAACTCCAACAACGATGACGGGTTTTTACCATGTTTGTTTCAATTTGGGATTTTGTCGTGATCGATGGTCATCACTAGACGGAGGAGCGGCTAATCGTTTTTGGTAAGCGCTTCCGGCTTTTGATTCTGAGCGCTGAATCTGGTCAACGCCGCCGGTAGCCGTTCCGCGTTGGTCACGTGGGGAAGATTGATGTTAAGGTGGGGTAAATGTTTACATTTAAAGTAAGTGTTAGTGTATTAAGTATATCGTTACGGTCATCAGAAAGTCTAAAGGAAGTTGGAGGTGAAGTTGTGTCTGAATTTGGCCCACCCCTTGAGCAGGTCGACGTATTCGTTTTCCTCTTCCTCTTCCTTCAGCGGCACGTACAAATCGCTCTCAAAGTCCATATCCTCTAACTTCACCCACCGGTCCTTGCACTTAGTCCAGAAGAACCAGAAGAGGTAACAGACGGGGAACACCCCCAACTCCAAGTAGTTTTGGAAGAACAGCACCGTGTCCCAAGGCGAGAACGACGACCACCCCTGGACTAAAATGATGAACGTGGACACGATGAGCGCCGCCCATGGCCCTAACGGATACGTCCAGTTTTTGAATAGCAAAATATCGGTTTTGCCTTGCTTTTTAAGCCCCATTCTAAATCTGATCGACACCAAATTGATCACCCACCAGGTGATCAAGTTACTCAACCCGACAATCGACTGCAACCACGACCACACCGTCCCGGAACCAATGAAACTCAGACCGAACGCCAACCCCCCGACGGCCCATACGGAAATGACCCCGACGTAAGGCACTTGGAAACGGTTGGTCCAAGTGAAGATTCTGGGGAAGTAGCCTTGAGTACCAAGGTTGTACATCAAACGAGCCCCGGCAAACAACGCGTGGTTGCCTGCCAGAATCACCGACAACAAAATCGTGACGTTGACGTAGCTGCCCGCAGCCTTGTTCACAACGTTCGACGTGGCACTGACCATGGGGTGGTCCTTGGAGTGGCCCACCATGCCGTATACGATGGTGAACGGCGACGTGATGACCTTCTTGCTGGAGAGACCAGGATAGTCGTAGGGGACGTTCATGCCGATGAAGAAACACGTCAACACGTAGAAGAAAAGAATACGCCAGAACACGGTCTTGATGGTGCGAGGAATCACCTTTTGCGGGTTTTTGGTTTCACCGGCAGTCAACGTGATACTCTCAGTACCCCCGTAGGCAAAGGCAGCGGTGACGAAGACATTGGCGAACCCACGGAACCCATCGACAAACGGGGCGTCGCCTTGGCCCCAGTAGCGGAACCCGATATATTTGCCGTGGCCGTTGTTTAAGTTATTGTAACCGGCATTGACAATGATAGAGATGATGAAGAAAATAATAATGGTGGCCACTTTGAGAATGGCGAGCCAGTATTCAGCCTCACCGTAAAGCCGCACGTCAATGACGTTAAGCACCAAAAGCAAAAACCAGAAAATCAACGCGATCGCCCAGTAGGGCATGCGGTCAGCAACGTTCCAGTAGTCCCACACCATTTGCACCGCCACAAGATCACTGGCAACGGAACACATATCGTTGAAGGCATAGTTGGTCAAAATGGCAAACCCAAGCGAGTCGCTGCCAAACCGTTTGGCGTAGGTGCAAAACGACCCAGATACAGGATATACCGTCGCCATTTCCCCGAGACTCAACATGGTAAGCATTACCACGCCGCCGATGATCACGTAACAAATCAACAAACTGGCGGGACCACCGGTGGCAAGCGACTTCCCCGTACCCAAAAAGAGACCGGTACCAATGACCCCGGCGATGGTGATCATATTGATTTGACGGGCACTCAACTTTCTGGCAAGCTTGTCCTTGCTTCGGTCGTCTTGATCGAGACTAGGTTCATGGCCAGACCCATCGGAGTAGATGGGGTCCGTCTCATGGATGTAGGACTCGACGTCCTCCCGTTTGGAATCCATGGCAGAAGTCTATACGAATTTTACATTTGCTGCCTGGGATGCCAGATTTATAAAACTGTACGAAACTGTGGTCGACAAATGTCGAGCTGCAGCTTGCCGTGGTAGCGTCGAGCTCATCGCCAAAAAGGAATGTGTCCGCGGGGGTTACGACCTCTATGCAGAAAAAACAGACACAGCTAGGCATTTTCAGCACAATATATCGGTATCTATGGACCCATTGAGCCACACTTTCACCTCTTGATGGCTATAATCGCCGTACCTTGGGTCATGTCACGTGCGCAAAACTGTGGCGCTTGCACGGCACTATATGTTAAGTGGTAACTCAGCGACATAAAATACGAGGCGCCTCCCTCTGACAGCCTATCAAAAGGCCCCCCGGTGTGGCTACCAGATATATCAGTAGGCGTATAAATATTTTTGTACTCCTAGACTTCGACTTTTTTCAATTTCATAGACATGCATCGCCCTCACTCACTTTAAAGATTATTTTTGCAATTATTCTACACATGTAAGCAGTGATGACATGTATTCATATGCAAGGTTCGATTCGGCAACTGGTCGTTTGCAGCGAAATTCACTCAGGTGGCTATTCATAAGTGGTCACACAAGATTTTCTCATCTAAGGTGACGTAGTTCTCGAAGAACTTGGCGAACAAGTTCGTCAAAGGTTCGATGTCGAACGAACCCCCGGTCTCTCTAACCGAATGCATCGAAAGCTGCGGGTTGCCCAAGTCTAAAGTCCGTATGCCCAATTTTGCGGACAAAATGGGACCGATAGTTGAGCCACAGGGAGAATCGTTTCTGACCACAAAAAGCTGAAGGGGCACTCTAGCGATATCGGCGGTTTTCTTCAATAACACAATTCCGGGCGAGTTGGTGGCGTATCTCTGATTGGCGTTGATCTTGATCACCGGCCCCTTATTTAATTGCGGGCGGTTCACGGCTTCGTACTTTGTGGGGTAGTTGGGATGGACACCGTGAGCCATATCGGACGAAAGCAAAAAGGATTTCGCCATCAGCTCGTGAAAGTAGTCAGTGGCTTCCCCGCCGTCGAAATTAACTTTAGTAAGGCGGGTAATGACATCGGGAAGAAAAGTAGAGTCTGCCCCCTGAGCGGACACCAGCCCAATCTCCTCATGGTCAAATAAAGAAATTAAGTTAATTCCGCGTTGCTCAGAAAGTGTCTTGGTGGAGTCGATAAGCCCCTGAGTAGCGGTGAAGCACGAGGTTAAGTTGTCCAATCTAGCGGAGAAAATAAACTCCTTGTTCAAACCCCCGAGTACCGACTTTTGGTTGTCATACAACACTAATTCGAAATCCTCGATCTGAGAAGGGTCGACGCCGAGATCTTTGGCAATGACTTCAATAAGCAGCTTGCTGTGACGAGAAATGACATGCTGGACGGAAGAAAACTCTTCCGGGTTCAACTTTTCACCCTTGCAACAACCCAGTTCAGTAGCAGCAGCGTCTTCCTTTTCCAACGGGTCACAAGCCACTTGGCCAGCAATAGGGACCAATTGTTCTTCCTTGTTGAACTCAAACTTTTGATTGACTTCACGGTCCAAATGGATTGCCAACGTGGGGATTCTGAGCAAAGGTTGGTCGATCTTGAGGAGCTTAGGCACGAATTGACCGTTTTCGTTGACGTAGACACGACCAGCAATCAGTAAATCCCGATCGAACCACAGGTGGGCGATTAAACCCCCATATTGCTCAACACCCACTTGAATGAAACCCTCTTTAGTCCGCTTAGAAATCGGCTTGATCCGCAAACAAGGCGAATCAGTATGAGCCCCCACAATGGCGATACCGTTGCCATTTTGGAACTTGCCACCCACGGTGAAGCCAACAAGCGACGAACCGTTCCGGGTGACGAAGTACTTGCCTTCTTTCTTAAGCTTGTAGTCGTTCCAGTTTTGGCGCTCATTGATCTCGGTGAAACCAGCGCCGGTGAGCATCTTCTTCACGCTGTTGACGGCATGGTAAGGCGTCGGCAGGTCATTGACAAAGTCGACGAATTCTTGGGCTAACTCTAAGGACATGATGATGGTGGTGAACTTGGAGCCGTGCGGCGCCTTACATATGAGTGGCAACGCGACTCCCGCGGGGAATAAATGCTGTCAAAGTGGGCATTCCAAATCTCATCAACATCATCTGGCTAAAATAGATTATGGCACGATGAATGACTTCGTTGATGTGCTGTTGTTGTAAATGAGTATCTCTGCAATAATAAGTGAAGCACAATCGCTCACTCAAATTGAAGTCAATATTCCAAATCATATCCACTAATTGGTGTTGTTAAAGTCTGTTCCACAACAAGTACCTACTTCAGGAGAATTAGCAAATGCTGATACTTTTAGATGTTTTTGGTGTCCCGTGGCGGAGTTTATAAGTTGCAGCGAACAGCGCGCAATCGATATCTGTCACTTCATGCTACAGTTGAGGAAAGTGGTGACGATCCTCGGGTTGATCACCGTTGCCTATGCTTACTTAGCGGTTCCCGTGTTGTATGCATCCCACAAATTGGTCCCTGGGCTCTGGGATGAAATCGGGCGAGATTGGTCGAGCGCTTACAGTGGCCAGGATGTCACTAACATGGTCAGGAAAGCCATCACCCCGTGTCTGCTGGACGAGTATTTGATTGTCAACATGCCCGGCCTCACTCAAGAGGACATGAACGATCGATCGGAGTGGCCCTTCCTCGAACGTTACCTTCATATGGCCCTGACAGTGGTGGGCGCCCCTTGGGTGAGAGACCCGCTCGATATTGAATACCTTGAGCTGTACATCATTCAACAATGCGAGGCGGAGACGATTGTCGTGTCCAATATGAGAGATGAAGAAGTACCCCAGTATCTCGATACAAGAACCCGTGTGATTCGGGTAGAGTATGAGGAATTGGACGCTGAAGATTTGGACCACCGCCATGAACAACTCCGAGACGCCGACGAACTTATCAGAAAGATCTTGAGAAAGCTTCCGTCTCCTCATTACTCGATTATCGTTACCTCGGATACTCCTGTCAACGTGCACCCTATTCCCGCCCACATTACTGAAGAGAACCCGGACATCTACGGTATCTTCAATAAAATCATCAATGATCCCAAACGTGAGGAAGAGGTCGAACGGAATGATCGTTTCCATAAGGCTGAGCCTGATTGGATTGAATCGAAACACTCGAACGAGCGTTATTTACGCAATCGCCGCGACGATGAAGTACACTTCTTTGATTACGATCTATGGACTAAAAACGACAAAGTGGTCATGACTATATTCCTTATGGTTTCGACGTTGGGGCTTATGAAATTGCGCTCGATGTTCAACCATTTGATCTATAGACAAAAGGGAGTTGACTTGACTCGTCCTTCCAAGACGAGAAAAAAGGAATGATCGCCAAGTGACACTGATAACAGTAATTACTGAGTAAGCTATTAATTATCGATGAATAAGAAGCGAAGAAGAACCTTTTGAAGCAACCCAAAAACGTCGCCAGTTCGCGTTTAAACCAGCTTATTATACATGTTGTGGTAAGAGATGCGAACTCGGTCTATCGCGTAAGCCGCATGAACGGCACCCCGCTCATTGGCGGACTAGCGAAGCCCGGACGGCGTTGTAGGAGCGGGTGGTGTCGACTTATGCATATAAGTGGGTTGAATCCGCCACATCTAGACTTCATCTGGTTTTATACCTAGTCTTACTGTGGCTGTATTCGGGACACCTTTCTTAGATAGGGTTACGTAATCATCACTATACACGACTATCGACTACCTTCTTCCCTCACATGTATATACATCAATTGCAAAAGCTAAACCGCCTCTGAAGTGATATGGATTCCATTCTTGCGAACCCTAGGTTTGGCAACGGGTTTGTCACGATTAGTTTCGCTTTCTTCTTCGTAACCATCATCTCCTTCATCACTGACTTCTTCTTCGCTGCCTTCGTCATCATCATCGTCATCATTATCGTCAGTGGCAGATTCCTCCTCCAGAAAATCGTCGTACTCGCCGTCAGAAACAAGAACGGACGCATCAAAGTATAACAGAGGGTCCAAGCCAGTTATGTCTGCCAGGACAGCGTCGCCATCCAAGAGCAACTCACTCATAATCTTGCCGGTGCCTGGAGCATTATTGATCCCCCAGCACAGGTGACCCAGAGCCAAGTACAAGTTCTCCACATTAGTTTCACCAATCAATGGTCCCAGCAGTGAGGGGACATCAAGGACTGGTAAGTAACACGCCTGCTTCTTCAAGATATGACCCCTGCGCAAATTTGGTGAGATCTTACCCACTTGCTTGAACAACTCGTCGCACTTGGATTTGACTACTTCAACGTCGTCCGTAGTTTCGGGAACGTCCACTGCCAGATCGCCTTCGCCACAAACATACACCTCGTCCTGACGGGCATAAATCTCTGGCGAAATGTACAGAGCAGGCCCCGTTTTGAACTCAGTAAAGATAGCATAAGGGGACACGGGCTGGTCTTTGAAAGGTGCCACCGTGATTGAGTGGGCCCGTAGTCCCAGAATGGGGCAGTCGGGTAAAATTTTCAGTGTCCAAGGGCCGACGGAAAGCACGATCTGGTCCCCTTGTAATTTAACCAGACCCTGGTCTTTCAGCTTGACCAGTGTGGGGGTATAGGCAACGCCGGTGGCACGCCCAGTTTCCATGGAGAAAAGAATTTGATTGACCTTACCAATGATCAAATCAATCAGTCCCTTTGAGTCTTCAACCGCCTTTTTCAAAAGGAAATTGGTAAATTTATATGGGTGTACTTGTGCAGTGGTATCAGTGCCCCCCAAGCTCAGGCAATTATCGATTAAAGACAGGGATATCCAGTTGAGGTCAGGGGGAAGCTTGGTGGCACTTTTCGCTGCCAGCGACCTCGTCACTCTCAGTGTCTTTTTAGGCGGTTTGTCCAGGCCTAACAGAGTGGACAGAGAGTCCAGGTCATGCGGTTGCTTATATGTTTCCTCGGTTACAAACACGGGGTCGTCGTCGTCAAAGTCGTGGTCTTTCAAATGTGATAGATCGCCTTCCAACAGCACCGTGGTAAGGCGACGGTACCCCCATTCCTCTTCACCGTTGTATTTATCTGACAATTCTTGGTGTAGATCGAACGATAAGGGGACGATTTGTTGGGGGAACGCCCATAATGCAAGTAAACCACCGGCCTTACCTGAAGCACCGCCGGCAACCCGTTTAGACTCGATGATGGTGATGTGATGAGTGGCAGGGTCGAATTTGGGATGGTGGACGATGTAGTACGCTGTGCAAACACCGATGATACCGGCACCCACTATTATGATATGCTTTTTACCCTTGTGGTTGCCCAGCGGGCTCAGAGAAAACTTAAGGTAGTCTGACATAGGCTCAGCAATCTCGGTCCACACGAAGCTCGACGGGGTTGGTGATGGTGATGACAGCGGCGGGGATGTCGAACGGGGGAGAGGTCGTGACGGAGCGGGGCGACGCCAATGGGCACAAACGTGAAAGAGACGGGCAGGTATTCACCAAGGGTCTTCCAACACGAGGGGGGGCTAACACTTAGCGGCACACGTGAAGCTAAGTCTCTGCAACGGGCTCCCTGACAATCGACGTAGGTGAAGCGATTACCGAACAAAGTCGTCGTGGTAGTGCGCTCCTCAAACGACCGTGCGACTTTCCGTAGAGGCGGAAAATTTTGTGGGATGTGCAGAACGGGGTCGAACGGGTGCACCGGGTGACAATGAGATCCAGCAGTAAATAACCCAGCATGAAGGTGAAACAGAGGTCCGCCCGGCACGCCTCGACCTATGATGTCGGTATATACGCAGTAGCCGTGCTGGTGGCGACTCGAGGTCATCGACAATTTGCCACCATATCCCTCTACATACTCTAGGTGGAACAGCGGGGCTCTATTGCAAGCTGTGGTGAGCGCTGGGTGAGGCACCTCGTCAGTGCTTGACGCTGCTGATACCTAGTAGCGAGAATGTGGCAGGACCAGTGGTAAGAGTTACGCTGGGAGGGGCTTACACAACGCTAATCTTCGCGAGTAGATTAGATCCTAGTAGATAATTAGGGGGTGCGGGTAGCTTCGACCAAGGGAATTGGCCAGCGAGGTGATTGCTCCTGATACACTTGGTCTCTATAAGGTTTAAACTATGGAGCAATATTTGTCAGCGAGGGAGGGAAAAATCAGAAAACGGTGCTATAAGCGGGTACCGATGACCTGATCGCAGTGGCAGTGGGCCCACTGTCGCATTCGCATACACACCACCAGCCTTCAACGGGGAGGCGAGAACCAGGGAAAAAATTGCCAGCTGTCTACGTCATCAGCATCGTAGATTGACTTGCTATTGTTGACGCTTCGATGGCCCATGGTGAGTGGCTAATGCCATCCCTGATGCATAAACAATTGACAATATACACTGCAGCCATTACACAGCCATTACGCACCTCCGTGGCCTAGATCATGTGAAAATAAACAATTTAAGAAATAGACTCGCTCGGAGTTTAGATCATATAGTTGCTAAGCACTGATGTTATAATACATTGAGACTAAATATACTCGAACTGCTAACTACTGATAACCATACTCGCGATAAATTACACTCTTTAAATCAGCCTTGCGAGCACCACCCTGTTTGGACGAAGAAGTCATGGATTTTCAGAGCCTTATTCTGATCGATCTTGAGTAGTTGACGGGCATCTTTCTTCTTAAGTACACCATTGTTTTTGATCGCCTCTTTAAGCAACTGGTCTTTGATGGCAAGGTACGGCTTGGGAAGGATCTTCAACAGGTTGCACAATTGCCTCTCTGCAGCAGACAACAACTCATAATCAGCCGCTTTAGAAATGTCGAGAGGCGCCCGCGCCGACGGCTTTGGTTTGTAACCCGACTCTGGTCCTGGCAGAGCCGAGTACACTTTTCGAATGCCTAATTGCTGAGGGTTTCTGGACCCATTGGCGATACGACCTAGAGCGGCCCCGCGACTGATCCGATCTTTTTCGAAGGTGTGGCCGTCATCAAGTTTCGTAATCCCATTCATTCGCCACGTTTGCAATTGATGTATTCTCAATCGACAGTTCAACTCAGTAAGGAGATCCCGCGAGAACTCGGCAAAGTCGTCAGGGGTAAGCACACGAATGAATGCGTTGAATTTCTTCGCCAACTCCTTACCTTCCTTCAGTTTCTTCTTGTCGTTACTGATGTTCTTACGGTAGTCAATTAAGTGGTTCAACAACATGACCCGCTTGCGCTCGGCTCTAGTAGTAAGCCGCAGGTTGTAGATGTCCAATATGGTGAGCTTAAGCTCGGTTTCCTGTGCCAGGTCGTCGGGGTCAAAGATGAGATCCTTCACCGGCACTTCGGCGTCGTTCTCCGCCTCGTGGTCAAACTCCAATCTGCCCGGCATGTAACCTTGGATTTCGTGACACAAGGGGGTCGACGCCACCGTCTTCACCTTCAATGAAAGCGGCATCAGCTTGCGCGCCTCGAGTCTTTGTTTCCGTTCCTCCAAAAATTCTCGAGGCAGCACCAGATCAAACTTATCAGTGACCTCGGGTATAGGGTATAATGGGCTCTCGAGGTAGACATTGTGGTAGTGCTTCGCCACTTCCTCCTTGGTGCGGTGGCCGATGTGGTCACTGATGTCTTGCCAGTTGCCGAGCCCAAAGGTTTCGCACCCTTGGATCAACATGAGCTCTTCGTCAGCGCCCCAATCACGCTCGAATATCGGGTACGTGTTTTGCTCAATGACGCTGTAGTCGTGCCACGGCTTGTGGTCGCCGGTGGACAGGCCACTCGCGAAGCACGGCACGCAGAGATCGTAGTCGGTGCACACCGCACACTGAATACGTATACGGTTGGTGCAGTCGCTCAGGCACACATCGCAATGGAACAACTTAGTCTTGTCCATCTAGAGTATGTGTTTCTGTTTGGTGGCGTGGACGGTGTCACTGCCGTTGGAGCCTCTCTGTTTTTTCTCGCGCAAACCACTACTAGCTGCGCGCTCGCTGGATGGTACCAGAGGAAAGTGTTTGATTTACCGTAAAGATAATAGAAGAGAGATTGACGATTTTGATAAATCATGAACCTGTTCAACTGAATTCTTTGCAATAATTAAATTTTATTTTCTACGTCAGTGGAAGCCCAATATAGAAGGATCGTGTTTAACGCTTTGATCAAATTCACGTCACTTTAAATGGGTTCCGTTACGGTTAACTCGTCCTAGTGAATTTGAATCTCTACTAAATCTTGGTGGCTTTCACCTCTCAAAGCACGCAATATGTTTGCGTCACAAGATAGACGCCAAGATAGTGTCTACCATAAATAAGCAGCTTCAACAAATTTCCTCAAATAAAACTCAAGCTACTTGAGACAATCGGATATTGACGTTTGATAAAACGTATCGGTCACGATGATATCATCTAGTCGTTATGGTACTCTACTTCAAACTTTACATGCAAGGTACACGCGTTCATACACTAATGAACAATATACCCCATAAAATCATCAAATCTCACGAGGAAGCACCCACACCTCCAAGCGAAGTATTCACGAGCATTCAGCGTACTGTTATTGATGAGATGATGATGGTCAGTGTAGATTTATCCGTAGTGGCTATAGTTGGGGTAGGGTGAATTTTGGTCACGTGCGTTAGGGTTGACAACCCCCGCGGCCGCGGACGCCGGGATCCTCTGGCAGAAAAAAAATCTGCGTGAAAAATGCTAGCCGGAACAAAGCTTTTTCATACAAGATGGTATGTACCTTTGAGTTGTCACGAACCGACGGACAATACGTCGTGGGGAATGCTGAACAAATGACTAACAAACTAGGGTCGTGTTAGAACTAAGACTGTTAAGAGAGCCTCCAAGGTCCTCATTGAAAGATTCTACCCCAAGTTGACTCTTGACTTCGAAACCAACAAGAGATTGACTTCGGAAATCGCCGTCATCCAATCGAAGAGATTGCGTAACAAGATCGCCGGTTACACCACCCACTTGATGAAGAGAATCCAAAAGGGTCCCGTCAGAGGCATCTCGTTCAAGTTGCAAGAAGAAGAAAGAGAAAGAAAGGACCAATACGTCCCCGAAGTTTCTGCTTTGGACTTGTCGCACACCAACAACGGCCAATTGGAAGTCGACTCGGAAACCGCCGACTTGATCAAGACCCTCGGTTTCAAGATCCCCGTGCAAGTTGTGTCGATCTCTGCCCAAAGAGGCCCCAGAAGATTCGCCAAGAGAAACTAATTGTACACATAGAACAACTTTTAATAAAAGGAAAAAGGATGGAAAAGTTCAACTTTGTAACGACGTGATTGTAGATGTTTTAGACTTCTCTAAGATCTGGTCGTCGCAGCCGCTCCAGTATTAATCTGAAGACAGTTCTTCTCACCAGTGAGTACTCTCACTTAGAAATATATTATGAACACAACGACACGCGTAACCTGAACAGTTTAACAAATTCAAAACCTTCCTCTTATATAGCTCAGTTCACTGTTCATATTTATTTTCGCCGGGCCTTGGCAAATCGGTGACCCCACTAACGCGACGTTGGATCCCTATATTTGACCACGCGCACCTTCCACAACCAACCCATATGAAGACGCTTTCCATCGTCACCGCCTGGTTGGCAACTGCCGTCGTCGGCCAGTGGTACCCTGTCGACCGCAAAGGTGAGATACCCAGTCTCGTCCCCTTCAGCACCGGCGAAGAGATGCCCCTCGATTGCATCGATCGTAATATCGACACCGGCGAACACAAGTTCGATGACAAAAACCGGATCATGTATGCCCCGTTCCCGATGTGCAAAGAGACCGAGCGTCCGTTGCTGCTTAAATACGGCGTGTCTGAAGACATCGAGTGTACTATTTACTTCTCAGATACCTTATACCATTTGTTCCAGCTTTACATCCACGAGGACGCTCCCTTCCTGTGTCGTTTCCCTTACTCAAACGAGAAGTCGTACATTGAAGCTGGTGGGGCTCAAGTACCTATCACTTTCAATTTTAGAGGGCAAGTCACTGATTCCAAGGTGGAAATTGACCCCAACATGAACGTGTTGTTGACCGGCAACAACGGCGGCATTGTCCTGGCTGTGGCCTGGGGCTCGGGTACCAACACCACCCGTGTGGTCATTGGTGACGAACTCAAGCTTAAGTTTGCCGTGAGATGGGCTCAAGTCCCCATTGAAGGTCTGAACGGTGCCCTGACCCCTGTCAAGGACGGGTGGTACAAGTTGCCCACCAAGTTCATCTCGGAAACTCAATATTTCGCTCTGATTTTGGCGGCGGTGGTGGTGTCGGCGGCACTTACCCTTATCTTCTCGTACAAGCGGGTGCTGTCGAAGGTGAAGACGGCGTCGTGGGCTGACGAAGAAATTACTAAGAACGACTAGACTCTTTCACCAATTACACATATCTAACTACAAATACAAGGACAATTTTTCTTAGCGATGACGTTTATTGATGATTAAAGTTGAACTCTATGCTTTCACCTTAGTGATGATCTTGCGTACAATCTCATTGACCTTAGTGTTCTCTTCGGTGATGAACTTAGCCTCCAATTGTTGGCAGAACTGCTTAGTGAGCTCGGGATTGGGCTTACGAGCTTTGTAAGCTAAGAACTTGTTGACAGATAATTGCAATTGGTCAGCGAAGTCGGGGCTGTCGACGGTCACGGTTCTAATCGGTAAAGTGATATCGAGTAAATGCGTGCGTACGTCGTCAGAGTGTTCACGATTGAGTTCGTCCAAGACGTGGGAGTATAAGTAGTTGCGCTGGTCGAACTTGTCGAAGATGGCCAAAAACTTGTTGGCAGTGGAAAATGGCGTTTCTCTGGTGTGTTTGGGGAGGGTGGTCATGGCAGCATCGAAGATGGCAAGGGCGACGTCACCCTTAAGCGCCGGGTTGGTATCGGGGTTACCCAACATGTTCAAGTCAGCTTCAGGCAATTGGGTGAGCGTCTTTTCGTCGTCGTCAGGCAAAGCAATCTCGTCAGCCTGTAATTCTTCCTCGGTAGTCTTCTCCTTACGTTCTTGTTCCATATCGGCAGCTTGGGCTTGTTCACTAGTGAGACCAAGCAACTTCCGCCGGGCTAAGAGCTTAGCCACGTAGGTCAATTCAAACTGACAGTAAGCCAACCACAACCGGGTCGATTCACTATTGAGCCGGAGCCCTCTTTGGAATAACAGCCGCGCACCCAGGGCGTTGGAGTTTTCTTCAAATTCAAACTTCGCCGCTGAAAGCCAGGCATCGATATTTGTCGGCTGAAGTTGAAGCAATTTAGAGTAGACTTCGTAGATGACTTTGATGGCACCATTCTCACGAGCGACATCGAGATAGGTGAGCCAAAGATCGTTTTCGGCGGGAAACTTATTCACCGCTCGTTCAAGCACAAAGAGACGGCGACGCATGCTGGCGTGCTCCAGGGGACCCCCGTGTTCAATGTGTAACCGTTCAAGACGTTTAAGTCGAAGTCTTTCAACGTTCTTCTCCCATTCGACGTACTTTAAGAAGTCTCTAGGACGAGCACCACGCCCCGTGATGCGCTGTTCAAAGTCGGTACGCTTACGCATAAGCATGGTGATTTCACTCTTGGTGAAGACCCCCTTCTTCTGGAGGTCTTCAAGTTCGGGGATACTCTTTTCGAGGAAGAATCTGACCTTGGACATTGGACTTCTCGACTGGTACCCACTATCGCGCGATGAGGTTTATGCGCGCCCTGTACCCGGTACGATGAGAGGCAGCGAGCGAATCCATCAGGAGAAAATTAGACTTGAGAATGAATAGCTTATAAAAAATGAACTAAATTGAGTTTAAATTGACAAATGGGGATGGGTGGTAAGTTGGATACGGGCTGGAACCAAAAAAAGTGCTCCAGGTGGGGTTTGAACCCACGACTATCGCGTTGCTTAAACGGATGTGCTCTTTGCATAAGCAAACCGGGATTTCCAGTTACCTTATAAGCACGATGCTCTGACCGCTGAGCTACTGGAGCTAGGAGTCGAACCAGTGTTGTGTACCAAGTGTTTAACCACTAGGCAACCGCGCTAAGTCCGGAGAAAAGAGATTTTGGTGTATATATAGGCACGTAGATATAGTGCATTTTTGCCCCTCAAAATCGCCATTAACCGTGGAATTGACACAAAATACTGTACTAGACCTATTATAAACAACTTAATGAATCAATTGAAGCAGCTACAATGTACCAATTGAGTAATGCAGACCCAATTGTATGCCCCTATTTGTATGGACCATATCTCGAGTTATCTTCCCAAAAGACTCTTCAATGGGTACAATTTAACGTTAAATACATAATTCTAGCATGACATTTTCATCCTATGAGCGTTAGTGGCACGCAAGCGAGTGATCAGGGCGGCTACCCCAGATATAGTTTCCAAGCGCAGCCCCAACACCCACTGCAATCATCAACCAACCGTTATAAGTCATGAAAACAAGCATCAACCAAAACGAAAACCCCACCTGTATCCCATACAACACCCCACGAGTGACTTTATACCGCTTAACAGAATTATTGCTAAGGCCAACGACGTTACCCCGTGTACGTTCATCCCAGGCAACGACACGAGCCTTAAGCCATTCGTACCCCGCAGTGAGGGCAATAACGGCGATGATAGTCAATACGAAATCGGTAAATGTGCGGATGTGCCACCATTTGAACACCACACAAGTATTCTTCCAATCCCAGGTGAAGATCATCTAGATGTTAGTTATTAACCATTTCGCTTTCAATAATTCGTATACTCACGTTCATGGAGCACTGGTCGTCTCCAGGGGTGCCGTGGTCGCCATGGCCAGGCATGGTGTGGCCCGGAGGCATATCGTGGCTCGGGGGCGAGTCGTGCCCTGGCATGTCGTGGCCGGGAGTGTTTTGCATGACGCCCATCAAGTCGATGTTATGATGCTGGCCTCGATTCATGTGGGGCATTATATATATAGTGTTCCAGCAGGTGTTCTCGGCGTAGCACGACGTTGACGATGACGCGGCTTATCGAGTGATTAACTGTCCCGATTAGTGCGAGTCCGACCAACTCCGCCAACAACGCAACGAGTCAAACTGAGGGTTTCTCGATGTTTAAGTGTTGATTTTAATGTCCGTGTCTTTCCTAAGGTTTTGTTTCTCGTTACAAAGTCGAATTAAGGGGTGAATTGTGGCTTTATCAGTAATATCTGTATATCGCGTTTGGTGAGGCGCTGTATGGGCCGATCCCGGGGTTTGATCGGTGCATTCCCAGTTCCGCTTCTAAGCAGTTGAGGCCTGGCAATATCCCACAGCTAGAGAATGAAGATCCTCGATAAGGAAGAAAGGGAGGCTCACATCCAACACATCACTGCTGAAGGAGCCAAAGGTTTGGTCTACGGGGCCATCGTGCTGGCGGGGATCTTCACTTACGCCAAATATAAATACCCCGCCAAGTTTAGATCGTGGAACGCTCTGATCAAAACGGCGTTGGTGATCATTCCCACTATTGGCATTGCTGCGTTCTGGGCTGATCAGGGGCTGTGGGAGTTCGATAAACGGATGCACCATCGGGGCGAAGAACGGCAACGAACTCTCGACGAGTACCGCAGATGGAACCGCATTGGTCCTGTGGAGAAAGTGATGTCGCTGATTGATGACCATTCGGTACAAGTGTTTGTGGGTGCATTGGCGTTGGGGGCGTTCGCTTGGAAAAATACTAAGGGGGCTCGCTTAAATAGTGTACCTCCGAAAGTGTGGGCTCAGGGAGCTGTTGCTGCTCTAGGTTTGGGCGGTTTGCTTCTAGGCAATCATAAATTGGTCCAACAAAAACGGCAACACGAAAAGTCAATTGAGGTGACCACTAAGTGAACCGGTAATGAACTTGAGAAGAACGGAACTCTGAGTATTAGGAGGAATTGATTGATGATGTGTATACACAACTGTAAATAATTATAATTTGGCAAAGATTCGAACTTTGATGCTTAACTTTCACTTGGCTAACATATTGCAATTTAAGGAATTTACAGAAATTTTCTGTAAATGTTATATCTTGGACGGAAGTTTGTATCAATCAAAATTGATTGTAATCAAGCTGAAGCGACGTTAACCAGCATAGTACCATTGGTCTATATGTGATATTTTTAGTTTGAGCTAAACCTCGAGTACAACAGAAGTATGCGCTTTCAGTGGGGTGATAACCGGTACAATCTTCCTGATTACAGAATCTGAGTAAACACCAAATAGTACTCAAGCTTCAGTTCATAATTGAATTGTAGTTTAAAAGTCTATACAGTTCAAAATGGCCAGCTTGGACTGGTTGATTCCCCATTGCGATCGCACCATTGGATTAATTCCAAAATACGAATATACACAGCGATTAATGGCTAAAAACTTGGTTAAAAATATCCTTATACAGCATATTATAACTCTTCAAATTGATCAGCGTACGCCTCTAATGTAGTATCCTCCTCTAGTTGATAACGGAATTTTTCGCGACCAGTGGGATTCCTCATCACTATGGTCAAGCAGAAGGAACTCGTGGAGGACCGTCTCCAGGCGGTGGTGCTTACCGATTCGTTTGAGCTGCGTTTCCAGCCATTGGCCAGCGTCAAGCCACGTTGTCTTTTGCCTCTTGCCAACGTGCCCTTGATCGAGTACACTTTGGAGTTTTTGGCCAAAGCTCAAGTTCACGAAGTGTACCTCTTCTGCACTTCCCACGGCGAAGAAGTGCAACAATATATCAACCAGCTGAAGTGGGCCGACAACCGGGCGTTTACCATCAACGTGGTGTTGACGTTGGAGTCCCATTCGACGGGGGACGTCATGCGTGACATCGATAACCGGGGGATCATCACCGGGGACTTTTTGTTGGTCCAAGGTGACGTGGTCACCAATGTCGACTTTGCTAAAGCTATGGCCTTCCACAAACAGAAGAGAGCTACTGATAAAGACCACATTTTGACGATGGTATTGGCGTCAGCGCTGGCGACTCATCGCACCAGACTGCCCGATACCGGCTTGTTTGCCATCGATAAACAGAGTGACCGATGTATCTTTTACGACCCCAACATCGATCTGCCCGTTGGGATTGATCCGCTGTTGTTGGAAGGCGTTGACGAGGCCGTGGTGCGTAACGACTTGATCGACTGCCACATCGACATCTGCACTCCCCACGTGCCCCAGATCTATCAGGACGAGTTCGACTACCAGTACCCGCGGCTGGACTTCTTGAAACGGGTGCTTGATCTGGACTTGGTGAAGAAGACGATCTACGCTTATGTGGTGGACGAGTACGCCGCTAGAGTCGATTCTATCGATACTTATAAGAGCGTCTCGCAAGATATCATGGGCCGGTACGCGTACCCGCTTGTCCCCGAGCTTAACTCGTTTGATACTACGTTTAACGTTGAATTGGGACAAATCTATAAGGAGGAGAAAGTGGTGCTTGCGCAGAGCTGTACTATCGGTCAATTGACGATGATTGGTGGGCTTCTGCAAGTCGGAGAAGGCTCTCAACTTGAGCGACTGGTGATTGGTCGTAACTGTACTATCGGTGCTAATGTCATCATTGAGGATGCTTACTTATTTGATGGGGTTACCGTTGAGGATGGGGCCGTAATCAAGAATACTATCATTGGGCTGAGGGCAACCATCAGCGAACTGGTGGTAGTGGAACTGCTGGTGATTGGCTACAATGTTGCCGTGACTTCATCTGTATCGTCTAAGAAGCTTTCGGCTACGTTTATTGACGGTGATGACGACGAATTTGAGTGTGCTGAGCTCGACGACAATTTGTACGAGTTCAAACAGGACTTGGCGCAGGCGACGTTGTATTTGCACAACCTCAACATGCTGGACGAGCTGGTTAATCTGGTTTCCAAACGGAAGCGGAAACACTCGCGCAACCGGCGGATGTCCACAGCGCTGATGGCCGAGTTCTCCGACGAAGAGGACTTTGAGCCCGAAGCCATCGCTACTGTACAGAGAGCGCTCGACAATAACCACGATATTGACACCGCTGCCTTAGAGCTCAACACCTTAAGAATGTCGATGAACGTGCTGTACCACGACGTCAGATTAGCCACGGTGACGGCGTTCCTCAAGAAGATTTTGGAGTACATCAAGACCGACACCTTAAGCGCTGCTGAAGCCACCACTAAGATCTTTAAACAGTGGCTGCCGTTGTTCAAGAAACAGGTGTTTGACGCCGACGAACAACGCGATTTGCTCGACATTTTGCAGAACCAGCTCTCCGTTTTGGACTCAGCGTACAACTACATCATCTTTTTGCATGCCACTAAATGGCTCTACGAGTTGGACGTGTTAGAGGAAGAGCTGATTTTGGAGTGGTGGCACCAGTCGCCGCCGAAGAACGACCAGGAGACCCACGTGAGACTGGGGGTGGAGAAGTTTGTGGAGTGGTTAGAGGACGCCGAGGAGGAGTCTGACGACGAATAAATCCACGGTAGAGGTACACTAATAGAGTTAGAGAGAAAAATGACACGACAACTATAGTCCTTGAAATCGTATGGAATCACACCCGCAATTTCTTTTTCATCACGCCATGTGTACAGGAGCGGATCAAACACACCACCACTAAATTAAGTCTCAAGGACAACAAAAGTAACAATACTTCAAATAAAATTAGTCAACAGACACCAGTATTTCCATCAGAAAAACACTGGTATGTTTTGAGACCGGTTTTTTAGCTTTTACAAGTTATTTGCCTTTGCTGTCACATGAGCCATCGCGACTAAACGAGCGCGTCGTATAGCGCAGCCGCAGCCGCAGACGGTTAAATTTCACCACCAGCGCACCGCCTTTTCCATCAACACCCACCCATACACACGCTTCTCTGCCCGAATGTCCGTGTACGACGTGATTGTCATTGGCGCTGGCGTCGTCGGACCCGCGGTGGCGACGTCGCTCGCCCGCCAGGGGCGCCAGGTGCTTATTGTCGAGCGGGACTGGGCGCGTCCCGACCGTATCGTGGGCGAGTTGCTCCAGCCCGGCGGCGTCAAGGCCCTCCAGGAGTTGGGGATGATCGATGCCGTGTCCGGTATTGACGCTACCGACGTCACCGGCTATTATATCAAGTTTGGCGACGACGCCCTCGAGATCGACTACCCATACAAAGCTGACACTCAGGCGCCGCGCCCAGTTAAGGACGTGGCGACGGAGAAAAACACCCGTCTTCATAGCGACGCCACCATCGACGCCGACGCCTGGGAACGCGACCCCAAAGTACGCGGGGTCGCCTTCCACCACGGCGATTTCATCGGCAATTTGCGGAGCATCGCCAAAGCCGAGCCGAACGTCACCGCTGTCGAAGGGACCGTGACCAAAATTCTCTATAATGATGAAGGCGATGTTGCTACTGGGGTGCTGTGTAAGACCGGCGAGGGCGTCGTCGAGTACTACGCGCTGGTAGTGATTCTGTGTGATGGTATTTACTCCAAGTTCCGTAAGGAATTGACGAATATGGGCACTCCGCAAGTGGAGCTGTACTTTGTCGGTCTTCACATGAAGCACGCGAAGTTGCCGCTGAAGAACCGCGGCCACGTCGTCCTTGGCGACCACGCTCCCATCTTAATGTACCAGATCGCTCCCGATGAACTGCGCATCCTCTGCGCTTACCGCAGTCTGAAACCGCCCTCGCTGAAGAACGACGAGCTCTACCGGTTTATGATGGACGAGATCATCCCCGCCGTGCCCAAGATGACGCGGCCGGCGTTGCGGGCGGCGGCGAAACTGCGTAAGTTCCGCGTGATGCCCAACCAGTACCTCCCCGCCGTACCGCAACGTACCAAGGGGCTTATTGTCATTGGCGATGCCCTTAATATGCGTCACCCACTCACTGGTGGCGGAATGACGGTGGGGCTTAACGACGCCGTACTTTTGGCTCGGTTATTACACCCGCTGGTGGTTCCGGACTTAGATAACCACGACCAGGTGTTGGTGCAACTTAACAAGTTCCACCGGTTGCGGAAAAACTTGGACGCGGTGATCAATACCCTTTCCATTGCCCTCTATGCTCTTTTCGCTGCTGACCGTAATGCCCTTAAAATCTTACAACGGGGCTGTTTCCGCTACTTCCAGCGCGGTGGACTGTGTGTGCTGGGTCCCATTGGTTTACTTTCGGGGATGTTACCGTTTCCGATGCTTTTATTTAACCATTTCTTCAGCGTCGCCTTCTACTCGATCTACCGCAATTTCGGCGACCGGGGCATTTTCGGGTTCCCCATTGCCTTGATGGAGATGATCGACGTGCTAGTCACCGCCATCGTCATCTTTACCCCGTACTTGTGGCGTGAATTAGTGTGTTAACAGGGTTTAGAGGCCTTTAATCCCCTCATCATTGTCCTGCATACACTCCGAGAAAAAAAACGCAGCTGTCATCGCACGCGCACTCTCATCCGTCTGTTTCGGGCGACGGCGCCCTGAGATTTCTTGGCCCCCACACCCACAGCAAGTGCCAACGGGGCTGAGTCTCGTTTACCCCCGGTTTGTCTCCGCGATGGTTTCGGCGGTCCCCTGGCTCCACAAAGTGTTACTAGCCCTAAAACCAAGGCTTAGTGTCTGCGGCTGATACCACAAAATTTCAGCAACTCTCTAGCCATCAAATTGGCCCTGTACTCATGCCATAACTGCTCCTTATCAATGTCTGCTACCCCCCACCTCGTCAAACAAACCAGTCATGTTCAATAATTTTTACGTACCTGTATGCAGGCAACAACATCGGTGGGTTCGCCCCGCGCCTGCTGCCTCCGGCTAGCAGCCAGCACTTGCTCGACGGCCCTTCTCCCTTTAAAAACTCCTCCCTTTCCCGCCTCTGTCGTCACCAATTGCTCTCTGCCACTTCCCCCACTATTCGATATGGTCGACGAATCGTCTCCGTACGTGTGTGCCCGGCGGCCCGTCCAGTCGTGGTCCCAAGTGATCGAGCTGACGTTGAAGCTGTCGCCGGTTAACTGGTTGCTTGTGTTTGTCCCTTTCGGGATCATCGCCGGCTACATGAATTGGTCGCTGACGGCGATTTTTTGGCTCAATTTCTTCGCCATCATTCCCTTGGCGCTGGTGTTGGCGTACTCCACTGAAGAGTTGGCGGACACAGCCGGCGAGACGTTGGGCGGATTGCTTAACGCCACTTTCGGTAACGCTGTGGAATTGATCGTGTCAATCATCGCTCTCCGTGACGGGCAAGTGCGTATTGTCCAGGCGCTGATGCTTGGGTCGATGTTGAGTAACCTCTTGTTGGTGTTAGGGTGCTGCTTTATCGCTGGTGGTCTCACTCGCGAAAGGCAGCGGTTCAACCTCACTGCCGCCCAGACGATGACGTCGCTCATGGCGTTGTCGGTAGCGGGTCTCTTCATCCCCGCCGCGTTCCACTCGTCGCTTGGGTTACCGGAAAAGCCCGCCGACCCTCCGATGGGCACTTCCGGTAAGCACCAGGACGGCAACGACCTCATCCTCTCGTTGTCGCGAGGCACTGCCATCATCATGTTGATTGTGTACTGCTTGTTCTTGTTGTTCCAGCTTAAAACCCACAAGAAGTTATTCGAAGCGGAAACCACCGGCGACATCCATCTTACCGAAGAACCCAGCGGGCCCGTCGAACCCCAAATGACTACCTGGCAGCTGATCACGGTGCTCGTGGTGTCGACGGTGATCATCTCGTTCTGTGCCGATTACATGGTGTCGCTGATCGACGACATTGTCGAGCGTTCGGGGTTGCTGAAGACGTTCATCGGGTTGATTCTCATCCCCATTGTCGGCAACGCTGCCGAGCACGTCACTGCCATCGTTGTAGCGATGAAGGACAAGATGGACTTGGCGATCACCGTCGCCGTGGGGCTGTCGATCCAGATCGCCCTTTTCGTCACCCCGTTCATGGTGTTGGTGGGGTGGATGATCAACGTGCCGATGTCGCTTTACTACCTGACGTTCGAGACCGCAGTGGCGTTCGTGGCGGTGTTCATCACCGCGTTGGTGTTGAACGACGGCGAGCTGAACTGGTTGGAAGGGGCGATGTTGTTCAGCACGTACGTCATCATTGCCATCTCGTTCTTCTACTACCCTGACGTCAAGGGTTGAAGCCGAGGGTAGTCAGTTCCTGAATAATAAGCCAAATGTACAGTTGAGAAAATTATAGTAGTAGTCAATTTAGGGTTAGCTAGTGGCAATTTCGGACGAAGCATGCGACTATACGGGGTAGCTATTGTCGGGTTTACCCGCCACCCGCACGTAACTGCCTGTCGGCTAGCCGCAGATGGCCATTGTGTCCGGTGTTAGCGGCTAGTCGCTGGTGTCGGCGTCGTTTGTTTGTCTTTCGTTCACCCCCCATCGCGCTTTTAGCTAACTTAAAAGAGCTAGACGATCAGTGTCGGAGGCGACCTCCGGCGGCGTAGGCTTTGGGCTACGTATCCCATGAGGCTTTGTATACGAGCATTCCCCTGGAAACGAGTCCCGCTCGTACTATACGTCAGTGGACGTTTTGGCGACGCATTAGACTAGGCGTCGTCGCACAAACACGTATAAGGTTCACACCGCCAGGGCGCTGGGTGCAGAGAAATGGCACGAGGAAAAAAGAAAACGTAAGGGAGAGACAGTGCGGCGGGTGTAGCGAAGACGCGAAGATCAGGTGGGATCAACAACCACAACTAACAACCACTGTCTCAGATCAATTGCGGGGGAGGTTCTAAGGGATAGAGGTGAAACGGTGGGGAGACGGAAACGTACTGATTCCACCTGTACGCCAAGCGTGTGGGTGGGTGGTTGCCAGGCGGTAATTGTCCCAATGGGGCGGTGGTCGCCATAGTAACTGGTGGTGTGTGCTTCCTCCCGCACTATGACTGCGTGCGACGCGTTTTTTTTTTTTGGTAGCGATTAGGGCCGAAATTTTTACAGAATCGCTGGCAGAGTAGAATGAAGGGCGTGAACGGGGCAGAGGGGCTTATGCTCTTAGTACCCCAAAAGGACAACCGAAAATAGCCCACAGAGCGCCGAATTATATGACTTAGCCACCACTTAGCCCCGTCTAGACATCGCTACATTGCATACCCGTGACCCGGCGGTATTCAAGTAGGCGGTATTCAAGTACCATGATTGACTTCGCCTTGAGGGTCACACCACGGTAGTGCAAGGGTGGCACGGGTAGTGTGCGGTCTAGACCGAGGCAGGGCAGTTCGCACACAGGCTCCAGTGTCGCGACACCCGCCAGGAATTTCCATCACAAGCAGACACTTAGTATCAGCGCCAAACAATGGTTAGGCAACAATGGGCCCGAGGCAGCGTCGCCGTCCACCCACAATATGCTCGATTGGGGCGAGCGATGGCGTTAAGGGGGGCGATCACCCCCCCGTGATGGCGTCAAGGCGACGTCGGGGCTTTGCCAGCGTACCTCGCCGCAAGATCCTTGGGCCACGGTCAGAGACAGGAGCAGGGGTGTTTGTAAACACACCGCGCCAGGCAGCGCCGGGGGCACGGGAAATGTGGTCGGGGTCGTCGTAGGGACAACGAGGAAAGGCGGCAACGGTATGCCACAGGGTCCAAGACCGTTGAGAGGTGGTGTTCGCCGAGGTGGGTGTATCCACTCTGCCAGTGGTGAAACTAGTCAGTGTTTCGTGTTTATGATCTGAAACGACGACAGTTGTTACAGAGAAAGATGACAAATTCCGATTTGGGGTGACATCGGTAGCCTATACCAGTAGTTGAATAGAGGACGAAGGACATGATTTAGGGTGATCGTCGCCGGTGGGGGCCGGTTAGGCAGCCCCGGCAACTGGGCGCCCGGAGAAAAAACGCTCGACCTACATCCCCTGCATTGTCCTCTTGGCGTCGTCTGCAAATCACCACCGCGAGTGCGTCTGATGTACTCTGGGTGGGCGCGCGGGGGCGCATGGGCGCGGGCGCTAGCTGCCCCCTCGAGGCCTGGGGAATGTTTGGTGGCGGTTGCACGGTAGCCACCCCCATATTCAGTGGTGACCCTATTGTTACGTTTTGCCTCAAACATCAATGTTTACGCCCAATGGGTCAGCTTTCCAGGGCTCGCGGGCCCCTCGCACCGTCGCCACCCTATTTGACATTTTCCAGATTAGTTCGGCGCTCACCTGTCGGCTGGCGCTGGTGATTTTTACGGAGCGCGCGTCCGCATTGGGAATAATTCTACCGATACACGACGGCATCCAGCATATATAACCGGGCACCACCGCTTCGCTCCCTTCTGCCATTCCATCATCCCAATGCCCATGAAGTCAGAGTTGAAGATTTTCGCCAAGCAGCCCATCACCGACGAGATGATCGCGTTCTTGGTGGCGACGACGCTGCTGGTGATCCAGGTGAAGCCCCTGGCCAGTTGCTCGATGGGCGACGCCACGGTGCTGAAGCACACGGTGCTGTTGACCACCTTTATCAAGCGGCTCATCGCTTACTCCAACGTGCAAACGCCGACGTTGATGGCGACGCTCATCTACTTGAACAAGTTGCGCAACTTGCTCCCCGCCAACGCCGTGGGGATGGAGACCACCCGCCACCGCATCTTCTTGGCGGCGCTCATCTTGCTGGCCAAGAGCTTGAACGACTCCTCCCCGCTCAACAAACACTGGACCAATTACACCGACGGCCTCTTACTGTTGCAACAAGTCAACATGGCCGAGCGCGAGCTCATCGCCCTCTTGAACTGGGACATCACCATCAACGAGGACGAGTTGGTGGCAGCGCTCCAGCCGTTTTTGCTCGGGATCCACCACAAGTTGCAGCGCCAGCAATTGGCCGAGCAAGAGAAGAAGGCGCTGTTCTACCGGTTGTCGACCGCCCACCGCAAGCCGCTGTCGAACTCGAGCATCCTGACCTGCGCCCTGCTGCTGCTGGCGTCGCTGCTGCTGCTGCTGTACTCGCTCAACCTGCTGCCGTCGCTGGGGTTGTCGCTGATGCTGCTGTTGCTGCTGCTTGTCGACGACGCCGCCTACGTCCTCACCTACCCGGGGCGCAAGCTGGTGGCGCCGGCGCCGGCGCCGGCGCGGCCGCTGCGGGTGCTGTTCCCGCTTAAAGTGTTGAACACTCGCGCCTAAAGCGTCTAATTAGAGGTGAGAGCGCCGGTTAGCTTCTCCCTCCCTACATCACAGCAGAGAGCGACACACAATTCACATTGGTATATATTATTTTGGTTATTTAGGTATTTTTGGGATAATGACATAGAGACGTTATTTGGGACACCCGCTTGTAAACGCAGTGAATTCTCTAGCTGCAACACGCGTAATTTCGTGCGTCGACACCCATGTACGCTGGCGGTTAAGGGGGTGAGCCCCGTGACCGCGAGTGCGAAAATGTTTGCAGCCACCACCCTCTACAATTCACGCGCCTTTTTTTTTTATGTTTGATCTGCGCTTTTTGTTTTGCCCCCTTCTTTCAGCGTGCCCAGCCTGCATAACCTTCACCTACTACACCCCCAGAGAAATAAAAAAAGTAGGGCTATGCTATGTCGCGTGGCCAAAAATAGACCAAAGGAGACTAGCCAAGGAATGTTAGACAATGTAATGATAATCAGCAAATAGGTGAACCATGAAGTCTGCACATTATCAATTTAGAATAAGATGTCGTCGATTAATTGAGGAGTTTACTCCTTGATGCGGCAATTAATGGCCGGTTGCCGTTGGTAGTTTTTTTTTTTTTTTTTTTTCTTCCACAAAGGGACCNCTGCTTTGGGGTAAATACTGAGAGCGGGTGAAAAATTAAATTTTCTTCAGGGCCAAGACCGAGCGGTGACGGGTGTGGCCATTGTTTCCCCGTTGCACACAATAATGCCATATTTGGGGGTGTAATTGGGACAATGGCGTTACTGGTCGGCAATGTATACATCGTGTTTGCAAAACACCAGCCACCAACAATGGCACTTGTAGCTCTAGGAATTGGTAAGTGTAGCCGACTTTACCATCAATACAAGATGGACTTTCCAGATCAATTCACCTTGGCACCTTTAAAATGATCTACTGTACCTAGATATGAAAACAACCGGTAGCAATTGTTGGTATTTCCCTCCCTTGTACACCTAGTATCGGTAGTACCAAGTCTATTATCGTTTTCGCCGAGAGGGGAAAGCCACCGTCGGGTTCACCCGCTGGACATAAGTCGTCGTCTAGCTGCGTTTAGCCGAACGATAAACGGCGACGGCGATGAGGTGGGCAGAAAGTACGTGGACGCACTCTTGGCCTGATGTTGTGTATAAGCCAGCATCGCCGGACGCAACAATCTCAGGTGATAGTTACATTAAGCTTCTAAGCGTGTAAAAGCATTTTACTTACATATTATGTGGAGGAGTAGTGAAAGGGGAAAGGGGAAGAGAAGACTTCAGTGGGCGTGGGGGTCTTCCTTAGGAGGGTCAGGGGTCACGGTGATCATGGTGTCGATTCTCAAGATGGCCACACACGCCTCAAGCGCCGCCTTCAACAGCTTCACCTTCAGCACCGTCGGCTCCAACACCCCGTGGGTGACCTCGTTGACGATCTTACCCTCAATCAAGTCCAACCCGTAGTTGCGATATTTTTTCCGCTTGGCATCGGCCGCCGGCGCCAGCTGGCACGCGGCGTGGTAGGTGCGGAGCTTGGCCACCAAGTCCAGCGAGTCCTTGGCCGCGTTCATCGCCAACGTCTTGGGAATCACGAGCAACGCTTGCGCAAACTCGTAGATCGCCAACTGCTCGCGGGAGAACACCAGGGTGGCAAAGTTCTCCAAGTAGATGTTAAGGGCAGTTTCGGCAGCACCACCGCCGGGGACGACCGAACCCAGCTCAAGGGTGCGCTTCACCACCAGGAGCGAGTCGTGCAACGATCTTTCCATTTCGTCCAAGGTGTACTCGTTGGGCCCTCTCAAGATGATCAGGGCCGCTTGGTGTTGCTTAGTACCCTTGATCAAAATGCATTCATCGTCAGAAATTCTCGCTTGCACCACTTCGTCGGCGTGACCCAAATACAGCGATTCAAAGGTTTCTTCGCCTTCAAGGTTGGCGAGTGACAGCACCAAGGTGGCACCAGTAGCGCGGGCAATGCGACGCAAGTCTTCCTTCTTGCACCGTCTCACCGCCATCGCACCAGATTCAACGAACTCCTTAAGACAAAGGTCATCGATCCCCTTAGTGGTGAGGACGACGTTGGCGCCAGCATCGAGGATCTTTCTTATCCGTTCAATGATGATGCCGTATTCACGCTGACGGATCTCTTCCAACTGGTCGGGGTCGTCGATGTTGATTTGCACCCCCATCGCCATGCGGGCTTTCTGAAGGTTGATGTCCAAGCAGGCGATCTTAGCACCTTTAATTTGCTTCTTCATCGCTTGCGAAGCCACAGTACAGTTGAGAGCATAGCCGTCAACAAGGTACAGCTCACGCGCCAGCTTACCGTGGGCCTTAAGAATGTTGACTGCCTTCACGGGGTATTTCGTCTCGCCTTTCGAGTTCTGCGTCTTCACCTTCATCATCGCATCAACCACCAACTCGCCAAAGAAGTCCGAGTCGGGCCCAATCACTTTCGACAGCATCGAAGTCCGCGCCACGTTGACTAAGGTGTCCTTACCCAATTTGGACACCGGCTGCGAAAGCACGGTGTTGATATAAGCAATCAGCTCTCTCATGGCAATTCTGTAACCAGCAATGATGGTGGTGGGGTGGATCTTCATCTTGATCAATTCGTTGGCCCGCTTCATCAACTCGGCGGCGATAATCACGACGGAAGTAGTGCCGTCGCCCACCTCACGGTCTTGCTGCTGGGCCAAGTCGACGAGGATCTTACCGGCGGGGTGTTGGACGTCGAGCAACGCCAAAATCGTTGCCCCGTCGTTGGTGACGGTGACGTCACCAATGTCATCGACAAGCATCTTGTCCAACCCGACGGGGCCGAGGGACAGCTTGACGACATTGGCCACGGAGAGGGCGGCCATGACGTTCAGATTTCGGACGTCGTCCCCCAGGATTTTCTCCCCGCCAAGGAAGAGCGTGTCGGAGCGGGCATTGGAAATCATGGTGGTCGAGGGGTGAGGATGAGGTAAAAATTCCTGGGATCAGTGCGCCGCGGACGACCCGGAATCAGAGTGGGGAGAATGTGGGATGAGAAATTGAGTAACAGATGATGAGTAGGAAACAGTAGATAGTAGTAATGATATTGTGAAGAGTTACTTGGTTGATTTTCTCGTGGTGGCGTTGATGGAAATTGGCTATCGCTGGGTGAGCAATGAAATTTCGGAGGCGAAAAAGCGAGCGAACAAGCACTGAAAGAAAGTGAGGAAGACAGAATTAACATGTGTCCCTCAAGGTTGACAATCATTTGATGATCCGTTGGATGAATGGCTTCAGAAACTGTCATTGGTGTCTGTATCATCAATTCACTACTGCTTAGCTTTGTCCTTGTAGATTAGAGAGAAGACAGGGCTAAAGTGCTGTGACTGTAATTCCCTTATAGTTTAGAGAGAAAAAAGATAGCGAGCCTGTGCCAGTCGCGTCTAGACCGTATCTCTGATATGGACGCGGCGGGAGTGAACCAGACGCGATCTTCTCTGGATGGGAGCCATTAACAGATACAACAGAGCATAGGCCGACACCGTTGTTTTCTCTTTTAATATAATTGATTCAAACTTACTTCCGTAAGCGGTGGGAATGACAATAAACAAACGAATCACGCCACATCCACTTATCCTTGCCTACTTCGTCTACGGTCGACCTCTGGCTCTAGCCAACAAAATTTTGTAGGATGGCGGTGGTTCCTGACCATTTGATTGTCGTCACCATGTTAGGAAGCCGTACGCCCATCTGAAACATCGTCTCTAACCACCTTTGTGGTCTTGTGCTAGCAGTCGCACTCATTTTAGGCAAAACTCAATTCATCAACACCACAAACCCTCAGGCGCCATGTTAGCCAATTCCATCAAAACCCGCACTACGTCCATCCCACGGATGCTTGGGGTATTCCGCTATGTTGGTGCCATCTCTGGCGGGCGGGCGTTCACCTCGGTCGCCACCAGATTCCCTCACTTGCCCGCCGTTGCCATGGGCGACGCGAGCCAGGCCAAGGTCAACCAGATGAAGTTTGCCACTGGTTTCGGCGGCGTCACTGGTGCTATCAAGCCTTCGCCCGCTGTGCAATTGAACGCCACCGCCGCTGCTTCGGAAGGGGCGCTGAAGAAGAAGACCACCAAGCCTAAGAAGCTGGAAAAGGTCAAGTTGAGAGAGAAATTGAACCGGGAAAAGAAGAAGCTTAAGAAGATCGAGGCGGCGTTGAAGGAAAGACAAAAGTTGCTTGCTAGCCGCAGCAAGGACCGTCAAAAGAACCAGGAAAAGGAGAAGAAGGAAAAGGAGAAGAAGGAAGCGGAAAAGCAGAAGCGTCTCATCAATAAGGCGTTGCAACCGGTGAGAGGGTTGTCGTCGTGGTCGCTCTACATCAAGAAGAAGACCACCGCCGACAAGGACATGAAGCAATTGTCGGAAGACTTCCGCAACCTCAGCGAATCGGAAAGACGAGAGTACGAACGCCTCGCGGAAGAGTACAACGCCAAGTTGAAGGAACGGTACCCCGCCAGACCCAAGATCCCCCCTCTGGGCTACGCGTTGTACGTGCAACAGAATTTCCCCGCTGGCGTTACCGCCGCCGAGGCAATGACGTCGATGGCTAACGACTGGAGACAATTGTCGCCGGAGGAAAAGGAAAAGTATAACGTTGTCACCGAAGAGATCCGCGACAAGTTCAACGAGGAATTGAAGAAGTGGAAGGACCAGCGGGTGGCCAATTACCTTGAGGACAAGAAGAAGCCCAAGGTCGATATCTGAATTAATGTGAGAAATTATGTACTTGAAAAAAAGTGTTTGCGATTGGGAAACCCCCTTTGTGTAGAGTGAGACTTTGTCACCCCGACGTCAATCAGCCAAACCGCGTTTGTGGTTGATGTTGCTGTAGGCTTCGATCCGCATCGCACCCCCTACCCTTTTCTAAAAATAGCAAAAAACACGACGTCTCCAAAAATGTATTAATTAAAAAAGGGGGGAAGGAGTCTATAAATCCCTTTTGACGATTGGTACATATAAAAAAAATTCTATTACATATTTTCGTGGAACACCTCCACCATCCGTTCCGCCTCCTTCTCCTTGCCGATGTGCTCCAACACACGCCCTAAGTCCATGGGCAAGATGGGCTTGGTGATGAACTCGACCATGCCGCAGTCAATCAGACGTTTGCGGTCGTCGCCGGCGACATTGGCGGTCAAAGCAACAATACAGGGTATCTTGGTGGGGAGCCCTTGCTTTTTCAACAGGTTTTTGAGCTCGATGGTGGCGGCGATGCCGTCCATCCGAGGCATCTGGATGTCCATCAAAATGACATCGTATAAGGGCACGCCGTCGTCGATGCGCTTCTGGCACAATTCTAGCACTTCGACCCCGTCCTTGGCGTGGTCGGCCTCGTAGCCAAACCGCCGCAAGTGGGTGAGGGCGACCTTGGTGTTGACGACGTTATCCTCAGCTAAAAGGATGGTGAGCGGGTACTGCTGAGCAAGCTTCGACTTGTCAGAGCCGCCCTTGATCGCCTTGACGTTGACAGTGCCATTGGAGGCGTTATTGCTCGCCACTCGCCGCAATACGTCTACCACTTTCAGTCGCATGTACGGACACAAAATCACCGGGTACAGCGCCACTTGCGGAGACAAAAGCACCCCGAACGGAGCCAGGACAATGATACGAGCTTTGCTGAACACCGCCTCGACACCCTCAGGGAATTGACTTAAGGAATTGACGGCAATAAACACCACATCAAACTGGTCGGGGTTTTCCACCAGTTTAACGGTGTCAGTATCCACAGCCTCGACTCCCAACCATTTCAAGATCATCACGAGCGACCGGCGAATGTACCCAAGCTTATCCACAGTCAAAATCTTGGGTTTAGCGCCCCATTGAGACGGCCAGTCGATTTGAGGGGGAGTCTTTGAGATCGTCACCAGCAGCAGCACCGTGAAGTAGAACGTCAGCCCTACACCTTCAGTGGAGTCGAAGGTGATCAGTCCGCCCATGATATCACACAACTTCTTCGAGATGGCGAGACCTAAACCGGAACCACCGAACACTCGTCTCAGCGAACCATCCACTTGCGAGAAAGCACCAAACACTTTATTACGCAGGTTTTTCGGGATCCCGATACCCAGATCTTCCACCAGAATGACAATCTCATAACGGTCACCAACAATTTCCGTCGCCCGCACACGGACAAGAATGTGGCCTTCGCTGGTGAACTTGACGGCGTTACCCATCAAATTGATGATGATCTGGCGGAAACGAGTGACGTCACCCTCAACGGTGGCGATCTCAGGACAGTCGTTATAGAGGGCAAGCTCAACTTTATTGGCAATCGCTTGTTCGCCGCTAAGTTGTATCGCCAGCTCAATACAGTCGTTGAGGTTGAAATGAGCGACATCAAGTGTAAACAGCCCGTGCTCGATCTTGGAGAATGCCAAGATACCATCGATAATGTTCAAGGTGACCATGGCACTGTTTTTGATCGTCTGGACGTATTCTTCTTGAGTGGCCGTTAAGTCGGTATCTAAAAGGAAAAGCGAACACAGCAAGAGCGAGTTGAAGGGGGTTCTGATCTCGTGCAGCATATTCAGCAAGAACAGCGCCTTCTCCGCCATTGCCTCCTCCGCTGCCTGTTTAGTACGGTCCATCTGCTCATAAAGCCGGGCTTTCGTCAACAGCACCGCTGCGTGCATACAGAAGAGCATGATCATGTTGTGGCGGTTGAGGCGGACCTCTTCGTTCTTGAGGTCCAGGTTTGTCAGCTCCAAGTAGAGCACCGCCACTACCTCGGTATCATGCTTCAACGGCACACAGATCGCGGGGGCGTGTCCCCCCATCTCCTGGAAGTAGTCATCGTGACTGAAACGGGTATTAAAGTACAACGGGTCCGCCAGCAGCAGCACCACGTGGCCACTGTTAGCAACATGAGCCACCAACGAGTAGGGGATGGCATCCCGGCGCAGCGAGATGGGCTCGTCGCGGAACACTTGGACCCCGTCGGGGCGAGCCAGCGCCATGAGGACAAACTCCGAGCCCTTCTTCACCACGGCCACACCATAATCGCTGTGGGTAAGCTCGACGGTGTGTTGCACTAAGTTGAGAGCAATCAGGCGGTAATCCTGAGCTTCAGAGATGGCAAGACACGCCCTGATGGCGTCGTTGACGTGGCCGGTGAACACGGGAGCCGGTTCTCGAGGATCCACTTCACTGGGACGTACACGATAGTTCTTGAACCGGGCTCGAATATGGGCAACATCGCGTGGATCGCTCATGGTATCGTTGTCGTCAGTCTGCGGTTGCGGGTGCGGGTGCTTGCGCTTATTGTACAACTCCAACGCATCGAATTCAGCGGCTAACCCTGCCGAGGGGTGTTTAGGGTCCACGGTGGGCATCCCTGCCCAGTTGGACGAGGTGAACTCCTTGCGTCTCGCTTCAATCACTTTCACCATGTTTTTGAACTGAGTCCGTTTGAACGCATTCAAGGCAACTTGGAGGTAACGAGCGATCCGCTTCGGCAGGCCCCCACTATCGATCAACCAGGTGGCGCAGAAGTGCAGCGCCCACCCGATATCATAATAGTTCTGTTGTTCAAGGGCATACTCGACGGCGTCCTCAAACTTGTCAAGCACTGTAATCGCATCGACGTTAGGGTCTTTCAGCGCCTTAAGGGCCGATAACATGAGGAACCGCTGGCTGAAATTACCCGGATTTAATCCGGCCCACGTCTCGAAGAACTCAAACAACTGGCGTCTGATTTCCGCAGCAAGCTCGGCTTCCTCGTCCAGCCGGGGGACAAACCGAAGCAACGCGGCGTACATGATAGAGAGCACCTCGAGATGAACCACGGTGAATGGCAACGTGCTCTGCAGCTTGAAGTACTCGAAAACGTAGTCGGCGGCCTCGCGGTAGCGTCTGTGGGCCTTGAGGTAGAAGATCCGCAGCGCAAGCACGCAGAACTGGTAGTCGACGGTGAGCTCGGAGACGTCCATTTCGTTGAACTTCTCGTAGGTGATATCCCCTTGTAAGAGACGGAGACAGTGTACTTGTACATGATCCAACTGGGAGATCTTAAAGCTGTAAGCGTCGAAGTGGGTGTCGCTGAAGATCAGCAGGTTGAACACCGCCAAAAATAACCGCACCACACCACGAAGACCAGCAAGGGCACCCGGGTAGTGGCTGGAGATGCTATTGGACACATACACCTCATATTGGCGCACCACCTCGGTGTGAGGCTCGATGAAGAGGGCAAGGGTGTGGACGTAGTTCTCGTAAAACCCTTGGATATAGTTCAAGGGGACGCGGTCACCACGGCCAACGAGGGCTAGCGCAAGCTTACCGAACTCAATCGCCTGCAAATAGTTACCGGAAACGTCGCTGGTGATCAAGTAGTTGGCGTAGGCCACCAAGGGACCCCCACAGAATGCCAGCACCCCGTGGCTCTGCATCATCACAAGCATCTGGGCGACAAGCATCACTCTCACCCATAACTTCTCGCTCATGTACGTGGCTTGGATGGCGTCGCCAATGAGCTCGTACACAAGAAGCACCACGGGGTTGGTGGTGACCTTAAAGTCTCGCATGGCGCGGATATCCGCCACCAGGAGCGGCACTTTCAGAATGATTTTGTGGTATATCTGTTCGGCTTTGGCTTCGTTTAGCGTAGCGTTGATGCCAAGCTTCTTCAACCCGTGTAATGCCAACTCGAGCCCTTCGTCAAGGCGGGCCAGGTGGATGAGACAGCGCACTTTGGCCAAGAGGAAGATCAGCTCGTCAAACCCGTACTTGTTTATCGCCTCGTCGATGAACTTAAGGCACTTATCGTACGCTTGCAACGAGAACAAGTTGTGGCAGATAGTGATGGAGATCTTCACCTTATACTTGGGTTCGGTGATGAGGACGTTGGCCGCCTCGAAGAACTGGAGGCCAAACTCCAAGTTGCACGCCAGCGACGCCGTTCTCCCGGCCTCAATCAATGCGTTGACATAGATCTTGACGTCATCCTTGCGCGCCACCTCCACCAGCTGGACCATGTGCATCGCCATTGTGAGGTATTCCAGCATGGTAGTGGAGTGCAGCTTGGAGATCTTCTTGTGGAAACAAAGACTACACACGCGGTGCTGCTCGCTCCACTCGCCCAGCTTCTGCATCCTCTGCTTAACCACCGTGTACACCAGGTCGTGGACAAACAGGTAGGTATTTTGCCTTGTCAATTCCCACACCAGGCCATCACTGAAATCAAAGGGGAACGCTTCTTCGCCAAGCACGTGGAAGGGCACTTTGTAATAAGTCAGCGCCGGCATGATGATTCTCGCCTCCATCAATTTGTTGAGCAAAGCATAGCACTGAGGAAGCAGCATGGAAAGCACCACCAAGAGGTCCAGCATGTGGAACACATTACCACGACGAGTCACTGCGGCCGCTTTCAACACCCGGAGAGTATCAGTGCTGAGCAGGTGGTCCAAATAGGTGCCGATCTTACCCCACATCAGCGACTGGCTCCAGTCGACGTCGATGAGCCAGCGTTGTTCCAGCGCCTGGCAACCGCCGTATTTCACTCTCAGGCACACGACGGCATCAACAAACAAGTAGTGGGCAAAAGCTAAATTGCCTCCGCACCGCTCATGCATTTGGTCAGCCAATTCACACACTCCTGGAGGCAAGATTGATTTCACTTCAAGTACCAGGTCGTTGGGAGCAAGCTCGGCGGAACTGGCCAACTCCAGCTTGAACGTGTTCGACAAAAGCCAGCTGCCGACGTACTCTCTGAACGCCTCTTTCAGCACGGGGCCTAGGTGGTAGTCCTTATAGAAAAGCTCGGCTTTCTTATAAAGAGAAGAGTGGATCAACTTCTTGAGATTCTCGTTGTCGCTATTATAAGTGACAATACAGCGGAACCGCCCTTGGTTTTGCTGGACTAGGTGCTCATGGATACCGACAAACACCTCGACAAAGAACTGGAACGCCAGCGGGTTGATCAAGTCGAGGTCGTCCATGGTGAGGGTGAGGCCGTGGCTGGCGAACACCATGAGCAAAAGGCGCACGCCGTAGCGGAAGCGGAGCTCGTAGTTGAACTCCTGTGACTCTTCGGCTCCCTGGGTCACCAGCCGCTTCCACCGGGGATCCATCCCCATCAACTCTCGAAGTCGAGGGATGGCGTCAAACATGAACTGGATATCGATATCAATCGCAGCCTTTATCTCATTGCGCCACCTGAGGATCTCTTCCTGCAGACTCAACATGATGTTCAGCACCACTTCTTTGATGATATGGACGAAGAAGGTGTAAAACGTGAGATTGTCTTCGGTGGTGTACCTGTACAGCACAAAGATGTCCTGGGAGTGCATAATCCGGGGACGGATATCATTAAGCAACGACGTTTTCCCCAGTCCTGAGGGACCCTTGATATAGAATATCAGCACCCCTTCGCCCTGGGCGTCGAAGTCGGCAAGCAATTCGTCTCTGACCTCAGTGTGGCCAAAGAGACGACGAGGCGGGATCAACGTGAGAGGGACACCACACTTTTCCGGGTATACCGCGGGAGGAGGCGCCACCACCAGCTTGTCGGGGATCTTATCGACGTAGTGAGTTCTCACTGCCACCAAGTCTCTGATCACCAGCTCGGTGTCGCCGTACCGTTGTTGAGGGTCTTTATGGAGCAATCTCATCACGAGCATCGAGAGCTCGGGACTCACCCAGGGGGCGACCACGGTGGGGGCGATCGGCAGCTGCGTGATCGTCATCCGCAACATCTTGTACGGGTTGGAGTCGATGTAGGGCACCAGGCCTAGAAGCAACTCGTAGAGGACCACCCCGATCAGATAGAAGTCCAGGCGGTAGTCGACCAGCTCCATCACGTCACCAGCATACTCCGGCAGCACATAGGGTAAGGCATCTACCGTCAGGGCTAAGTGACGTCTCCGGTAACCATTAGTACAGTTCTCTGGTTGGATGGAGAAGGCATAGTCCCATCCCACAAGCCGCACGTCCTCGGGGTCGGTCTCCAGCTTATAGATGGTATAGGGAGTGATACCGTTATGGCAGATATTGAGCTCGTGGGCCACTCCAAGGGTCCTGAGCACCTTCACCATATCGTCGATGATGTCCACCACCACCAGGGCTGGTTTAGGCGGTACTACGCCTTGCAAATGCCGCTGGCCAAACGACAGGGTGAACAGCGGTGCTGCGAGTCCTCCATACGTCCCCAGCCCCATCAGGTTCAGCAGGATCACCAGCAGCTGGCGCAGCGTCTGGCGGAGTGTTTGTGATATCAGGGCCTGGATCAGCGTCGCCTGGGTCTGGTGGCTGGCGTACCACTCGGAAATGGTGGTGTAATCGTTATCGGGATATATCAACGCAAACCGTTTCTGGGTGGGGTCGCTGATGATGCTGGGGTCGTTATCCATTAAGTCGTTGATAAGCACTTGTCCTTGAGCGGTATTGTGAGTGCCACTGCCACCCGAAATCTTATCGGCCACCATCAGCGGCACCCGCGTGTGTCTTCGCAGAGTTTGCGATCCATTAGCTTCGGTTTCGTCGGTGCCCCGGTTGATGGTGATGGCATGGATAGGGTATAAGATCCCCGGCACGTCTCGCGGGAACGTGATGGGTAACAGCCCCTTGGGGTCGTGGGGGTTATACACGACGTCCAGCGGTGGTAGCCACTGGTTGGACACCGACAGGTTAGTGAACGGGCGATGCAGTTTCGGCGGGTTGAGCCCCAGCAACAAGTACCACTCGTTGAGCAACCGCAGCACGTTGAGGTTATCCACCAAGTTCGGCAGCAACTGGACAATCACCTTCTTCACGGGCTCGCTGGTGGTGCCGTTGGCGTGGGCTTGCGGGTCGGCGCCAGAAATGTCCAGCACCACGACGTGGTTATCGTCGAACCGAGGGTCCACGCGGGGGCCTGTAGCGACGACGGCGTGGTAGAGGATTGTCAGCGTGAGCTTCTGCGGGCCAAATTGTTTCACAAGGCGGAACCCGGGGATCAAGTCGGGCTGAATGTCGACATGTTCGCGGGACTCGTCCGAAAGGCGTGCTTTGCGGTCATTAACGTGGTCGGTGTAGATCTTAGCGTGGTTCAAGTTGTTCAAGAAGCTCCGGTAGCCGAACACAGCATTCTCAGAAAAGCCTTTGGCGTCGGTGGTCACCGAGTCGTCGGTTTGCTGCAGCACCTCCTCGAGGTAGTTCGAGAGCAGCAGGTACTCCAGCAGCAGGACGAAGAAGTCCAGCAGCGCTTCGCTGTCACGGCCACTGTCGCTGGGCTGGGAAGAGGCCATGGGTGCAACGACGCGGTGGGGTGATGAGTAGCAATCTTACGCTGGTGAACGTTATATGCACAGGCGGAGGTGCTTGGTGGGGGAAGGGGCTTAAGCGAGGGGCGGTCTGCCGATAGGGAATTAAGCTCTTATTGCTGGACAACACCAAACTACCTTAGAGGTTTCTTGAAGTTGACAGAGTGACGTCTAGGTCGGGGTTGAGTGGGGAGAGTATCGGGCCCATGTGCGCGTTAGGGGCGCTTAAATACGAAGTGGCAAGTGAGGCACTTTGATGGCTTGTCAGGCTGAGACATACTGTCTATACAGGGCGTGCGCTACCGAAAAGGCGCGAACCCAGACCGGGCCCCCCACACCCGCCACACTGCTCCGGCGGTCTAGACCACCAACGGGGGCTAGTAGAGAAGGGGATATATATGGCGAGACGGGCGGTTTGTGGCCCGTTGATTGAAAAGGTTAGGAGTGGGAGGGGGATCTTGCCCGTCTAGTAGACCCAAAGCCCCCTGCTGCAACGGTTTTTGTGTCAAATGTGAGACAAGCACTCATTGGCGGCTATTGGTAATGGTAGTAAATTTTTTCACTCTCTATCAGTAAGTCGTGTCGGTGCCTGTAATTCGCAAATTAGTGGATTTACGGGATCGCCTAGCCGCAAGCGATCACGGCGTACAGAGTAGTAGCTGTTTGGTAACAAATAGTGTCCTGGTAGTCAACGGGGTTTACGCTTGGTGGCCAAGAATAACCCTAACGTAAAATGGTAGCAGGGCCCGGAAGCAATGGGCCCTAGTGAAAAGCAATGACTACCACAATAGATTATCAAGGGTAAGCGATAAGCGAGTCCAGATCGTCATGATTGAATTTGTTCTGAAAACTGCTTTCTTTCTTTGAGACACTGTCGGTTGTCATGACAATTACCACAATGATAACAACGGGAAAAGATGACGGTATTCGGTTTTGATGGTTCCTCATTGTAATAAAAGTATTTTACCATAATTGTTTCATGCGTTTCTTGCTAATTTTTTTTTCTAAAATATATAATGGGGGGCTGCTCGTGAATAAGGGAGGTCTGCCACCGGGAACATGCGTGTATGCGGGTAAAATACTTGTAGCGGATTTTGTCATATCATTATTTAAACCATCGTCCCGTAACCAGCGCCCGAACTCCCTCATATATACATTCTTTATAAAATGGTACACTTTTTCGACTTTTTGATCACCGGGGGTTCCAACGCGGCGACGATGGCCTCGTCGAACACCGTCTTCAACCCCCTCTGGGTGAGGGCGGAGCACTCGACGTATTTCACTGCGCGCAACTCCTTGGCCAACTTCTCGCCCATCTCGGTAGTGATGGGGGACAACTTTTGCCGCTGGAGCCGCTGCAAGATGACTTCGTCGTTGCGCAAATCTGTCTGGGTACCAACGATGAGGCAGGGGACGCCGGGGCAGTGGTGGTGGACTTCGGGGAACCATTTTTCCTTGACGTTTTCGAACGAGGCCGGCGCGATCACCGAGAAACACACGAGGAAGACGTCGGTCAGCGGGTACAGCAACGGGCGCAATCGGTCGTAGTCTTCTTGCCCCGCGGTGTCGAACAAGCCGAGGGTGAACGGCTCGTCGCCGATCATCACCGTCACCGCGTAGTTATCGAACACGGTGGGGACGTAGTCGGCGGGGAACTTGGAGGTGGTGTACAGGATGAGCAAGCACGTCTTGCCCACGGCACCGTCACCCACAACCACACATTTTATAGTCTGCATTATCCGTTAGTCTCTGCTCCCTGGTGGACACGCCCGCAAGATAAACAACCAGGACGTAACCTCAATCGACGCCCTTGGAAACTGCGCACTCGAAAAAAAAAGTCACGAGCGGGGGTGCAGGGGCCTGCGGCGCGGCCACCCCAGGGCGGCGGCGAGCGGAATCCCAGGCAAGTGGGGTGATCGAGGCGTGGGTATAAATGATCAGGACGAGAGGAAGGTAGAGGAGACTAATCGGTAGTGACTGGGGAGAGCTTGAAGAAGAGCTAGGGCCGGGCGGCGGTGGACGGTGACGTGGTCGATACGGCAGGAGTGCGACTCTGCCGTGCTGCTGCTGCCACCACCGAGGATCCCCTTTATCGGCGCCCCCCCGCTAATGGTGTGCCGGTGTGGCGGCTGGGTGCCTCAGGTCAAATTGTGGGGACACTGACTGAAACAACTTATTATGGCAGTTAAAAGTTTTGCCTGGTCACTCGCCAAGGAGGCGACACCATTAGTAAGAGATCATTTCTAAGCGACGTGGAATTGTGGTGGTGCCACGCGCCCTCAGTCGACATTCCCGACGCGCGGGGGTGCCAACGGGTGATAACGAGCAGGGCGAACCAGTGATAACGAGCGCTACCCAGAGGCGTGTGTATTAAAGTGGGGGGTGGTATATGACAGATTAAGGGGGAAGGCTTTATACATGACGGATTACTTGATGTTCATCAACTCCAGGTCGCCCATGTCCATCGAGGCCATGTCCAGCGGGAGATTGTTGGGGTCGATCAACTTGCTGAGGGTGGTGGCGTCGAGGGTGAGGTCGTCGTCGATCTCGTTCTCGACGATCTGGGGCCCGCCCCCGAGGAAGTCGAGCATCATGTGCATGCCGCCGGCGCCGCCGGCGTACTCCTCGACGTCGACGGGGAGCACCTGGGATACGCCTTCCAAAAACCACACTTTGTCCTTCATCTCGGTGGTGAACGAGCGCAACAACTTGTAGTACAGGCGCATGATCCGCATCGACTTGATGTCGCCCGTCATCAACAACAGGAGGAACAGCTTGTCGAGCAACGCGGGGAAGGCGAAGATACGGAGGATGAAGTCCAGCTTATAGCGCTCCTTGTGGAGCTTGTTGAGGTAGGCGAGGGTGACCAAGTACGGCAGGTCGATCGCCACGGGGAACAAGTCGGCGATCTCGGCGTCGTGGCACTCCAAGTCGCTGAACTGTTGGTGCTTGCCTCCCAAATTCACCTTGTTGTTGATGATATCGCCCAAGTCGCCGAGATCAACGCTGATAAACTTGTAGAACCGCAGCTGCTCCGTAAGCGGCCACACCGCCGTCAAGATGGTGGCGGCACCTTTGACGTGGAAGATCCACGCCAGCGCCGGGAGCAGCTTCGGCAGCGTGCTCAGCGGGAACAGCGCGTTCGCCAACGAGTCCATGATGAGGATGAGCGCCAGCGCCACGAGGGCGTCGGTGTTGGCGGCGTTGATATTAAGCACTTCTTCCCGTAGAAGGCGGAGGGCTGCCCCTCGGTGGCTGGTGACCGCTTGTACGAGCCCCTTCTCCGTCCGACTTAAGTGAGTGGCCAGAAACGCCAATAGCAGGTGCATCAAAAAGGGAAACTCAAACGCAAGCATGGGGATGTCGTAGTTCCAGATATTGGTGTCGGAAATGCCGGCGCCGGTGATGGTGGTGGCGACTTGCAGGGTATAGTGGAACATGAGCCTTAAGTCGAGCATGTTCAACTGTGGTGTATCGCTCATTGGCGAGTGGCCTTCGCTCTGTTCAGCGGCGGCAGCGGCTTCCGCGTTCAGTGCTGCCAGCGCCAGCGCCGCCGCTGCTGCCATCATTGCCGCTGGATTAGGGGCTTTAAACTGGTTAAGAGGGTCATTGTCGAGATTCAGCAGCAGACCCAGAGGTGCTGATGCTGCTGCTGCTGCTGCTGCTGCCCCTGGAAGCATCAGCCCAAGCATGCTCATAAGATCGGCACCCGACGCGCCTCCTCCCGTAGCAGTATTATTAGTGGGTGCATTGTTAGTGGCGCTTTGTTGGGGATCAAGGGCAAGCGGATCAAACTGTAGCTGGGCTAATTGAGCCAATGACGAGAGATTAAGGCCACCAATGCCACCACCCAAGCCACTCAAGTTATTCACTAAATGCGACATGTTGAGGTTATTCAAGTTGCCGGCTCCAAGAAGATTAGCGGCGAGCGACAGCCCTCCCTGCCCGAGCGAATTGAGTAGAGTAGATATCAGCAGTAAACCCGCGGCCCCTGCTTCCACCTTAGCGTTAGAAGAAAGCCCCGCCGCGGCGGCCTTGTCGTTTGCCACCAGCGCTAAGTTCTGCGATAACGACGCTGCCGACTGTTGTGCTGCCACCTGAGCCACCACCAGAGCTAGCGATGACGAACCTGGTGCCAGCGCTAGCGACGCCACCACCAGCGCCAATGGCGTCTGTGTTTGTGGAAGTGAGGGCGGCTCAAGCAGTCTCTCCGGTGTCACGCGACGGCGCTTGGTGTCGCTATCGTCAAACTCGTCACCGGAGGCGCTGTTAACATAACCACACTCTAGCTTCAAGTTGATACACTTCTGGCACACGGGGCGCTGTTCGTCACATTTCACCCGGCGCTTTTTGCACGTCAGGCAACCATTGCGGGACTTCTGGTGGTACTTGCGCTTGCCCGTCGAGCTGCGGGACTTGCTGTCGACAGTTGAAGGTCTCAGCGGCGACATGGTTGAAAAGGGGATGCTCGAAGGGAGTTAGTGGTGGAGGTAAGCTTGGTAAAGGAGGGCTATACGACGGTCGTATAACACCATGTGACCTGTCCAAACGATGGCAGGGGCGCCTCTATGCAGGGGAAGAAAAAACAATCACCCTGTTGCCATCGGTCGCTTCCGCGTCGTGTGCAGGACGCAATGCCCCCAGCCAACCCCTATTCAAGCCCATACCAAGAAAACCTCGAAGATTCTCAACAAATTTTAGTCTTAAAAGTTTGCTGAAAGCAGTGTTAATGAGTCAAATTAATTACTACCACGTAGACCCATCACAATCCCCAAAAACGCGTCTGTTTAATTTTTTAACCCGCTTTGATTGCTTTGCCACTTCGTCCACAGCTCAGACAGTTTTCGTTTGCGCGGCATCATCTTCAGCGCGATGTCAGCGCCGGCATATAAGCACACACCAACCAAGACCCCACCAGCCGCCAATGAGTAACAAAGTCGCCGAGCTCAACCGACGAGAGCTCGAAAATAACGTCAGCGATGACGCCCTGTGGCACTACGACTACAGAGACACCGCCTACATCTATATAGGCAACCTTCCGCCCATTTCCAAGCTCGATATCCTCCGAGTGTTTTCCCAATATGGCATCCCTACTCACGTCCATATTGTCACGGATAAGGACCAGCGACCTCGTGGGTTTGCCTATCTCAAGTACCACGACCCGCGGCTGTGTGTGCTTGCCGTAGACAACCTCAATGGCGTCAAGATCATGGACAAACTGCTCCGTGTCGATCACGCTTATTATAAGCTCAGACCGGGTGATTCTGAGGATAATTATAAAGTGGACTACCTGGAGGTTAAGCAAATTGAGGCTAAGCCCGAGGTGAAACCGGTGGACGAGTCGAAATTGTTGAAACAATCAGCAGAAGTCTCGGCGTCAATTACTGTTGTCGATGACGACTTGGCCGACCCCATGGCACAATTTGAGGCTGAAACAACTTCCAAAAAGGATGAGGAAAAGGACAGGGAGACTGAGGAGAAGTCAGATGAAGGAAACGACGATACCAAAGAAAATAAGGACAATAAGGAGACACCCGAAACTAAAGAGGATGCGGACAAGGATAATGCCCCATCAGCTCCCAGGAAACGGTTCCGTCGTGCTCGCTAACGCTGTTCTGAGGAAGTTACGTTGCTGGACATTGTGGAGAATACATACCATTGTTGCAAGGAATTTGTAAGACCAGCACACTTGAGCTGAGTCTAGACAAGTGCTCGTTGTTTGTTGGTAAAGAAGTGGAATAGCTGGGAAGTTCTACAGGGGTTGTTAAGGATGTATTATATTAACTATTCGTCGTCATTGCTGTTGTCGTCATCAGTTATCATCATCATCGTCGTCGTCGCTGTCATCATCACTGTTATCACTGTCATCGCTGTCAAAGCCAACGGTGCCGTACAACCATGTCCAGTACACCCGCTGCAATTCATTGTCGCAATTGTGCAATACATAGTTCAAGGCCGTTCTGCGGAAATCGCCTTCAAAAGTCAATATTATCCCAGGGAGGTCATCGAGAAGACCAAAATCATGATCAATACAATCACTGAAGTCGTCAATATTTGTAATAATCGAGTCATACATCTTGCTTCCCCATAGTTCTTCCTCTACCTCTTTCGGAAACGAAGTGTACAAATCGTACACCAATCCTTGCACTCCATAAGCACAAGGGCCGTCAACATTGTCAGATATAGGCACAATGGTACGAAGTAGCTCACGGCATTGTGAACTGTCCATAGAGGAGATGGTGGCTGAGAGTGCCCCTAGCATGAGCCTCATTAGATAGGCAAGCTCATCTGAAGGTGACGTCATTTGCAACCCGACAAATATGCCCTGGACGAACTTTGGAATGTCATCGCAACGGGGGCCTTTGCGTATCCATTTTTCCTTCAAAAACTGGCACGCCACTAATTTGGCCATCATCGTAGTGTCAGCCACAGTCATCAAGTGTAAGAAGTAGTCGCCCGAAATCTTCTTAACATCCATATGAGAATCATAGACGTCGTCCATTTCATCCATGGCTGCGTGGGGACTAGCAGCTTTAAGCCCTCAGAGGAGGGGGGGCTTAAATGACTTTTATAGCATTCTTCGTCTAGCGCACCCCCTGCTGACTGCATCTCACAATACGCACCCAGTGCTTCACCGAAGACCGGAATGATGGCGTTAGAATACCAGCATTTAGGAATAAAACTTTTGAAAGAAAGAGAGAAAGTAGTCTCAAAGAGGCTAGATTTGTGATAAACTCATTTTTATTGAAATTTATGACGTATCTTGTGGTCTTTTCCGGATAGAGGCGACTGGGTGGTTACGCGGTTTAGTCGATCTTTCAGGCATACGGATGCGGCTACCCGTTGGATGACGCTAGCTTCAACTCCCCGCGTTCAATTGGTTTCCGGAAACGCCCTGTAGAATAAATGACGTTTTTGATAGAGAAGCGACATCCCTCCATGATTCTTCAATTCAGTGGAACCGTTATTCGAAAGGCGATAGTCCTTTCCTGTAATCAGTGTACCCAATTCATTTAATAGGCGAAAGCCACAAAACCTAATTACCATCGAAAGAAGCCTCAATGGACAATTTGATAGCAATGTCCTCTCAGTCAAATCACTTATATATCCTGTATTAAAGTTCTTATCTCGTAAAAATGTGCTACAACAGCGCCTCCAAGTTGACCAACTGGCTGTAGGTTTCTCTTGGCATGCGGTACTGGACCATCCCGGCGTAGATCATACAGTTCTTCGCCATCACCCGCAAACGGGCGGTCACGTCGGTGTCGGGGTTCCACTTCGTCAACGCGTTGTAGTTCAACTGCAGAATCAGCGTCATCGTCATCACCAACAACAGCGGGATCACCCGCTTCAACTGGTCGTCCATGGCGTCGGATTGGACGAGGGCCAGCTGCTGTCTGATCTTGGCCAAGTCGTCGCGGGGGCCAATGGGGATGATCTGGAGCTGCTCGATCTCGTGCAACACCGCCCGCCAGTCCTTGGCGACAAACAAGTCGCGGATGTGGATGATCTCGGAAAGGGTGTCGTTGGTGTTGCGGTGTTCCTGGGTGATCTTCGCCAAGATCGGGGGGTTGGCACGGTACACCGTGCGTGCCTGCTGAGCGAAGAGGATGATGTTGTTGTTAGGGGTGTCGTGGGCGTTATCCGTGTTCAGGCCCAGAGCGTAGTTGCCGTACTTCACCACGGGCTTGTCCAAGTCGGTCAGCGCCAAGATCTCGGCGACAAGCTTGTTGACAATCACCACCACGGTGTCGTATTCTTCAGCCAATTGGTACAAGTAAAGGGCGTCGAAAGTGCGGCCTTGTTCCATACACTGGTTGGCAGCGACACCGGTGATCACGTGGTTGAATTCCTTCAGGTCGTCAAGGTTGATGAGCGATCTCTGGATTTCCAAAAGCCCCGGGGTCTTAGCTCCCGTGGACTCGTTAAGTTGACCCAAAAGCATGCCGAACTCTCTCAGTACCAAAATAAGCTCGCGAAGGGCTTCGTGGCACTTGCTGGTTTCGTCGCGGTTGTTGCCGCCGCAGCTCATCGCCGCTAAGATGAGGTACTGACTCGCCACCTTGGGGTCGCTGATTTTGAACGTACGCACAAACGATCCCATAAGTCTCGAGAAGTTGATGGTGGTGTAGTGGCCGTGGTGGCCAACAAGCTGGTCGGAGGCACCCACAGTGACACCCGAGACCCGCAACACCCCGTAGTAGTTGAGACCAATGGCTAAGTGCACGGCATCACACTCGTTGACGTGTTCGTAAGTGTATTGCACTGCCAACTCGTAGAGACCGGCGAGCATAAGCGCTTTGAGGTATAACGGGTAGTTCAGCAGGGTGAGGAATTTCGAGGGGCCAAAGCCGACGATCGTCTGCTGCAAGTTAGCCAAGGTGTAGTTGTCAAACACGAGGGCCAGGTCGGTGGGGGCGCCCTCGTTGACGAGGTTGAGGTGGAACCACAACCAGTCCTCAATCAGCAAATTGAGAGCGTGGGGGAGAGCGCGGTTACCTAAGTCACACTTACCCACGATCTTGTATACGGCGTACTTGAACGGGTCAAAGCCAGGGGTGTTGTTGCCGGCCTCGATGTCGTTGAGAACAAACTGGAATTGCTGGGCGAACTCTTGGTGCACTTTCTTGTAGATCTCAGTGGGGAGCGAGTGGGTATCGCTTTCGACAAACTTGCGGAAGTAGATGGGGAAGTTTCTGTCAAACTTATTGAATTTGCCTTGGTGCTCAGTAACTAATTGCAACGTCTCCTGGTAAAGACCAGCACGCATCATGTAGAAGATGAGGGCCCACACGGGGACACCGTTGACGATAAGGGTCTTGTCAAGGGCATCGGGCTCGGTGACGGGGAGCACTTTGTTGATCAAGTAGCGCACTTTATCGCGCTCGGTGCCGCCGCTGTATTCCTTAGGCTTATCAGTCTCCTTAACGTATACTTCCTCAACGTAGTGCCAGAACTCAGTCTCAAGACACTTGCTGGAGTTGGCAATCACCTGATTGACGAATTTCGGTTGAGGGGCGTGAGTGGCCAGCCCCTGGTAGCCGTCAAAGAATACACCCCCTTGAGACCGCTTAGCGTCGTGTTCGTTGACAAATGAGCTGAGGATGTTCCAGGCGTCGGTCATTTGCTTCGCCTTCAAGTCGTTTTCCACTTTATTGAGGTTACCCAATCGCGCAGCGAACGGGTACGCCCGGTCCAGTAACCGGGCCTCGTTAAGCTCGTAGACTATGGCAGCGTGCTTTTCGAATTTCGCTCTCAGCATCGCCTGAAGCAGCGGCAGCTCGGAAGTGTGGAGCGGGGCTAACATCGGGTAATTACCAGGGATGCGGTGGTTCCACAGCAATACCGGCTCGTTAGTATTGGTAGAGTCAGTGGCTGACGGCGCTTCAAGGCCAATCAGCTGGCGCAATTGCTTGCGACGGGTCTTCCAGTCAATCAGAATATTGGCACTAATGAAAGCGTCAAAGTCACGCAGGGCTGTCGTCAACAGTTGTTCGATAGTGGCGAGGATGTTCTCATCCTTCTTCCACGCCGTCGGCCCCAGAAGCGTACCCCCAGTAACGGGAGCAGCGCGAGTCCCAAACTTAGGCTGATGGCCTTGCTTTTGAATTTCGTCGATCGCCGCTAACTCGTTCTCAATAGTCTCGGCGTTGATCCCCAGCCGCGCCAACAAGTAGTGGGCCTTAGTGAAGTTGTCATGGGTCTTTTGCGGTTGCAGCTGTTTTTGCAATTCACCGAGAGTCAAATTAATCAGCCCCAAATCGGCATTTTGCGGCTTGGGTAAATTAGAAGCCTGCTGGATCAAGTCTTTGAGCAACTTGCTCAGCGGCTCCTTTTCGGCGCTCAGCACCAGCAATTTCGTCACCAGCGGCGCCGGAGCCGTCGTGGACGCCGTGGCCAAGGTATTGGTGACGTTGGTCGCCTGGTTGGCCTGGTTATTGGTGGCTGAGGGCTGCGATCCAAACAACAGCGTCGTCCCCAGCGTGGCGGGTTTCTGGGTGTTGCCGCCCAACGAGAACCCCGTGGAGGCATTGGAGGTGCCGCTAGCAGCTGGCGTCAGGCTCAGCTGGCCAAAGAGCCCGCCGGCCTTGTTTTGGGTGCCAAACATTGGGGTGAGAGGGTGGTAGCGGTCGCAGGTTATTAGGGCTAGAGCGGTGTGTTTTTCGGGATGCCTGGGGACGCGCACTACCAGTGAAACTTCAGGGCTTGTGTGCAGTCCGTGACATCGCCATCGCACTATAAAAGCGAGGCCATCGCCCCTGGGTTAAAAAGTATATTACTTTGTCCAATATCCATCACATAGACAGTGCGACGGCCTGGACGTCGGGGGCGGCGGCGAGAGAGCCAGTTCTTGGCCACTCAGCCACCTTCCGCTCCCTGGCGCCACCAATCGGGTTACTTACGCGATAGCTGATGGAAAGACTAACGGAGCCTTTTAAGAACCTGTCTGGATTTACAGATGAAAGAGAGGTGTCAGTAGACTCCAACATTATTTTTTTGAATTGTAGATGTGTCTATTATGCTAGTATCTATTAACGCTCATGATGGGGATTGAGCGGCGGGGGTGGCATCATCGTCGTCGTCGTCTTCCTCTTCTTCTTCTTCATCAGAGTAGTCGCGGAACGTCTTACGTCTCTGGAAGTCCTTGATGTGGGCCTTATTAATGCGGTCGCCGATGTTGAATATCGTCAGCTTGCGGCGTTTAGGCGTGCCCACCTCGGTATCGCTGACGGAGGGTGTTTGCTTGTGGCGACTGGTTGAAGTATTAACGCGTTCCAAGTCCTTCAAGCGTTCAAGGTCGTGGGTAGCGGAGTGCTGAACGAAGTGGAGTCTCACAAGCCGGTCAACGGCCTTTTCCACTCCCGTCTTTACTGGGTAGGGCAACGGCAGGTTCTTCAGCGCTCTAAACGTGGTGACATTAGTAGCGTGTTCGTTTTCCATCCGGAAAAACACCCATATAAACCGGCGGAACAATTCTGCCACCGCGATTAAGAACGATGTCGCCGCCAGCTGCTGGATCTGATTGCTGAAACAGGCGTAGAAGACCCACTGGAACCGAAGCACCACGTCCAAGATCATTGCCGCATAGTACACATAGTGGTTAGGGTAAATTAAGTGGTCGCGAAGCAAGAAGTTCTTCAGCCCGAAGTGCAACAACAGCCAGTCCATCATCAAGTCCCACAGCGCCAGGTAGATCAGGTTGATGCTGGCGAACACGATGAACACGGTACGGTTCTCGCTAGTGCGGTTGATACGATACACTGAAAGCAAGATCTGGTAGAGCATCAGCACCAGGTATTTGAGCATGTTGGCTAAATGAGGGAACCAGTCGCCGGTGTCCATGTAACGGCGGAGGCACTGGAGCCACCGGAAGATACTAGGAAGGGTACTGAAGAACCCCATGAGTCTCAGGTTCAGCGACCCGCACTTGTTTTTGTAGCCCGGTTTCCCCAAAAGGCCTCGCCAGTGCTGAGCGTAGACACAGAAGAAGAACGAGATATTACCCGTGACATAGGTGAGGGAACACAAGATGTCTCCTAGGAAGAAGTCACGGAATTCAACGGGGTATAACCCTGAAAGTAAAATACGCCACACTGCCACTTGGAGCCAGCGCCGACTAGCAGGGTACATCTGGCTTCCAGGCCAAATAAACACCACCATCATGATTCCCCAGAAAATCCACGGCCAGTAGCGGCCGGGGAACTGTGTCGGCCAGAAGTTATTGAGGGAGAACCATGCTAGAAGCGTGAGAAGCGCAAACCCGATCGAGGGAATCAACATATACTGTTTCCAATTGAGCGCGGTCAGCATGTCGTACTCAAAGATGAACTTGTAGTTGATCTTGTAGTAGTCAAACACCCAGAAGTTGACGGCAAACATGAGGAATGCCAATGCCAAAAGAAGAAACCCACCCCAGATCTGGAGCAAATAAGGTCCTTCGGGCATGGTGTGGTTAAATGTATGGGCAAGACCGTGATAAATGGCTAGTACCAAAAGTGGTATGCCAAAGCCAAGGGCAAATGACGAGTCGCCCAATTCGCTATAGAACGTCTGCGGACGCATATCGCCAAGCGACATCGCAAACGCCATCAGCTTGAGCTTTTCCAACGACTGCTTTTTATCCAGTCTCGGTTCAAAGAACGTGATGAAGAGATCTTCAACGTGGGCAATCAACTTATCAAGGAGATCCAGGGTCTGGAAATACAGCCGGTTGTCAACAACCTTCATGTAGTCCTCACACAACGAGGTCGAGCACGTTTTATCGTACTTCTTGGTGATTTTGCGGAAAGCCGTACGGTTCAAGATCCGGAACAGGCGAAGTAAAGTGAGGGAGCGGTAAAACTCAAACGTCGCCTGGCGCAACTGCCGCTTGGCCACATGGTACGGGGTGCCGAATTTGCGTTTAATATAGTCACGACGGTTGCGGATGCGAGCCGCCTGAGCGTTTTCGGCGGCGGTGGTGCCTGTGGGCAGTACTGCTCTGCTTGGACGCTGCTGTTCGTGGGCCAATAGCAGTTCATCTTCCAGGATTTCTTCGTCGGTGGAGATCTCGCCGTTACGGTATAAGTTTTCTCGGTAGTTGACGTCGTAGTCGTCTAATGCCGTATGAGATTTCGATTTGGGGTTGCGGAGAAGCGGCTCCAAAAACTTCATCAGCGGGAGCGACGGGAGCTCCATGTGCTTAAGGAAGTGGAACGTCAGTTCTACTTCCTGTTCGAGCGACAGTTTCGCCTTGCGCTGGGCGTGGGAGAACTTTTGGTGCTCTTTCAATTGGTAAAGCTGGTCTTCAAGCACGAGAAACCGGCGGTAGATCTCTTGCTCCTTTTCCAAATAAAACAGATCAACTTTACTAAGCTCGTCGTCGAGCCAAGTCATGAAATTCTCCTGGGCTTCGTCGTAGTCCTCCTGTTTCTCCTTTAGCAGTTTCTGCGATAACGACCACAACAGTCTACCGCCACGAGCATGCGCTTCGTGGTGGCCTTCATGAGGCTGGTGTCTTGATGAAGGGAGGGCTGAGTCTCCTAGCAGGTCAAACCCCCCTTCCTCGGTGTAACTAGGGTTCTGTTGAGGTTCAACGAGGGGAGTGCCTTCGTGGGGTTTATCCTGGTCCAACGCCTGTTTGCACTCTTTAACCTTCTTGATAAGCTTCTTACCCCTCAGGTAGTCGACGTACTGATCTCGCCACTCGGGGACAACCCCCTCCTGGAGCAGCTCGCCAAACTTCATCTGGTGATGTCCACGAGGTCAGGGAAGATTAGGCGGGCGTGGGTGCGAAACAAAACAATAGTGCCCTCGTGGTACCAGGGAACGTAATCAGCGGCTGAGGAAGTCGGTGATAGGGTTGGAGACGAAACGGGCGTCTGAGATGGGTGGATTCGCTGGTATGAGTCCGAGCTAGCCGAGGGCGCGGGGCGGTATGCACGGGTGAGGTGGTGGGGTCTACGCCCATGGCGCTGTAATAAATTGGGGAGATGTGGGTTGGTGTAAGCGTCTTGTGATGGGTTGCCTTGCTGGTGACCTTGCGTCGTGGTAGCAGTTAGCAACAGCAAACAGAAGTGAGGATCGAGAAATGAGAGCGGTAGAGAGGGAGATAGGCAGTCATTATGGAGGGTGGTGGTGGTTGGGGGCTCGAGGCGGTCCAGTCAGTTAAGCGAGGGGGTTCACCCATGCCGCAGCCAGCGAGGCTAATGAGCTTCGCACGCCACAAAAACAGATCGATAATGGGTTGGTTGAGATTAGGTCAGGGCATCGATAGGTTTGTAACGTCTTCAGTGGTCAGATCTATGGCATTATAGTCTAATTGCAGGTCAATGGGCTGAGAACAGCTACACTCACATACTATCGAGACTCGAACTCAGGGCATCGCTTTTTTTTCAAATTTGTCCATGGGTCGTGTCTATACCAACCAAGCAACTCTGTACCTACCAATAGTTCGCATTGGTAAGGATGGTAGCGCTACCGGCACGGCTGATAGATGATCTAGAGCAACTGCAACAGTAATGGTCATCCCTGACTATCCCTTACTCGCCACATTATGTAAATTTACCTACTAAATGTTAAGCTATTTTCCGATGATGAAAATAAAGAGATTGGGTGAATTTGGTAAAGGGATTGCCAATTTTTCACACACTAATTTTTCGGATTTGAAGTAGCTTAGAAAATCATGGTGGAAATAACCCAATGATTCATCAAATTTGAATCGTTCAATTGCTCTGATATTAATTCTATTAATCCGAATCGTGTATGAGAAAAGACGTATAGCTTATCATACTTATCTAGCTCAAATTGTGCATTATACTAGGGTCAGTTCTCCTTAAATAATCAATGATCAAGTCTTCTAATTAATTGCTACACTACCATTAATTCCACTAACTCCGTCAATTCCCTAATTCCCTAATTCCCTACTTACCCCTACTTCCCCTGAATATTACCCTCGGCTCCGTGGGAGGTGCGCACTCGCAGTAGTTCCGGTTCCGATCTAGGCCTCTAGACCACCACACCCATGATGAGAAGCTGGTTGTTTGCGGGGTCGCCCGTTCGACTTATGACCCGTGGCGTTCGTCAACTGTTCCGCCACCTGTTTCGGAACTCATTCCGCTACCAGCTGACCCAGCTGCTGGGGCAATCGGCCCCCAAAAAGGGCCGCCTGTTGAAAGACTTGATGAAGGAGTACGGCTACCTGGCGTTAGGGGTGTACTTGGGGTTGCTGATGATTGATTTACCGCTTTGCTACTTGCTCGTTCACTCCCAAGGCAAGGACGAGATCGAATACTACGAGAATAAGGTGAAGCAGAAGTTTGGCTACGGAATGTCTGACGACGAATTAAAGGCGAAGCAGGCTCGGGAACAGGCCGAGTCGGCGAAAGAGGAGCAACAGAAGACCGAGGATACCGAGCTGGGCGTGGTGGCGTTCGTCAAACGCCACTTTTCGTGGACTGAGTTCGCCATTGCTTACGGGATCCACAAGTCGCTCATCTTCATCAGAGTGCCGCTCTGTGCCGCCATCACGCCTTCGATCGTCAAGATTTTGAGAGGGTGGGGTTTCAAGATTGGTTCGGGCACGTCGGCGGCTGTAGCTAAGGGTAAGTTTAAGGATGCCGCTGGTAAAGTTCAGGACTACACGGCGCTGAGCCCTCAGTTTGGCCAGCCGGCGGGCAAGCGGAAGTGGTGGTGGTTCTTTTAAAGGTTATCTCTACACCGACTAGAATGTACATAGATTGATAAATATAGACTTTTTGCCTAGAGATTTTTGGGTAATATTTACAACCGTCTTTTTTTTTTGGGAGTAGTAAACGGCTTCTCTTGAAGTCTATGCAGTGGACCAGTCCGGATAATAAATAATGAAATGTCAGCAGGATAGCTTATTGAAAGCCACCTACTTGAGGAGCCATGCCTTGGTGCGCTCGTAGACGAAGAACAGACACAGCACCATCGGGATCACCTTCATGTAGCCAATCAGCAACCCGACGAAGAAACCACGGATCCCCAGCTCCTTCCAGATGAGCTTGGTGGTGTCTTTGAACAGGAGGAACTCCCCTTTGTTCATAATCCCGCCGACTTGCATTCTCCGTCGAATCACTTCAAACGGGTACGCCAGCGTCTGGGAGCACATTCCTGCCAAGCCACCGGCGATAAGCTGAGCTGGGGCAGTCAACGGCGCCCGTAAGTCACGGGTGCTCTGGACTTTACCCGCTTTGGTGGCTTTATCGCGGCGGTTCTTTAGCAGTTGCGACGGCTGCTGCACCGTCCATTCGCGGAACCACGGCAAGCGGAACACGTCGTGGATGGCGTCGTGGGTATAGAAGGACACCCCTGCGTAGGGGATCATGCCGAGGATGGTGGGGTAGAACCCGCGGTAGAAGTTCAGGATGTGGAGGACGTGGTGGGGCATCACCCGCCGCATGAACCGCACCCACTTGGGGTCCGACGGCCGCAGCGGCGGCAGCTCGTTGTAGATCAGCAGCACCGTGTACCGCAAGCGCCCGTGCTGGCGGGTGTGGACGAAGTGGCGGGTGTCGAACGCCATGCGCACCCGGATCAAGTCTAAGGGATAAGTACAGCACACCAGCGCCAACCCCAGGAGGGATCCTGCCATAAACCGTCTCACGGCGGTCTCGTACTGGTCGGAGGGGATCAATAACGCCCGTATTTGTTCGTAGGCGACGAACTTGATGGCGGCGTAAGGGAAGATGCGAAGAAGGGTCACCAGGTGGCCCTGGAACAAGCCCGTGACGCCGTCGGTGCGCCAGATGGCGCGGGCGGCCTGGAAGAACCCCTTGAGCGACCCCCGGTACTGGACGAAGTCCGGGTTCAGCGTCTGGAACAAGATCTTGATGCGGTCGAACGGCGCGATAAGCGTCTTCGCCGCCAGCCCCGCGATGCCACCGGCGACGCCCAGGCGGACGACGTAGCTCATCAGCCGCTTGTCGATGACGTCGACCTGTTTCAGCGTGGTGTGGTCGTCGCCACTGGCGGTGGTCACCGCTCGTAGCTGGGCCATGCTCTGGTCAGGTGCTCGCACAAGAAGAATTTGTTCGTAGTGCGGGGGAGGGTGGGGCAGCTATCGTGATGGCACCGACACACAAGAGGCAAGAACTGGACAGCTAGAGACTGAAAAACTACAATTTAATGGTTTGGTTGGTTTACTCGAGGTAAGAGGATTACAATGGTGTTTTTAAACATTCAATAGAGGTATAGTTTACCTGATTTTCGTATGCCCTTTCGGAGTAAAGCCGTGGTCGCTGATTAATGGTAGGGCTATCAGTGGACAATGACCGCTCCAACGACTAACCACTACCAAACGTAGCATCAGGTAGCATTACGCTGGCGATCGCAGAAATCTCGGATCTCTCGGTTTGGTGCCACAAACACGGGTGGTGCCCTCGGAGCAGTGCTGTCGGAGTGGTGCTGCCAACTTTCTCGCCACTTCCGACAACGGGTGCCTTTTTTTTCTTTCGCGGCGCTGGCACCGAAAATACCCTGGCTGGCTGCGATGGCTGCTGCCATGTGAGACTGTGCGTAGGCGAGGACATGATGCCACGTCGACCGGAGATGCTCGCTCACCCGAGGGCGACCGAGGGGCATAAAATCCGACCGCCACCATCGAGGGCATGCCCCATACCACAAAGTGCCTGAAAACCGGCACTAACACCATCATCACCACGATTGACCCGAGGATGGTGACGTGAAACTGTAAGTGAGGTGGCCACCAGCATAAATAGTGACTCCGACCGGCAGGCGACAGCGGGACCGAGGCGCGCCGTGGGTGCTACCTTGGTGGTTAGCAGGATTACGGGCCTGGTGTCTTGACTGCGGGCACAGTGACTCGGTTTTTGCGGGCGGCAAGGGACCGCCAGCGTTTAGGCATAGTAACGGCCGCCGCCAGCACTCTGCAGGTATGAACCCGGGCGCCGTACCGTCGCCTCCCGCGCCGCAGGAAAAAGCATGGAAACATGTATCCCGGACAATGTGTTGCCGTCCGCCTCAGGCTCCAGCACCACACTACCAAAACAGGTTCAGCCTTTTGGTTTGTTGTTTAGCCAAGGCGACAGGGGGATCTAAGATCTGGATTAACTTGCATCTAACATCAATTACCCCGGCTGCTGGTCTCTGCAACCCATGTAGAAAGTTACAACACTGACACTTCCAATGGTACGGGAGGGTTGAGGTTTTGTGATTCAGTTATCTCTTCCATCAGAATTTCATTCCTGTAGGTGGTCCACCGAGAGCTCTGGTGGCAAAAGTACAGGATACTTTGTGCCAGGTGAAAAGCCACATTCGCCTCATTCACGACGGTAAAAATCAATAGAATTGCCTTCATTGCTTTGTGAAAATGGTCCTATGCTAAACAACAATTGCCTCTGTTTACATCATGCCATTCTGATCATACTTTCTGATCATACTTTCTCATATTCGCTTTGATTTGGTATCGAATAAACGTAGCAGGTGTGTGCATTCTTTTAGTCGAAATCATCCAAATAAATTCAGCATTGGTGTTAATAGTTCTTTGAGAGCCTTTCGGAGGTCATTTGGATTTTTTTTTGTTGTGGCATCATTATTTTGTCACGTGATTTGTTGCAGCCAAATCACCATTTCGGTCTCACG